TGGTAGCACGGTAACAACAACAGCCAACCGGGAAGCCCGAAGTCCGAGCAAAGGTAATGTCTATCTGCTTCAGGCCGTTGCACAACATCGTGTGCGGTAAGATGAACAGACTGGACCGGCCGGACAGATTCTGAAACACGGGGGGTCTGTGATATGCTTGCGCCTCGTGATCTTTTGTGGGACATTGTTTAAGAGATCCAAGTTAGTTTGGACTTAGATGGGATAGCATGAGGATGAATGGATTGAGGGTGTAATCAACTACTGGCTGTGTCATGGTATCAGATTACAATGTCGACATTGCAGTCGTTTGTGGAGAGGAAAAATAATGATAAGCCTAAGATGTGAGTCCAGTCAAAGCTAGAATTACTAGTTTTATTGAGTATCTGCCTCAATCGAGGTAAGTATGTAAGTATGTACAGGCAAGGATAATTGTAACAGGATCATGATCATGTTGCCCAATCTGAGTCCAACTAGGTAATCACACTCTGGTTCTTGTAAAGATCACAGGCGTGGGGGTGCTGGAGACAGTACTTGGGCATCAAAGCAGTAGCCATGACACCATTTGCAACCAGGTACTCCCGGAAGTTCAGGAGACGCTGGGTAAGGAGGGTAGTTCGCTTGTTGCCTTTGGCATCACGGTTACCAGACCACACGAGCTCAGCCAGGGCAGCAGCACGGGGCCACATTTGGCTGGAGATGGTTACATCGTCAACCTGCTCGGACCAAAGGGGAGCTTCGGCGCCCAGGACGTGTTTGGCCTGGGTTTTGGTGAGGTTCGTGAGGAAATCGTAGTCGTAGATGCGCTGCCAGGTCTTGTACGGGGCACACCAGGAACCGCCGTTGCCGCCATAGTTCAGATTAACGCTACCGTCTGGGTTGGACATCACGTCGTAGCGGGGGTCATTGCCTAGGGCGCCACCGTGGCCGCAGTCCAAGTAGAGGAAGTCGGAGGACGAGACGACAATATCGTAGCCTCGGGCAGTGAGGTTTTGGATGTTGGTCAGGCCGTTGTTCCAGGTTTGCAACACAATGTCCTTGGGAACATCGTGTGCGGCCTCGGTGGACAGAGCAATATCCTCCCACATCATGATGCGGCGATGAGAACCAGCAGCCCGGAAGATGGGCACGGCATGGTCCACCCAGTACTGGGCCAAGTCATTGTAGGTACGCGAGGAATCCTCCAAGAACCACTCGGTAATATAGGTGCTGAAGTTGTAGCAACCGGGCTGGAGCTCGTCAGCACCAGTGTGGAACCAGTTGTCCGTAAAGATTCCAGACAGCTCATTGTACACGTTGCGCACAACCTCATAGGTCTTGTTGTAGATGATATCCAGTTGACCAGGGTTAGGCTCAACGGCAGTGTGGTAGGTCCAATCGTCATTCGACCACCATGAATGGGCACAGGCGACGATCTTCGGGTCAACCTGCTGCCAGCCAGAAGATGAGTGTCCAGGCATATCGACCTCGGGAATGACGCGCACACCACGGGCGCGAGCATAGGCGATCACGCTAAGCATATCACCCCTGGAGTATGTCTCACGGGGCGAGTATGCGTCCTTTGTCATCTCCGGGTAGGACTTCATGTGCATGGGCCAGGACTGAGAGTCGTCCAAGTGCCAGTGGAGCACATTGAGCTTGGACAGAGCCATGCCGTCGATCTGCTCCAAAATCTTAGGCAAAGAGATGAAGTTGCGGCCTGTATCAATCATGATACCACGGTAGGGATACAGAGGTGCGTCCTTGATGCGGACTGGCTCCTCAATCATCAGACCACCTTTGCCGTCCGAAATGATGAGCTGCTGCAGCGTGGTGAACGCGTGCAGTGCACCCCAGACCGTCTGCGCGTGGATCTTGACGCTACCCGCAGACTCCGTCACTTCCAAAGTGTAAGATTCGTCGACGCCATGCTGAAGATCGGCGTCACCATCGACCAGGGACAGCTGAACGGACTTGATTGGTTTGGCACTGCGCTTGGTCAATCCCGCCCCGGTCGGGAAAGGCTGAAAGGAGGAGATAGAAGCTTCGGTGGCGGCGGGGACCCATTGGAGGCTGGTGATGGCGGCCCATGCGCGTTCCCAAGCTTTGTTGACAATGGCGTGAGTGTGGCCATGGGCGTCGGTGGTACGCAAGGAGAGCTCGTGAACGGAAATTGGACCGGACGATCCCCAGGTGATGTTGCGGGGCGCGGGAAGTGGGTTCACCTTCACGGCCGACACGGTCGCGACCAGGGCGCCCAATGCGCCGACTACCATGGAGAACTTCATGGTGACAAAGTGGTTGAAAAACGAAAGGACAGAACCAGTAGGCGACGGGGGTTTATTTATGTTCGGCCAGACGCATGCCGATCGACGCTGATCACCCCCTGGTATGTACGTGCATAAAAACAAATCAAGATAACCGGGGCTTAACGAAATATCAAGCTATGAATCCACAATCCCTTGAATGTTCCATCGAAGGTTACATCGCTAGACCTGTTTTGTTGGTAAACAGTCAAGTGCGACCTCCACATACTACATTGGGGTTGTTTCTCCACTTAACCCCAAACGTTCATTTTACATTCATGATAACGCTCCTCAACCGCAATCTGATCATAAATTCATGGCAGATTGGATTCGTTTAAAGATGGCCTAAGCGATGAGGAATGACACAGTCACATTCAGGGGGGCATCTGACCTTATCTACGGTGTGGGGTATACTCCAAAGGCTAGCACTCGATGACAGCGGGGTAAAGGTATCACGATTGAACTTATTACACAGTCTCAAGCCTCTAGCGATTTCTCCGTCTCCATTCCCTCTCGGAACTCCTCGTGAATGGCCGCAATGACCTTCTGGGATGGTACAACGCAAGGACGACGGGGCAGTCCGCCATATCCACGGTATGATTGCAAAGCGCTCTTTACAGCAACAAATCCCCCATGGATGGCACCCCAATCAGCCCGCGCAACAATAGCCTGCAACTTTTGCGCCTCCTCCACCTTTCCGCTGCGGTACAGCTCCATCACGCGCACACTTGACCGAGGGATGAGGTTCGCAACTCCTCCAATGATACCGTCCCCACCAGCGATCAGAGTCTGAAGAGTAAAATCAGCCGATCCACCAAAAGTCAAAAACTCCGGCTTGGAGGAAGCAGCGACACGAGCCAGCTTGCCCGTGTTTCCACAGGTAAGCTTGCAGCCGATGATATTAGGGTGCTGGGACAACGCAAGAATGTCGTCCGAGGAGAGGTCCAGCCCGGAAGAGGCGCCGGGGAAGTTATAAATGAGGACAGGGACTGGTGAAGCATCGGCGACCGCCAGGAAATGTGCGTGAAGGGCCTCGTTGCTTACGAGGGCCTTATAGTAACTGGGAGGAAGGACCAGCACCGCGTCGGCGCCAGCCTCGCCAGAGTCCTTGCAAAGTTGGATAGTTTCGCGAGTGGATGCGGCACCACAGCCAGCAATCACAGGCATCGATGGGTAGCCTGCAGCATCCACAGCGCGACGTGTCGCGGCTGTAATAGCTTTGCGCTCTTCGCGGTCCAAGTGCACTGCTTCGCCATTACTGCCCTGGGTGACCAAGCCAGTAACGCCACTGCGGGCTAGGTATGCGGCGTGTTTCTCGGTGGTCGCCAGGTCTACCTCTTCATCTGGCTTGAAGAATGCCACTGTGGGCACATAGACTCCCTTGGCGAGGGGGTTTCGCTTGATTGTACTGGTGGCTGTCATGATGGTGATCTAGTCAACAATCAGCATTCGCGTTCCACCCACGGTAAGGGCTATCCGACACTCACTTAAGAAGGATGATCTGGGGGCATTGATCGGGGTAATGGACCAACTAAATAATGTCTGGGGATTCCTGATCTTCAACCCCCACGTCCCCCACTATATGATTAGCCGTTCATGTTGCTCTGTTTGTCATCCACAACTGCGGAGAGAAAGACATTCTTCCCCCACGCCTTATGCGGGGTTAAAGCTCAGTCATGTTGATTGGACTTGATTCCTCCGATTTAGTTTGGCTCGGAGGAATTCCCGTCCAAGAATGTGATACTTGCATAAAAAGTAAACGGAACATGGGGTGGATCTTGGAAATGTATCATTGCCGTGAAAAAGCGCGTATCCATGTTCCGCATCGATTGAGGGGATCCCCCACTTCGCGACGACGTGGGGGTCGGGCAATGAGAAGTGGTCATGGATTTCAATATTGGCCAGTAAGACGTCTTGCCTCCGAGGTAAGTATCATTTGAGTACAAGTGATACTGTAGGTAAAGGTAAGCTATGACCTGACGCGTTGTGCAAAAGTTGAAGTCTGCACCGGAACCTGACATCCAAGGATTAGTGTCAATACATATATATCTCACTGACACGTACGCATCGACATTCACATGCAACTTCCAAGCAATTTAGAGAAATAATCTTTATTTAAAACCCGATTGTTGTATAGAACATAGGAATTGATATAGGTATCCCCATATATGAACATCTAAATTCATGTTTCCCCGTCGCGACTCGTATAGAGACCGGTCGCTGCCAAGAACCTCTTGCTCGCATCACGCTCTCAACCACCGCGATCCGACCTCATTCCGAAGATCTTCCCGAACTCCCTGTACCAAGAGGCCCAAGCGACCCTCAAGAGGACCCTCCAACCATCCACAGGTGCCCACACTATGACTTGGGATTGAGGCCTCTTCCACCCCTCAGTCATGGCCCTCCTGTCGCGGCCGTCTCTCCGCTCTGTGCGACGGAACCCCGACAACCATTCGGGGAACGACGGTCGCCCCCCGCCGATGAAGAAACAGCGAACCCTGGAGGAATATGGCCTGCGCCGCCGCAGGAGCTCCCCAGACTGTCTCGACACCACAACGCAGGAGACTCTCCCGGTAGGGAAAGTTCGATCCGCAAATCCTCCCTCGAGCGCCACGCGCCCGCGCACGGCGACGAGACGCGCTCGTGGACACTCCTCTGCCTCAGTGGACTCCATCCCATCCAACAGTCAATTGAAAACACCCGGTCGCTCCCATGTGAATGGCAATGGCTCTGTCGGGTCTCCTCGAGTTCCCGATCGCAATACCCCCCTCTGCGATCTACCACCTGCGCGATGACCGCGAGTCTCCTGACCCATTAGATACCATCTCGCCGGCTCCGACCAATATTTCTACCAGACCGCGGTCCAGGGCATCTGCCCACGCGTCCGAAACTGAGACAAAGTCCCTGAAGTCTCCATCGACCACTCGCAGCACCCGACACAGTAACCCCAACAAGACTGAGTCCGCGAACATAGTCAAGGAAGAACAAGAATCGGGGGCGCAGCCGACCATAAAAAGCCCGGTCATTGAGACTCGGTCGCATCAGAAGCGCAGGAGTGATCTTGACCTTCTGGAGAATGAGCCTGTGCCCGTGACGACAGGATCAGAGAGGCGATCTTTGCGCTCAGCAGACTCCGGTTCTCGCAAGAGCGAACTCGCTCAATACTTCTATAACTATGAACAGATCATCAGTCTCGATCCATCAAAACCTGGTAGGACTAGTTCTTCACCCCCGAGACGATCATTGACTGACACCTACGAAGTAGAAACACTTGCGGCCAACACAATTGTTACATTAATAGATGACCTCTCCGAACCATTACCTTTGCCTTCAACTCCAGATCCCATGCCTTTTGGGAATCCTTTACAGAAGCTCTACAATTGTGAGGTGATCAAACTTCCGATTCCCGACTCACAATCCGAGGATGATCCCCTCGGCGAAGAATTATATTTCCGTGCGCATCGCCGGTTTGAACGCCAGGAGAAACAATTACGCAACATTGAGCGAGATCGTGCACAGCACGAAAAGCAGCAAGTAGACCGTTTACTTGAGGAACTACGCGGCCAAGATTGGCTGCGTGTAATGGGACTACCCGGCGTCCACGAAAGCGAGAAGAAACTCTACGAGCCAAAACGCCAGATCCTCATCCAAGAACTAGTCGCCCTGCTCAACAAGTTTCAAGTCTGGAAAGACGAGGAGAGGCGACGAAAGCTGGCCAAGGAAAAGCCAGCTCCGTCTGCAGATGTGGAAGCCGAGTCTCGACGTCCACGGAAGCGATCACGCCCAGCCGAAGAAGCCGAGGAAAGCTCTCTTTCACCTGGCATTCCACCCAGTACTCCTGATCCTAGTGACGTGGATGCATGGGCTGCACGCCAGTTACATCAAGAAGCCCGCTCGGCTTCGGATTCGGCGGCTAAAAGCCGGAAATCGATCAAGCCCAAGTCCGGGGCTGTAGATGAGGATGATGGAAAACATCCAACCGATAAAAACTCTACTATGAGACCAAAAGCCCATGACCCTACCTTTTCTTCCCCACCCACTGATCCTGTCCCTTTCTTCCTTCCTCCACCCGATGACAAGCCCTTTACCTCTTTCTTCTCCGACCCCGAAGCACGCGAAGCTGCCCTTTCTGCAACAACAGAGGGCCGAGAGGAACGCACAAGCCCTATTCTGGCATTCGGTCAACCCATTCCCAAACTAGCTGAATGGGAATTTCAACCACCAGAGGAACTTCTAACAGAAGAAGCTATCCAGGCTTCACGACGACAGCGACGCTTGCTGAAACGGCGAAGCCATGGGTGAGCTCATGAGTGGCTTTAGGTGTGTTTCTTTGTTTTTTTACACAATAGCCTATGTATGATCTTTGTATGATAGCATTGCGGCGTTGGACATGGTGTGTGATTTGGCTGGGTCTCACAGGCGTTGGTTTGGGAATGGGACCTGTTACATTGTACAGTGGAAATAGAATGGTTTCACTAGTTCAAATATTGTATTGTAGTCAACCAAGTACCTAGACTTGTTACAATTATGGTCCTATTTGATATACTCAACCACTTATTCCCTACATCTTCTCACCGAAACAACCCAGTACATCCCCAACGGCATCATAACCATAGCACCAATCCCTGGTCCTCTTATTAGCAAGACCTCCAACAGTCTTGTGAATACTACACCCAGTCCCATCCTCGACCTTCGACGACTCAGACATCCCAGACTCAACGTCCTCATTCGGACGTGACATGAGCTTATACATCGCCTCTCGCTCTTTTCCATTGGGTACATGGTATGAATCACCCGCACGTAAACTAGCCTTCTGAACAGTCTCAGCTCTGCGCTTGCGCACCTTTTCAAATACACCGAGTGCGTCTTTCAGCCCAGCTGGACCTGTATCTGATTCACAGGTAAGGTCTAAGACACTCGCGAGAGACACGGCATCTTCAACAGCCAGGCTAACGCCCATAGACATGTAAAAAGCCATTGCGTGCGCTGCGTCGCCGACAAGCGTGAAGCGTCCAGAAGGATGGATCCAGTGTGAGAGGGGCGGGACGGCGTAAACGGGGTAGTTTGTGATTTTGGGAAGTGCTAGATCGAGGAGGTGCCGGACACTGATTGCAATTAATAGTCGTTCATGATGGGTGAAAGGGGATAGCTTACGGCAGGTCATATTGTCCAAAGAGGTTATCAACCACTTGCTTATGTTGTTCGTATGAAAAATGTCTCATGTCGATGTTGTCGCGATGAGAAAGAACGATATTCAGCATCGATGCATCTTTGATCCAATACGTCATGCAGGATGTATCCGGAGCAATCCAGAAATTCGAGTTGTAGGTGTTTAGATCGACTAGATCGGCTGTGAGGGGATTGGCCTTGATTTTTGATATCTCGGCCATCATTCTTAGTGCAGCCCAACCTGTAGGCTGAGTGCCTGGATCAGAAGATCCGAGAAGCTGGGAACGAGCAAACGAGTTGATACCTAGGTTGCCATCAGCAGAGTCCACATAATTAAACACAAATAAGGAATTACCATCAGCGCCAACGACGAGATCTGCTTTTAGTATCTCGCCATCTTTCAACTCGACGCTCCCATTATCAAAGTCATATTTTGAGATCGTGGCATCAAGCCGAATCTTCGCTCCAGCCTGAACAGCATGTCGATGCAAGATACTATGCAGCGAAGCCCTGTGGATAACGATATACGGAGCACCGTATTCTTCTTCAAAGCTGGTCATATCCAGAGCACCGATTGCAGCGCTATCTTTCCAGTCTTTGAAAAGGATTTTCTCCGGTGTGATACATTCTGCCAGCAAATCATCCTTTAAGCCCCATGAGAAGAGGTATTTGATTGCTTGTGGTGTCGTTTGAACTCCAGCACCTATTTCTGCCAATTGGGGTGCTGATTCGAGGACTAGGACTTTGTGATTTGATTTGGACAGGGCTATGGCGAGGCAAAGGCCTGCTATTCCGGCACCCACAATTATTATTTGCATGTTGGCAGGTCAGGGCGATCAATTCAGTGCGCGGAGATGGCGTCGTCTGAGAATTAATTGGCGGTGATGGGGAGTTAAGTATTGAGTCGTATGGAGTTCGGGATTAAATATGGTGCTGATACTTGGCGGGGTTAAGATTCCGATCTTTGGGAACCACTAATATGGGGTGATCGACACCGATCTTGGCTACCAATGAAGTGGCAAAGGAGAGCAGTCGTTTCGAAATTTATTACTTGATACTTTGAGCATGAAGCCCACATTTCTTCCCACATTGCCTGATCAACAGCTGTGAAGAAAATAAGGGGGAATCTTGTCCCTAGAAACCGAGCTTCATTGGACCTTGATACATCATGCCACTCAGGCAGATTTCAGGAATCTAAAATGCCCTCAACCTTCGAACTTCCGTCACTCCAACTCGAAGAAACTCGGATAGGGGCCTCCTCGCAGGCTGTGGAAAATATACAAAATGACATGAGACATGATTCTAGCTGGTCTGTCTACCAATCAATGACTTAAGGAGGGGAAGAGATGAAAGAAGAGAAGGATTGGACGAGGTTGGGATGGGGCTATGGTAAGCCACGGTGAACGGACACAATCCGACTTATTTCATTTGATCAGATTTCCAGATCCTTATATCCCGAGTGGCATTGAAAAGCAGTCTGATATCTGTTCTTGATGTCAACAGCGGAATGTCAGCTCATTGGCTATTGCACGGAGGTAGGAGCGGAAGCGATTCCATTGGTCAGAAGCATCCATAGGGCTGCTTTAGCGGAGCTTGATCGGCTCACTAAGCATCACCGGAAACGTATTATGATTCCTGAGCATCTTGGGCTTGTCCAATGAGTCATATGGTAAGTTTGTAAGAATGTCACTTGTTGTTAGCCATAGCTATGATCTCCCCATAGCTGGTTCGGGGTATCGGCGGCCTTTCCACTCAGAAGCCAGTAGTGAATTTGTCTCCATAATTTAGTGATTTGCAACATGATTTGAATTATTCATTGGTTCATTGGCCAGTTTAGACGTCTAAGCTTCAAACAATGGCAGCTATTTATGAGTGACATCATCCACTATGTATGGTCTAGAACATTAATAGGATATCTCTTCAGACATTTTCAGTCCGGTCATCACCCCCAATTCGACATTGTCAACGCAAGGCTTGTTGTGCAAGCACTGAGGGAAGTGGAGGTGAAGACAGTAGTATCAAATATCGCGGCATTACTTCGTGTGGTTTATCCTTTCCTGGTTTAGAAGACCATTATTAATGAATCGTTGACGGGCGGCTACCTGCAGTGGGAAGACCTCGAGTGGAGAGACATCGCGCCTTATCCGCCACATCTATATTTCGATAGCGTCAAACGTATCATCGGACAGCATATTAAGCTCATGGGCTAAGTGAATGGTACGAAGCAATTCTTTGAATGAGTCATATGCCTTGAAACTGATCATGCTAGTCTTCCGGAATTAGTTGAATCCAGTATGAAAGAAGTAGGATTTGTAGAAGTCAATGCTAAAAAGTCATGGCATGATGCGTCCTCTCAACGACCTGTTGGAGCTACTGCTGCTAGCACTGCCGCCATGCAAAGCATGTTACCCAAAGCCTTGGAGACCAGCCTTCGATTGGAGGGCTCAAGCGTCGATAGTGCAGCTTTTGACCAGGTATTGGAGCACTTGAAGCTTGAAAGTCTGGTATTGAATGGGCATAATTTGAAGCTATCTGCTACAAATTCGTGGGACGAAAGGATCAACTAAGCTAGCTTGCCAAAAGTAGAATTTCTGTCTAACATTTCATAGCGTGGCTGAAAGGTTCATAAACAAGTAGCCACGACTCTGACTCTGGGTTCCCTCGTAAAGTGGCGGCAGCTAAGACAGGAAAGCCCGAGTGGAAATGTGGTATTATGCAGAGACCTAGGAATGCTCCTGCATAGTATCCAGTGGCTATCCCGACAGAATGTGGCAGTACGACAGTGCACAAATCCCTAGCATTCCATAATAAGGTTTTTACATTCTGCAGGGTTTTCAAGCTTAACGGCGCCGCAATAAGCTAGTCGCCACGTGGAAAATTCCATCCGAATTCTGATCTGCTACCAAAGGAACCATGAGTATTTGGCCACGCCGGCATCGGCGCAGAACTTTTTTTCCTTCGGTTTCCCCAGTTTTTCCAAGCCTTTCTGACTCGGTCGTAGAGCTTTTTTCGATGGTTTCCATTACGTCTCGGCGCCGTGATTCGTCCCACCGGGCCGATGGCCGGTTTGACCCACTCGGCAGCCCGCTCCGATTCTGGATGCCCGAGACTTTATGCAGAAGAACTTTTGACTCAGTTATGATTTTCCTTTTTTCCTTTTCTACATATCATATTTGTTGAGGAAGTCTTCGTGCTTGGCTTGGGCTTTTTTGTGCACCTTGCATATTGCTTTGCGCCTTTTATATCTTCGCCCTATCACCACTTCGACGCGTTAAAGCTACTTTAAGCTTATTGCTGGTATATACCTTGCACAAAAATACGAAATGGGTGCAACGAACGTCCCTGTGGTACCAGGGGAGATGGAGCTTGGTGGTCATAAGAATGAGATAGACTATGATCAGGTCGGCCTTGAGAAGCAGGAAGCTACGCCAGCATACGAACAAGATGCCTTTGGCAACGAGGAGTCTGCGGAGGTTAAATACAAGGTTTTGAGGTGGTGGCAGTGTGGTCTGCTCATGGTTGCTGAGACTGTGTCTCTGGGTGTTCTCTCTCTGCCTTCTGCTGTTGCGACTATGGGTCTTGTGCCCTCGATCATTGTGCTCATCGGCTTGGGAGTGATCACCACCTACACTGGATACATTATGGGTCAGATGAAGTTAAGGTTTCCTCAAATCACCACTATGGCTGACGCCGGTGAGGTTATTGGAGGCAAGTTTGGCCGCGAATTTGTCGGTGCTTGCTGGGGTATCTTCTTCATTTTCATCATGGCCAGTCACTTGTTGACCTTCACTGTCGCCATGAACACTATCACTGACCACGGTACCTGCACTATCGTGTTTGGAATCGTCGGATTGGTCGTTTCCTTTATTTGCTCTCTCCCTCGCACTCTGGAGAAGATGTCGTGGCTGTCCCTCGTCTCTTTCGTCAGTATCCTATCGGCCGTTCTGATCACCATGATCGCATTGGGAATTGAGCAGCCCGACCCCCGTGTCATTGCTGTCGCCAACACCAATCTTTACCACGGTTTTACTGCTGTCACCAACATCGTCTTCGCATTCTGCAGCCACGGTGCCTTCTTCGGTCTGATGGCTGAACTGCGCAACCCCCGCGACTTCACCAAGTCCCTTTGCTTGCTGCAGGGTATCGACGTGACCCTCTACCTGATTGCCGCCGTCGTCATCTACCGCTACGCTGGAGATGGCGTCACCTCGCCCGCCTTGGGATCGGCCTCGCCCGTCGTCTCCAAGGTCGCCTACGGTATTGCTTTGCCGACAATCGTCATCGCCGGTGTTATCAACGGCCACGTCGCCTGCAAATACATCTACGTCCGTATCTTCCGCGGCACTGACCGGATGCACAAGCGTGATATGGTCGCCATCAGCTCCTGGATTGGCATTGCCCTAGTCATGTGGGTTTTGGCCTGGATCATTGCATCCGCCATCCCAGTTTTCAGCAACTTGCTGAGCTTGATTGTGAGTTTACCCCAGATCAAAGTTTAACCGACTTCACCGCTAACATAAATCTAGACTGCTCTGTTCGCCAGCTGGTTCTCTTTCGGTTTCCCGTCTATCATGTGGCTCTACATGAACAAGGGCGTGCACTTCTCGTCCCCGCGGAAGATCACCATGACCATCATCAACCTGATCATCATCGGCATTGCCTGGGCGCTTTGCGGTATGGGTCTCTGGGTGTCTGGTAAGGCTATCCATGACAACCCCAGCAGTTCGAGCTTCTCATGCGCAAATAATGCTTGAGAACTGCGTTCGTGATATAATGGGAAAACGGCGTTATGGTTATCATAAATACTTGCATGGCACTTGCATGGGCACTCTGCTCCTGATTTAATGGGTTTGAAACAAAAGCATTGCTTATATACTTGCATCTTGCGGTTGCGTGTTGCATTAATGTGTACTATACTTGTGTATAATATTTGCTACGATACAAACATTGCATCGAAATTACTGCAACTCAGATGCAGATCATCCTCTTCACAATTGGCCTTGAATATTATTTGCAGTAGTCAGCGGTTGACTTTATGTCGACGCACATGACCCGAAAAGGGTCCAATTTCCAGTTCCGTTGAACACATGAATTGGCGTCATAGCTGTATGGCTGATGTACGCTCGGTGCTAACACATCGCTATTGGCACAGATAAGAAGCAAGGGGAAAAGAAAAAGAAAAGAAAAAAAGAAAGAAAAAAGAAAAAGTAACCAATGTAACAGTTAGAACAGAAAAAAACACTAAATTAATAGCTCCAAGGAAATCAGTATCATCTCTCCCTTGTTACTATAAGGCAACGATGTTTCCCGGATCGCCACCGCCCCGCACCTTACGGTCGTCGCGTTGTCGCACACGAGGCCATGATATTTTGCCTTCCACGTAAGCATGTAAAAATAGCGCGACAATCTGATTTTGCTGCAAGTCATGTGCAACGCAGGGAGGATGGGCGTGAGGGCGCACGGAGGTGATGGCCCGTGGGCGATCGTCGCCGATCGGATGTGGGCCTTGCAGGAGAATGAATCGGGGTAACGCAATGGCTCCATGAACCCCTTGACTAATTTTCTGGTTTCTCTTAGAACTTTTCTTTTTCTGTATGAGATCAATTATCCTTCAATATTCGATTCCTAAGAGTCATGCAGATCCTCACATTCCTCCCCAGCTCCCGCAGGCGCGTGTCTTGGGCACCGGATCAAAATAGCATCAAGTGGAGGACGCCATTGGATGAAATGAATGAAAAACTACTGTACCGTACATTCCTTGAGCTCGGTACGTATCATCGGCGAGACATCTGTATAATCCCGGCTATTCCGTCATAATCTCCACTTGCATCTCCACCACGGATATCGCGGAGAAGGTACAGACCCTAGCGAGGTACCCGTATCTGCTGTAGGTACCATGTAGTACAAGAAGAGCTCTGGAGAATTACAAATCCACCGGGCCTGCACATGGATCACGTTAAAGACTGAGTCAGAACCCGCAATCCCGGTCGAAGTCATCCCTTGCCAGTCCGGACTTCCGGGATCAAGCTTTCCATCTTAGACTGAGGCCTGGAACATCTTGTCCCTGTGTATAGCTTATTTGGTAGGTCGAGAGTAGGCACCATCTCAAGGGCGGAACTCAATCTTAAGACCCCTTTCAAGTCTGGTGTCACCATGGAAGCATGGACCTACTGTATGAGTCGACGACTACATGCAAGGGCTGCGAATAGTTCATTTTTCTCTCTTCTGTCGTGGAACGGAATCTAGACCGCGTGAATCCCAGCCTAGATCGTGAATGTCATGGAATTAAAGTGCGCTACGTAGGCTTACGGGACCTTGTTGCTGGTGCTTAAGCTTAAACGATAGTGCACGGGTCATCGCGCCTCCATTAGGAACCAGGACCAATCTTGCAAAACGGAGGTGCCCTTGAATGGACAGGAGCTCGACGGGATTCTTGAATGAACCCGCGTCATCGGTGTGGAGGCCTCGGGAGTTCGATGCAACTGTCCATGACTAAGCACAGGTGTATGTCTGACGCATGTGCAAGGGTCGTCGGTCCCAGTTCAGGCGCAAAAATCGGGCTATTCAATCCTCCAGGCACATATAAAGACCGTGATTTGGGAGACTTTGGTTCGAACTCTGCCCTGATAGCCCAGTATGATATAATATCGCAGTTTGTTGAAGATCATTTCGCCTCCGAATGATATCATGGCAGTTGAATCTTTGGGTCTGGTACATGAGGGTCCAGGCCTAAACCTATCCGGGGTGTAGGTGGGGCGGAATTGTATTTAGTTCGCACCATGAAATTTCTAGCGTGGAAACTAAACTCTCCTGACAGGCCCCGTAGATCCTGGCATACGCAAGTCGTCACGTCAGACCCGCGCCTCGATGCTTCCGCGGTCTGACTCTTTCCTTTAAATCTACTGTAGCCACTTTTCAATGCTAAATCTTTTCTAATCTCACATAACCCCTCTCTAGCGATCTACCGTGCATACTCTAGCCCCACGGGTCCAAGGTCATTCTGTATACATAGACCGCGTGATCACCCATCCCTCCATTTCTTTTTAAACTCACTCCACACTTTGCAAACCCCAAACCCAAACCAATTCCAGCATTGTCAAGGTCGAACAAATCCGCGCAATGGCTGTCGACTGCATTTCGATGGCCTCACTCCATCATCCCCACCATCCCTACAACCAAGCCTCAAACTCGCATCTCTCCCGCTCCACAAGTGTAGGAAGCGCAAGCGGAAGAAGCAGAGCAAGCAGCAACAACCCCTATGCCCGGTTCATGTCCCCGGCGCCATCCGTCCACTCGCAGTCATCAGAGTACTCAACCTCATCCGTGCCATCCGTCTGGTGGACCGGGTACCCGGAGCACCATCCGGTCGAGCCGAAGCGCCGCCGCGACAGCACATCCTCCATTGACACAAAGGGTGGAAACGGCGTACCCCGACGCAGTCGCTCAGGCCGCTACTCCCGGAACTCGACGCTCGTGAACCCGGACATTATTGATGAGCTGGATGATATCACTATTTACTCTTACCACCACGAGGGACCTTATGATGCGGTTCGCCCGGAGCGAAATCGTGTGAGCCAGCATAGTCCGCTTGAGGCTGTGAGGGAATCTAATGAGGAGGCCTTGCGGGCGACGCCGAGGGACAAGATTGTTGATTCGCTCCAGCGTCATCGGCCGTTGGATGGGACTGCGTTTTTCCCGCCTGGGACTACGGATCCGAATGGGCAGTCTTATCAGTATGAGGAGGGATCGAATATGATGAATGAGTATGGGAACTTTTTGCGTCTTCCTGGGAAGGTGAGTGCCTTTTCTTTTCTAAATGCGCGAAAAGGTTCCATCGCTAATTGCCTGTCAGAAATTCACCGATGAGGACTTTAAGAACGATCCTTTCTACACCCAGCCTATCTCCAATCCCTTTACACAATTGAAGAAGAAGCTCAGTCTTCGCCGGAGAAAGAACCGTCACAGTATGGCCTGATCTGATCGAGGGTCTTACGCCTTATCGTCGCCATGACTTATGACTTGCCATGCTTACTGCCTATACGACTTGGAGTTTTTTTTGCTTTTTTCACTTTACTAATGGAGGACCGGATCATTAAATCTGTATGAAATAGTTGGAGTTGGGATATCCGTTTCGTTCTTTGGCTTTCCAGTCCTTGTGGTTTTCGGTGTTTTACTGGCGTTTCGGATATGGCAGTTTTGTATTTATGATGATTCTGGCCAAAGGAAGGAAATTTTATTCTCAATTTTGAGCTGACACCTGAACTTTAAGACTCGTAACGAGCATGTGATTGGGATAAACTTCAAGCACCAGGTACTAGGCCCAGGGTACACACTGGTACCTGGGACCGGAGTACACATGAAACTCCACCAATAGGACATCTCAACTCTCGTAAAGCATCAGTCCAGTTGACAATGTTGAAAGAAAATTATTTAGATCGCTAGTAATTTCCACGGCATCCATCTCGGCATGTTCGGCCTCGAGCATTCGCCAAGCGAAGCCTGGGCACATGAATCCATCAGCAGACACGCGGGGTAGATGTGGGGTACGGTTGAACCTCGGTGCACTAACCACAACAGGACGACTCTTCTGAACACGGACATTTTTCCCGCAGTGCGGAGTTGTCGTCGATCGGATACTTTTCTTCATGACTACATACTAGTCTTGGGATATAGGTAAGATCGATGTCGATCAAGGTGGACCCGGGTCCTAATTTCGGGATGTGGTGATCGGTAGCTAGCAAATAAATAAAGCATTAACTATCAAGAATCGCTCTTACATTCTATCTATTCAAATCAATTGATAAAATACGAATAAAATGCATTACACCAAGCTCCTTAGCAGCCTTCTAGCTCTCCTCCCACTCACTCAAGCTCACGCATCTCAGCCACAACCTCCGTCTGTCCAGTTCCTCTACACAGCCTATGTCCTCTGCTCGCCTTCAATCTACGAAATGCAAACCCCAACCGGAATCCAGAAAGCAATCCCGATCATCGGTGGAAATTTCACCGGACCCAGACTCAAGGGTAAAATCCTAGATCTGGGCGCAGACTGGGGGTACACCGATCCGCAGACGGGAATCTTCTCCGCGAATACGAGATATAACTTGCAGACGCATGATGGGGCGAATCTCTTTCTGCAGACTTCGGGGGCGCAACAGCCTAATGGTGATTTGCATCTGAGGATTAATATCGGGACTGGAGATAAGGATTATTATTGGTTGAATAATATTATTGGTATGTATTCTTTCGGGTTTAGATGTGTGCATTATCTGACTGGATTTAGCATTTGGGACTTTGAGGGGTGTAGCGCAGAGTGATGAAGGGGTATCGACTTTGCGGATTGATGCGTGGCATGTAAGTATTTGAACCCTGGTCTTGTGGTGGTATCGTTGCTGATAAGTTTAGATGACGGATGAGTGGAACTCGACTACTTTTGTTAATGGAACTACATATCCGTAGTGGGCTCAACATGTTGAACGATAGATGGGTCGTTCTGTTTGAGATTAATATAAAGATCTGAAGTCTATATGCGCTCATCAATGTACCGAACCTATGAATTTGCCTCTGTCGTCAAGTTGATCTCATCGTCTGATTTAACTACCATTAGAACATGAAGTTCCTATTCTAGCACAACCACCTGCTTAGATATCAACATACATCCAAGGCCCAATAAAAACTCGGAGGAAGCTACATTCACTACTTACAATTAACATTTGTCCTCAAAATGACCTCCAATCGGGGTAAAAACCCCCACACTCTCCAAAACATCGGACCAATGCACCCGCCCCAGGTCCACCCCTCTACACCAAAGCTCTGCATAGCCAACAAAGTAAACATCAAAGTCTCCGATCCACAAGACCACTTTGCCCCAGCAATTATCCACGAGCCCCCGGTAATCTACGAAGCGCAAAGCTACAACCAAGCCGACAAAAGGACCAGCGCTGTAGTCCTAGTATCTGGCGCTGGCGGAGGTGTTTCCGGACCCGGAGGTATGCAGCACCAATCCAATCTACCCAGCATCGATACCAGCGTCAGCATAAACATCATTATCAACTAACATTATGCCAGGAATATACCCCTCCCTAGCAGACAAAATCGCCATCCTGCTTTCAATACCCTGCATCCGCCTCGACTACCGCATCCCAGCCGAGACAAAAAGCTGCGCAGCCGACATCCGCGCCGCATTCGACCATCTACACGAGAAATACGGCGCCCAGAAATTCCTCATCGTAGGTTGGTCTTTCGGCGGAAGTCCCTGCTTCACTGTCGCTGCAGAAGAGCCCAGCCGCGTTCAAGGCGTAGTGGCAATGGCATCCCAGGTCGCCGGGACGGAGGGGATCAAGTTGCTTAGCCCACGACCGCTGTTGCTGTTACACGGAGAAGACGACTCGGTGCTGGCATCTTCCTGCTCTGAGACGCTTTATCATCAATATGGGGATGTGGGTGATAGGCGGATGAGGCTTTTTCCAGGCGATGACCATGGGCTAACGAAGAATGCGGTGCTGGTTGAGCAAAAGATCTTTGCGTTTGCGGCGCAGTGTCTTGGGTTGGAGCAGATTGTTGATGCGGAAGTTTTGGAGCAGGCGGGGTGGGATTTGGTTCATGGGAGAGACGAGAGGGTGAGGGAGATGGAACGGGGACGGGATTTGGAGAATGAGGAGAGGTTATTTTAGTTCTCTAGATATTAAGATATGTTCATAACTTCTGTTTCTCTGTCAATATGTCAATGCATGGCACGTCGAATGTCCATTGGAAAAATCAGATTTGTGACCAGGTCTGTAATACTTGGCTAGTTCAAGGAATCTTTTAGTGACTGAATTTCGATATACTTGTCCAGCTTTCAGTGTTGAGGCTCGAAAATATCGACTGTGGTGTCTAAAATTTGTGTGACCTTGTATAATGCTAAAAAGTCACCCCAATTCCGAGGTTCTCTCTCATGCGAGTCTGTTCTTTTTCGTGCAAACATCTGAAGTTACACTGGTCACATTAATCACATTGACCCTGGCAAATACGCCCTGCGCACGTAAAAGGGGCCAAAACCTTACCCGGGGAAACGCCAACGCATGAGTAAAAGGGGTCAGATAGCCAAGACAACGCTAGGATCGCTCGAATACGAGTGAGGCTCTTCGCGAACGGAGTTTGTCTGCGCAGAGAAACGGGGCATTCTAGACTAGCGGCCCAACCCGACCCAAGGCTGTGAATGTGAAATAAGACGGTTTGCTGTGGATCAAGATCGTATTGGGGTGGATTGACCGTGCCGATCACTGTTGATCGCTTTGCTAGACTGATTTATTGAAGGAAACTACAAATCCAACTCACCATGTAGATAGAATAGGAAAACTCAAACACGAGAAGCTGTCACTTGCAGACACGCAGGTTCCCTTTACCCACTTTCCTTGGGCTAGATGCAAGCCCCTGGAAAAGTAAGCCAAGTCGCCAAGCTCCTGGGATACGAGAGGCATCACACTTTGACCAGATGCGCAGGGTCCATTTAGCCTCTTGGCGGCCATCGTTGATAGGCTAAGCACGTAAATTAGACATTCTAAGTTCACAGCCCTTCGTATACAGATAGTTTGCAGGGTCTAATTATGGCAGTACCCGACAGCTTAAAATCCCCACCACCCAGGGACTGCCTGTTTCAATCGCCACATACACTCTTTCATTTACCTCAAAAGCTACATCTCAAATCCATTCTTTACTATGTCGAAAGATCCACAAAGAACTCGCCTTGTGAAATGGTGGCCGATCGGCTTCGCCATCGCCGCCGTCATCTTCTTCGTTATCGGCGCTGCCCTCCTTGGCACCTACTTCAACTCGTCCTATTCGTCCTGCGATGACTACTATTACTCCTACTACAGCAGCAGTTACTGCTACGACGGGAACAATGGCGAATTCTACGGTGGCATCGCCTGTATCGTGATTGGAGGTATATTAAAGCTCGTCGCTTGGATCCTCTTTATCATTTGGTGTGTGAAGCGCAATCGGATCCAGCAAAACAAGATCACATTCATCAACAACGCGCCGGCCGAAGCACCACAGCAGCAGTATGCTGCGCCTCAACCTATGTACCCTATGCAGCCGGGTGCTACTTACGCTCCATCCGCTTCGCCCGGTCCTGGTTTTGCTGAAGCTGCTGGCACACCTTCGCCGAAGGAGGGTGTCGCGTCGGCGACGGCTTACAAGTATTGTAGCCAGTGTGGGGTGGCTGCTCATGGGCGGTTCTGCTCGCAGTGTGGTACTCAGTGCTGAGTGGATATTGCACGGATGTATAAGTTTCGTTAATGTGATTGATATTTCTTTAATTGATGAAGGGTGACGCGAGAAAGAAGATCAGACACTGGACCTGCCTCGGGATTATTGGAATTATGTTATGTTGTCTCTCATGTCTATTAGCACTATTATTACCCCTTTTTGTGTTTAAATAAGATTTCATCGTGAAAATCTACTGGTCATGGCTCGGCACCTGTTTCTCTCCATAATTTTGAAATAAATACTTGAAGCCCATTTCAAATTGACCTGGAAAAAAGTAAAATGGGACTCGAAGCGCTTAGGAGCGGAGTAAAATGGACCGAGAATAGAACGAGCAGCATGCTATCGAATAGAGCTACATGATTGGGGAAAGGGTCAAAGTCGGAGTTCATTTTCATCTTTTGATATAATATCTCCCTGTATACTGCCTCTACACTACGCGCTATAGATACATATTTGAGATTATGAAGCCTCTTCAGATTTGCCGTCTTGATCTAGAACATCTAAAAGTTACCGAGACTAGTCACTGTCTCGGCATGTTCACGTCCAAACACCTCTTATATACTCTAAGTGCCCGTCGGTTTATCCCCTCTGCCTCTTATATACTTCCCTTGGCCTTCGAGTGCTGCCCTAAGATGCTCAAAACTGGTAAGCGTGAAGGGATGCTCGCGTCTAAAAACCTCTCCATATCCTGCTAATGCCCGTCGATGCATTGCTTCCGCCTCTTCATATTTCCCTTGCCTGTCAAGCACCAAACCAAGGTTACCAACGCTGGTGAGCGTGTCGGGATGATCGCGCCTAAGTACCTTCTCATACCCTGTTAATGCCCGTCAATGCATTGCTTCCGCCTCTTTATATTTCCCTTGCCTGTCAAGCACCAAACCAAGGTTACTAACGCTGGTGAGCGTGTCAGGATGATCGCGCCTAAGCACCTTCTCATACCCTTCTAACGCCCGTCGATGCACCCTTTCCGCCTCTTCATATCTCCCTTGTCTGTTAAGCACTAAGCCAAGATTACTGACACTAGCGAGCGTGTCAGGATGCTCGCATCCAAGCACCTTGTCTCGTACTTCTAGCGCCCATTGGTGCATCGATTCTGCCTCTTCATAAGCGCCTTGGCAATCCAGAAACCCCTCACAATTAGATGAGAGAGTGGTGGCATTCAATTGATCTTCATCATCTATGTCATAATTAGACTTCATTACGTCTTTCGCATGCGGAAGTAGCCTTTGGCATTCAGTCCAGCTTTCATACTTCCCATTAGGAAATATCTGTGCCATGATAGCTCGCGACTTCTGTTGCCACCGTGCCAGCTCGAGGTGGATCTCTAGCCATGTCCGGACCGATAACTGTACGAGTCGATGCATATTAAATGAAGCTGTTTCAGTGTCAACCCGAACAAGAGAGTAATTGATCAATGGCGCTAGTGCATCTTTAAATTATAGCCCATCCCCATCGCCACGGACGAGGACTTCTGAGATCCCCTGCCGATTAAATATGCTTATTAGTGCCAGCAAATCCATCGCCGCCGGCCGATCATGGCGGATTTGCTTAAATGATAGCTGCTATGTCGTGATGACCGTATTTTGAATACTGGGGTCCCGCCGGAGGTCTTGGGCGTCCTTATGCTGAAGAAGATGTGTCTGGTTCGACTCGTTCTCACGGAATAACCGAAGGTACCGGGAGACTATGACCCGAGATGATCGACTGGTGATATAGGATCCCGTCTGAGTGATTGCTAGCGGAATAAATTCTAGTGCCTGGACCAGTGCCTTTATGTCCTCTCTAAAGTGGGGGGCCGGAATCTTTGCTCGTAAAAGGGCGAGGGACTCTTCCTTGTTTATTGGCTGAACATCGATTATATGACCGTCGCTCCCTACTAAGTTCCGTGCTGTAAGACCGTTTCGCGACGTAACTAGGATCGATCTATGCGCGGCCTGGGGTAGGAAGTTCACTAGCGGCCCTCTTTTATGGGATTTATTACCGCTAAAAAAGATCCTATCGTCATCCGCATTATCTAGCACCATTAGCTAGTGCCAATTACGTGTGACACATAATTACTGATATATAAGCTGGAGGATGTTCATCTTCGGATCGTGTCGCCTCGGAATCTCCGCGACTGTGGCAATCTGCTGGTAGCCCTGTTCTAACCGCGCTGCATTGCTGGCGTGGATCTAAAAAGCCCACGTGTCCTGTGTAGTTTCTCGCACATGATAGGAATACTCGATGGCTGTCTGGGTTCTTCTAATGGGTAGTGAGATGAATTTTCATTTAAAAGGCTTTCTTATAGGGACATCTAACCCAACGCCCGCTAATCCTACTAATGCCACCCGCTCATGACGCTGGCCGATCGCCTTGTGTCTTTCCTTAATCGCACTGATGATAGCTTTTTGGCCCATTAACATCGGGTCCTTCTTGTAAGGCACCATGAAGCACGGCTAGGGCTTCGAATGCATCGGTGGTAGGGTTTTCTGTTGGTCTTAACAAAAGAACGGCCATTAGTGCTGACTAGATAGGGGGCTATGCGTTGTAAACCTCACCTGGGGGCAGATGGATCACTCCGTAATTGATTCCCACCTGGTTCCCTAGATTGTTACTGTTGAACGATATGGAGGACATAGTGGGTTCGTAATGTATATTGCGTATATCTGGCGAAATCAATGTTAGATTTTCCAGAAAATGGCAGAAATGGCAGAAACCCCATTCTTAGTCTCAATATCGTGTGACTAAGGTGCTTTAATAATCAGATGCTCTTGTCCTTTGTCAGATGTAACTCACCGAACCGAGCCGCCACCACTGATGGCGCGTCTTTAGAGAGAGAACTGGCGTAGTTTGTCGAGCGCCGTTAGATACCCGGCCGCGTTGCGTGTGTCAAATTTGACCACCACCGAGTGATCGGCATGTAGCGGTATCTTATCCTCCACAAAGTCTGGGAGCTGGAGAAGAGCCGAGTCTGCGCCAACCGTCGTTATATAATCCCCGGTGCGTCTCCACCGTCCGCTTTCCGAGTTCTTTTGCGATCTTTAGTATATCTCATAGCCTATTTCAAACGAAGGCCAGCACGTACGAATACCAACCGCCTCGTCTGCTCCGTTTGATACAAGCTGACCACCTTCCGGTGCCGGATCAGATTCTTAAAATCGGCCAGTTGATGAATTAGGATATCTAATTGGCTAGAAATCTGCAGCAGCAGTTGTTCCCGCGGATGGCTTTCATCCCCTGCTAGCATCTGCTGGATGTCGTCCATCACCAACCCTCTATATGGGATAGCAAAGAGGATCATGCCGTACGTGGCTCGATATAGCGATGTGATCGCCGGGTGGTCTTCCTCCATCGCCTAGATGGCCCTGACCAGGCACTATAAGTTGATATCAGCATAGATTAATGACATCTAGCGATGATCTTACATGAGCTAGGATAATCCCTCCAAAACCGTGTGTAATAAAAAAGAGAGGTCTCTGCTGAAGCTGATCACATAATCAGACCAATCTTGCTATTAATGGACAGGTCAGATAGTGTTTCCTACCTCCTTCGAGTTCCGGATTTTCTTAATCTCCTCCATCAGCTCCCGCCCGTAATCGAGGATCGTCTCGACTCCGTGGCTCGATACCTTAGGATTGTATCCGTAGATCATGGTGCGGCACTATGGAAGATCTTTCGACAGGAAGTCTCGGAGCCACATCCGACCGAGATTTCCTTTGCCCTGCCACGAACCATACGCGACCGTCTAGTCCAGCAATGGCAATGATGCTATATCATATTTTTTGTGAGCATTGATCTTCCAAGCGTACATAACGGCATAAGTCCTCACTCTACAACCACTGGCCCAATTTCGTCCGGCGTGTAGAGCTAGGTGAATCCAAAGAAGTGGCAGTCAAAGTTGGCATCGCTGTCTCCCATCTCGACCTGCCATTCCCTCAGAGGGTCTGCGGTCAACTCAGTGAGGACTGAGGCACTCCACCGCGAAACTGCACCAGCGCCCCCCTTTGTGTGTAAGTTTCGTAGCAGGAAGGCACGATCGTGATCTCAATCTTGATTTGCGATCTCTCGTCGTCGGTGAGGTTGTCGTTTAGTGCCTCTTGTAATGCGGTCTTGAGATCCCCATCAGGCAGTTCCCTCGACAGGCCTGTCACCCGGAAGACGTGTGACGTTCTCTGACTAGCCATCGTGAATTATACGCATACTCGATGATAGAATGATACTATCAATGAGAGCGGACTTTACGTCTGTTGATGGTATGGCCACCTCAGCCGTGCCAGTGAGGCTGAATCAATCAGCCGTGCGGGGTATCGAGCATGTACGCTACTTCCGATCATTGCTGCTACAGTGCTTCCCGAAACCGGTGCAACGAGCTACACTCTTCGACTGATTATTTCGTCCCACCGTCAAGGAACGCTAGCCCATACTAGGAAACGCCCCGGAATATTAATATTCCTGTATCAGTCTCAATACCATGACGGACTCTTTAACTACGATGCTATGTCTCGTAACTGTATGGTGATTTAATGGAACTACAATTTTCCACAGCAATACAAACTGTTCGAACTGCATGTTTCGTTAGGACGAGCTTACTTCTTAGGTAGATAACCTATCTAATTTTCACTCATTCAAGAATGACCTCTCGATTATTTAGAAGATATAAAGACTGGGTAATATTACATCATTCATTCATTGTCGTTTCATAATATAATATTGTGAAAAGCAATCATCCAGTCTGAGGTTGTTCCGAGAATCAATATTGAAAGTAAACTCTCAAGCCAGCGCTTGGGAGATGAGGCTTTGAACCAAATCCACATTGAAAGGAGCAGATTTCTTTTCCTTTCCGTTATCATAAAGCACGGTCAAGGGCAATTCTTCGGCTGAATGCGGTGGCTTAATGAAACCACTGTCGACGACGTAGAGGGAGACCTGGGGCTCAAAGGCTTCATCTGTTTCATGGAACATAGTCAAGAATGGGGATTCTTCTCCCATGGAGGGATTCCAGTAATGAATGATGACAGGTTTCGAGTCACTCTCGCGGATGGCGTCGTCCACCTGTTTAGGTCTAGAATAGACATATTAGAATACTAAGATTCAAGTTGGATAAAACACAAGCAGGCATGTGAATTGTTTGAAACATACTCACTAATGAATTGCACAGGCATTTTGAAATTTGGGGGGAGTTTTTTGCGATTTTTTCTTAGGAGATGGGAAGAAAAATTACACTTTTTTCATGTTCTCTGATCGAAATATATATATTTCTGCTGCATAGCGTGGTGGGGCTCAAGATCAACAGCAGAATCTTGAAAATCTCAGCTGCGCTCGTCGAAGCGCATCTGTATGTTGACATCATGACTATGTACTGTATACAATTTTTCAATTCTATTCCACCCAATACGTCTAAATTGAGGCGCGATATCGAAAAACGTATTTCCGAGGCCTGCGCATCAGCTAGGGGCCAGAATAAGCCCAATATCACTGCATTGGCGCGCGATTTCGACGTTCCATGTCATCGGTTACGCGGTCGCATCGCTCGCCGCGGACCCCTTTTGTACCACCAAACCTACCCCAAAGCACTAGATAAGATGCAAGAATAGTAGATAATTGACGTTGCCAAACGCTCTTATATTGGAAAAGTTTCTTGAAATAGTGCTCTCGTTGCTACCAGCGGCCCGTGCAATCTCAGGAGCGGGGTTGCGTGGTGCGCTAACATTGGCATGTAATGCAAAGATCTCCACATAAGCCAAGTAGGCCCTACCGATCTATCCGTGAACACGTAGTGCCTTGTGTGACTCGTGTTATTCCGCGCCCGAGGAAAGCTGCTCCGGGTGAGGGCATAATGATGTCACATATATTTAATTTACAAGCTAATACATGTTTGAAAAATCATGTAATTTACTTACGTAGAAATACCCGCGCAACTGTCGGAATAGGTCCCAATATAGATTAAGGTTTCTTGGCAGTGGGGCTAAATAATCACCTAAAGAGTGTAAACGGTTGCACCAGTTTCGGGACGTACTGTATCACTTCATAAACACTCCTATATATTGAATGTAACTTACTCCTAAATTACTTGTTTATGGAGAACACACTTGATAGCCACACACCATATCAGTTTGTCGATAATTTCTGCATACTATTTTCCTACAAAAGCTCAGTATACTCACATCAACTTAGTGGCTTGAGTACCTCTTCCATACAAGTCTTTCCTTGACATCCGTGCTGTGATTCGAAACTAGTCAGCCTTGGTCCAGCTCAGGGCTGCCCACGTTAAACTTGACTCCTCCTGGGAATAGTTACTTGATAATGTTATAAAGCGCATTTTGGATCAGTACATTCAAGAAAAACAATGATATCAGTAGGGGAAAGTATCAATATCCTCTGGACCCGGTCGCCACTCAGTCGCACCGGCTCTTTCCAGGATTTCTACCACTTGGTCAAAATGTTGATCCCGCGCTACAACCAATGCAGTGCCGTATCTCGCGTAAGTTCAGGTTCGCACCGGAATTCATAAATAAGATCACTATCTCAGTGTTCCCATATTGAGCGGCTCCTAGCAATGCGCCTCCATGATAGCCACCAGGTGTATCGATCTTTGCGCCTCGATCTAGAAGTAACTGCACCAGGTCCACGTTCGTGCGTCGAGCAGCGGCCTGAAGTGCGCAGCTGTACCAGGAGAACCCTTCGGCATTAGGGCTTGCTCCTCTGTCTAGAAATACTTTGGCATTCTCGAGACTTCCTTCCTCGGCAGCATGATATAGCTCACGGTCCAAATATCGTTGGTCCATATTCTTCCTAGGTGGTAAAAGAAGTATTTAAGATCTGATGTCTCGATTCTGGCCCTAGAAAATCGTTTCCTGTTAAGGAAAGATAAAAGCTTAGTAGACTAGCGCGTACTGACAGATTAAAGATTTTTTAGACCTGGTAGCGTTTGAAGAGTGGAAAAAGGAGAGTTCTTACTAGTAACCCCGCATTGCGGTGAAATAAATCATAGACCTTGGTTTCTATTACACTTGTATGCTTTTAAACACCAGACCCTGCAAATCATCGCGTGCATTCAAAATATCTCGCAGTATGTTATCTAAAGGAGCCATGGGCTACCCTTGATCGCTTGGCCTGACCACCATCCTGCGTCAGCTCGTTCATTTTCCCGATTTCACTCCAGAACAGGACACAAAATGCCCCGTATGGGCTGTCGTCAATCTCTTATTCTGTCTTAGCGCCGCAAAATGTCACCTGACAGTAAGCCTAAAGACGTGCCCTCCTTCCAGCTGAGAGGCAGACAACGGACTTCTCTTAGGAAAACAAGGAAGCACCGTTCTTAATTATGGCGTCAGTCTCATTCGGTGACAACAACCATGGATATCAAATAAGAGATAACTATGGATCGATAAATGCAGTCCATCTGCCTCCAGGTAAGCGGGGAACAGGACCGGGCCGACATTCATTCGCTGATCATCGCCTCTCTAGAGCGACCGGAAACTCCTCCTTGCCCTCTATCAACTGTCCCATTCGCGCGTGATCCTGACTTTGTCAGTCGGGACGCGCTACTTCAACAAATTCACGAGAAGAGTCTAGTCCCAGGGTCGAGGATAGCGCTGGTCGGCCTTGGCGGTGTTGGGTGAGCTTAGAATGATTGGTTCGTGGGGGAAACATTGCTCACAGCTGAAAGAAAATCGCAGCTTGCCATCGAATATTCATACCAGGTCCGAGCCACGTTGCCAGAGACGTGGGTTCTTTGGGTCCACGCGAGTAACGCCGCACGATTCGAGCAAAGTTTTCGAGATATAGCCAACCAGGTGAAACTTCCGGGGCGCCAGGATCCGCAAGCTAATATATTCGAGTCGGTCGAAAATTGGCTCCGGGATGGGAGAAGAGGAAGATGGATTCTTTTGCTTGATAATATCGATGACCCTGAGTTCCTTCGCAAATCTCCTGCGACCAGCCAGGGTGACTCAAAGAATGGTCTAACGAGCACCTTCACGAAGCCACTATTAGAATATATCCCTAAAAGCCTGCATGGATCGGTTATTATAACAAGTCGGACTCGCGAGGTCGCACTGAACATGGTCGATTACAAGGACCTTATTGAAGTCAAACCAATGGAAAAGTCAGAAGCACTGGAGCTTCTCCAAAGAAAGCTTTCACAATCGGAGAAATGCGAAGAGAGTTCACGTTTAGTAGAAGAGCTGGAGCTTATGCCGCTAGCGATTGTGCAAGCAGCAAGCTACATCAGAAATCGAGCGCCTCGTTATTCGGTTTCGCAGTATCTGCGACAATTCCGAAGGAGTGACCGTGAAGCAATAAAGCTTTTGAAAATCGAGGCAGGCCTTTTATACCGGGACTGGGAGGCAAAAAACTCAATTTTGGTGACATGGCAAATATCATTCGATCATGTACACCAGACAAAGCCGTCTGCAGCGGAGTTGCTTTCCCTTATGAGTTGTTTCGATCGGCAAGGAATTCCAGAGAACATTATCCAGTATCGACCACCAGCCAACGACAGATCAAGTCCAGAGCCTCTGGGATATATCACTGACTCTGATGACGGAGAAACATCAGAAAGCGATATAGACCCTGAGTTCGAGGATGATATCGCAATGTTAAGGGATTATTCGTTCATAAATGTTAGCGAAAACGGTACCATGTTCACAATGCATCGCTTAGTGCAACTGACTACACGCGCCTGGTTGAAATCTCATGGAAAGCTTGACCAGTGGAGAGACAAATTTATTAGCATCTTATGCGAAGAGTTTCCCAACCCTCAGTATGAGAACTGGATGACTTGCCAACTATTATTCCCTCATCTCAAATCAGCAATCTCACAGCGGCCAGCATCGCATGAATCTCAACAACAATGGACTTTTCTACTTTACAGAGGTGCTCAGTACGCATGGCAAAGTGGCGATGTCGCAGATATGAGGGAATTCGCATCAGAGTCTAGAAAACAGGGAGCGTTGTTACTCGGTGAAGAGCATGAAGAAGTTCTTCGAAGCAAAGGAATACTAGCTACGGCATACTATGTTGAAGGCCGATGGCAAGAGGCTGAACAACTTTTCTTGGAGGTGATCGAGGCGAGCAAATTAAAGTTCGGCGAGGATGATCACTTCACGCTATCAAATACTACGAATTTGGCGGCCACGTATCGAAAGCAGGGTCAATGGAACAAGGCTGAGGAGCTCCAGCTGCGAATTATGGAAACGAATAAGGCCGTGCTCGGCGAAAAACACCCCGACACACTATCAAGTATATCTAACTTAGCGGCAACATATCAAAATCAGGGCCGCTTCGAGGAGGCCGAGGCGCTCCAGATAGAGGCACTGGAAACGACCAAGGCGAAGCTCGGCGAGGATCATCCAGAAACACTATCGGGGAAAGCCGACCTGGTGTTAACGTACTTCTACCAGGGGCTATTGATAAAAGCTGAGCATCTCTGTGTACAAGTGATACGGGCTCGCAAGACTAAGCTTGGTGAAGGCCATCCTGACACACTGGCAAGCATTCATAATCTAGCGTCGATATTATTGAACCAACGGCGGTGGGAAGAGGCCGAGCAGCTTCTAATACCAGTGATTCAGGCTCGCAAATCAAAGCTTAGTGACGACCACCCAGACACACTAAGCAGTGTGGCCAATCTGGAATTGATATACCACAACCAGGGCCGGTTGGAGGAGGCCGAGAAGCTCGGTATACTAGTATTAGATATCCGCAAGACAAAGCTCGGCCCCAGCCATCCGGATACGCTAATCAGTATGGCTAACCTGGCATTAATATACGACGACCAGGGCCTATGGAAAGAGTCCGAACATCTCAAGATACAGGTTACGGAGACAAGTCAGGCGAATTTCGGTGCGGATCACCCTAGCACGCTGACCAGTATGGCCAGTCTCACGTTCACTTTATGGCAACAGGACCGGTGGGAGGAGGCCAAGCAGCTCGAGATACAGATAGTTAAGATTCGCAAAACGAAGCTCGGCGAGGATCATCCCGACACGTTGCTCAGTATGTCTAATCTCGCCTGCACTTGGAGATCTCTAGGTCATGATGTCAAAAGCATCAATCTACTACGAGACTGTTTAGCCAAGCGAGAAGAGATACTTGGTCCTCACCACCCGGATACTTTATCTACTTCCGAATTATGGCTAGAGTGGGAGATGGAAAACGCACGCAGTAATGAAAAAGTATGGGAAACGGATGAGGAATGGGAGACAGAGGGGGAATGAATAATCGAGTTGGATGAGGATGTGCAGAGAAGCTCTACACTTGAATGCCAAATGCTTTCTACTTGTGCTCTTGCCACAACGACTCTTGTTAAACATTCTATCCAGTTGGCGCTAATCAGATCATGGCATTTGCTAAGCATCGCTACCAAAAGGGAGTGTACAAGGAGAAGCAAATTCCTCAAAGAGTCAGCTAAGGATTTTGGCAGGAGTATTGCAAGTAAATTAGAGATCCATTGTTGCGTCATAGCATGTATCAATACGGTTCAATGTACAAGGCGCAAGGGGCTCACAATATGTACAGGCAGAATATTGAAAGGAGAACCTAGAGATGTATAGAGCGCATCGAGCATATCATCTTGCCTCAGTTATGAACAGCGACTAAAAGATTATGAGGGGCGAAATGAAAGTCCTCGGGTAGAGAATGTCACAGTCTAAGAGATATACATCTAGCCCTTAGCTAGGAAAATTGGAGCTCATGGAACTGCGAGTCTTGGAACCAAAGCCACCGTGAGGACGATTCAAACAAGGGTAAGCCTAGAAATATGTACAACGTACACCAATCAACGGCCTCCACGCCCCATCTCAACATTACCCGCATCTGAGGTCGTTGTTTCCCATTCCCGGTTCGTGACTCAGCTCTCCAAGGTAACTCTATCTACTTCTTGAAGGTTCTTCTTACTCAATTGGGAATTTCCCCTATGAACAGACAAGACCCTGACGACATGGCCGGTAAAGTGGCTATCAATGATTTGGGCCCAGATCACTTAGCCGCCTTCAAGCTATCTCTTCAGCGCATTTGGTCGATAAAGCTTGTGGAGGATACATTTGCACAGATTGTCGATGGTATCCCAGTAGAACATTTGGACACTGAATTATTATTTCAGTACGATGAAGAAATATTCGGGCGTACACACCCGAGTGATGACGCCTTAGACGAGGTCGCGCGATGGAAATCGAAATTTCAGATAGAGAGTTTCAGTATAGATGCCGAGGTATGTTTTTCTATGTTATTCCCGACTATCGTAGCTCATACATATATTTGTATGTCTCAAAGGTCGCCCAAGCGTATCAAAATACCACGAGGGGACAACGGAGTTTGACGTCCGTCTTATTGAGATGGTTGCTGTTTCTCTACATACAATTGCATCCCATCTTCTTGCGCACACACATGAATTTCCATACCAATGTCCAGCGCATGATGATTTTAAGTCCATACTTGACTCCGAGGAAGCCCTTATCAATTAGAAAGTCCCAAGGGCCCCAGAGCCTGAAGACAAACCTCCCCTACCTCGTCATGTCCCCACATATCTATACCACCCAGATTACACCGTATATGAGCGATACCCGATGGGGGTGCCTGACATGGTTGCGTATTTGGCAGAATATAGGGTTTTGGTGGCGTTGTACTGTTCGGTCGGAGCAAGTCAAAACAAGAAGTATGTATTCCCAGTCTGACTGATAGTTAATCGCTAACCTAGATCCTGTTCTAAGATGTTTTTTACCACCCTAGCCTAGGATTCCGGCCATTTAGCTTGTCTGAGGGACAGATTGAGCAGTTCATCACCTTCTGTATCTACGGGGAGGTTTCAATCCCTTGTCCGTTCCCGATGGTAGCTGAACGAAACGCTCGACGGGTCTATTGCGATGATACTTTTGATTTGCATATCTATCAAACAAATATGAACGGAACCCTTCTGTTTATGAGCCTGACCGACCTTGTGTGAGAACACGGGTGGAAGACGATTCTCCTTCATAGGAGACGCTGACTTTTTTGCGGGAATATTTTAAGGAAGCGGGTGAAAGGACGCGTGTTGAAAGTCTATAAGCCAAAGTTTTAGAGCTAGACTATGTGCAATCCTGTTATATTTCTTTCTCCGGGACTTCCACTTGCCACTACCCCAAACCGACGCTGTTCTTGCTGAGTAGTTATCGAAGAGTTCCTCTCCGCGCTCGTATTTATTTCCGGTTTGGTCTCTCCCTTATGATCATCTAGCATGTAAGACGCGAATACGATGCGATCATTTTCAGATTTCAGACTTTCCAAGAAACATATCCAAGGTTCAATCCCCGGTGGATAAAATAAAGAGGCTTGAGTGATACATGTTAACAGAGCACTTTCCAAACTTTAAGACATAGATTCAATCCTGCATAGAAACCGCTTCAGATCAATTTTCTACTCCCCGTGCCAAGAAGGGGAGCCCGGCGGAGGCGGGGAGAATAGAGTAGGAACGCGCGGACCATAACATTCGAAACGGGGAAACGATCAACATCAAATGATGTGTGAAGATTCCTTCATCGAAACATTGATATACTTGGCACGGGGTGTGAAGCCGTCAATGGGGCGCCCCCTCAATCTTCTTGGCGTCTCCAGACCAGGGGGAGGCTGACGCGTCCCCATGCACCCTTCTTCACAGGTGCAAAAAGCGTTGGGAATTGTTAATGTTCTGCAGGTAATTGGCCTGAAGGTGTGGGGATTTGTTGCCGAGGCCAAGAAGAAGCATAATTTCGCTTACTTGGCCGGGCATTCTTGGCAATGTCAATAATATCAAGTAATATCAAGGACCGGTATCAAATGTCCTGGATGCTCCTAGACTCCCGGTCCATGTTGATTGTTTGGCCATGTACCGACTCTCTCGGTAATTGACTTGGCTTTCATACACAGCAATGCAACCAAATCCCATGACCTACCGTTTCTACTATAAAGTACGAACCCCTGACTTAGTGTAAGCAATGCAAGTCCAAGTGCCATGAATAGCCCGGTATAGGTAGCTTGAAATTCTTGGCGCGCGGGGTCCTCTAAATGAAGTTTTGACGAAGATCATGGAAACGCCACAATTAAGCGTTTTGCCCAATATTCTGCTCGGTCCACTTCAACTAATTCGTGCCTTGCCAGGTATGTAGAGAATTCTGGGGAACCAGAAGGTTCAAAAAATAGGCTAAGCCAGCGGCATCCTCGTTTGGAATACAATATAGTCTATACATCTCCAATATGAGAGCAAGATACATGCAATTCGGTTGTCAAAACGGCGTCCATGATGGGTGGAGTATTCTAGGCACATGCGTACTTCCTGACTGCCACGAGATCGTCGGGGCTTTGTCCGTGGCTTGTGTCTACTCTGCAGGATTGCATTGCTCCATAGTATCATTAAAACTCCGTCCCCTGTAAATTGATCAGAAATGGCTAGGACGAGACGGTGGATGGAAGTGCCAAGAGAAAGCATACGCAATTTGCCTCCGGCAGGGCTGTTGGAAGGCATCACGCCGTAATATCTAGCAGTGCCTTTTGTGCCATTTTTTCTCCTGTGGGGGAACTGATCGACGTGCTTGTTTGAGCACGGAATGCCATATTGGTTCAAAGCCACGAATGAGGAGGAAGGTGAAAACCAGTCAACTGCGACGATGCGGGATATAAAAGCCATGGTCCTGCACTGTATATCTCTCCCTCAGGGCAACAAGGTCGGCTCTCAGCTTCCACTTCGAAGACTTCCTTTTTATTGATCTCCTTTCTGTTGTTTCTTCGTCATGCAGTTACAATCCATTATCGTCCTGGCTACTGTCGGTCTAGCCACAGTAGGCCTCGCCCACCCCGGCCACAACGAGCACGAACGTCGGGACTTGGGCCTTCAGCAGTTCAAGTCACGAGTTCGTCGAGACCTGGCAAATTGCGCAGAAAAACGCGAGGCTTCCGGTCTCAATGCTCGTGCGGAAGCTCGCCGCAAGGCCACTCTAGAAAAGTATCGTCGCCAACTCAAATCCAAGAGGGACACCACGACTGTTTTGGATACCTCCCACCTGTACACAGGAACCGATATCACTGTCGACAGTGATGACAGTGTGGTTTTCTCCGACAGCGGGACATGCGTGCTCAACCCCGAGGGTGAGGTCGGTCCCTTCTACGTGCCGGGCGAGCTGATCCGCGAGGATGTGCGCGACGATGAGGAGGGAGTGCCGGTGGTGCTAGAGGCCCAATTTCTGGATGTCAGCACCTGTGAGCCTATCGAGGGCGCTTATTGGGATATTTGGAACTGCAACTCGACTGGAGTATGTTTAATCAACCCTGAAGCTTTCCAGCCCGTGCTAACCGGTCATGTAGGTGTACTCTGGTGTAGTTTCCAGTGGTAATGGTAACACAGCGGATACTGGCAACCTGGACAAGATCTTCCTTCGCGGTATCCAGGAAACCGACTCGGATGGTGTCGCCACTTTTGAGTCTATTTTCCCCGGTCACTATTCCGGTCGTGCGAATCATCACCATGTGGTCCTGCATCTGGATGCTACTGTCCTCTCCAACGGCACGTTGACCGGTGGTACAGTCCCCCACATCGGCCAGCTGTTCTGGGACCAGAGCTTGATTTCGATCGTGGAGGCCACTTCCCCATACAGCACTAACACAATTGAGTTGACCACCAACGCTGAGGATCGTGTGTTTGCCGATGAGACTGAGGATAGCACCTCAGACCCCGTGTTCGAATATGTCTACATTGGCGATGATGTTTCCGATGGTATCTTTGGCTGGATCACCATTGCGGTTGACACCACGGCCGAGTACACCCCGACTTATAGCTTTGAGTACACATCTTCTGGTGGCGAGGCTGTGAGCAGTTCTTCGGGCTCAGGCTCCGGCTCGGGATCTGGATCTGGTTCTAGCTCTGGTGGCTCTGGTGGCTCTGGTGGCTCCAGCGGTGCTGGTGGTCAGGGTGGCTCTGGGGGTGCTGGAGGTCACTAAAACCTGAGTTGAAAAAACCTTCCTCTCTATATACCAAGACTTAGCCAATATTTTTCTTTGCGCGTCCTGTCTTTACTGTTTCATTTGTCTGCGCTTTTATCGATTTATCAGTGACAAACAGTGAGCTATGTGATCATATCTGACGAAAGAGCGATTTTGCATCGGCTCGAGATGCTATTCATTTGTATGTAAAGCCCTGCCTGCTGGTATATGTTAGCTTAGGCAATATTGCGTTCAAGCTTCTTCGTCCAAGATTCTGGCATCTGCAAGTTCAGGCGCTCTTTTCAAGGTACCAAGTCAGACTAGCCCATATTTCTTAATTACAAGAACCAGTGAGTCTCATGTGTATCACTAAGTATTACGGGCAAAGCCGCTCTTCATAGTAACCAAAAAATCGAAGACCACGCCATGAAGTGAGTTGACGGGATGCATACACGACTGGATAAATTGGATGCATTCTGCCACCGCCCTTGGGCCCACCGTAAACAAGCTCGTGCGCTAACTGTATTAGGCTTAGCACGCCTGTCAAGTAAAATATCCCAACGGCTTTTACAATCAATGGAGACTTGGAAACACCTGTTCATCCGCTGAGAATTTACACAAGCAGGCCATATCCATTCGCAGGTAGCAACATCAAATGTGAGGTCATCCAGCCCTAAAGTTCATATGCTTTGTTACACATAGTCAGATGACGAATGGATGGTATGCTCTGGCTTAAACTTTGGAGTGAGCGTTTCAATATTGCTGTCAATCAAATAAAAAAGAGATGCTACGAGGATTCCTGGAAGTCCAAGGTAATTTCAGGGTTGCATCGTTGCTAGAGAGCCCGGACGGCACCTGAGCTGCGTATCCATCCGGGAACCATTGGCATTAGCCCCGACAAACTCGTCATATTATCAAGGTCTCCTAAACCCATCAAAACCTTCGTACTTGATAAGCTTGATGTTTGCGTGGCTCAAAAAACGTTGCTGGCTTCATGTCCCTTACTCATAGCGAGCAACCTACTCAATCCATGTTAAATCCTCCAAAGCTGGTTATGTGTCACCTCAGAATGGTACAAAACAGGGCAAAGTTTCATAGTAGTGACTTGAATACTAATATTGTGTTTTTCTCGGATTGAATTTCCAAGGTCGCCCTAATCAGATCCGCTTGTATCCAGCGATTCTATGTACTTTCTTCGGGGCTCCAATGTAGGGCAATGTGGCGTTGCAGTATGTCTGGGAGAGAATTCATCTTCATAATGATATCACTAACTTGCTTGATCAAGTATCCCGGTTTGTAAGTGATGTAGTCAATAATCTGGTCTTAGCACCTTGCTTGGATATCTCTTGTCATTTTCTAGTGATGCGGGTAAATGTCGTGTGACAGGCTTATTCCAGTTCTTTGTGAAACAATGGTAACAGCGCGAATAGCGGTGATCTTTTCAGTAGAATGCAAATCAACTAATGACCAGTGGACATGTTCATTCTAGGGTGTCATGGATATTCAAGAATCTGCCGGTTCCCAAATACCCCCACCTTCGCCCTAGCCGGGGCAATTAGAACACAATAGCATCTAAATGTCGTTTTCAGCCACTCTTCAACAAATGATTACATTCATGTGTGCCAGATTCCTTTCTCTACAATCACTTGCCGAGTTTCCGTCCTGCACCAGGGTGAAATCTCCAAAGTGAGCGATACCATCAATGTACCCCGCAACCCAAAGAACAGGATGGATAGATGCCGATCCACATTGACTTAATACCCCGGTCTATTCACACTCTAGTCTCTAGTAATATCACTTTGGGTATAAAAGTCGCTGCTTGCACAGTCCACACCGGCAGCTCACTTGTCCTTGTTGCCCCGCAAATGATCACCTTCGGCACACTCTTAGTCGCATGGTTGCCTATAATCACCTCTTGGCGTTGCATGTGTTTGAAACCACTTCACCGCTTCTTTGTCGCAGCCTATGAGGCTTTGGCTGGTAGACAATGCGGCTGAATTACATAATAAGGGTCTAAATGGCACGGTTTCAAATTCATATAACGCCACTGAATGTGGCCCCCGGGGCCGAAGAAACAGCTCATACGAGGGGCCCTGCCGATTCTGACAATTCTCTTAATCCTCCTCTTCGCTGTCACCGTCCTTCATTCATGCCTGTCTTATCAACAAGATCTAAGAAAGAGTTGCATAATCTTAGCCCATCATGACTTCGAGTATTCCTCTACCGTGGTTTATGTTTCTGCCCCTGTTTATCGCCAAGGCCATATACTGGCCGTTTGAAACTGCGCACAGCGCTTATGAAAATTATAAAAATTGGAGAGAATATCGACCCGTTCGCCCGGTACCTCGCACTCGTAGGCGTGCTCTAACGCTACCTTTGCCTGAAAGCTCCTATCGCGGTCGCAAACCACAACGGACACATAACCAATCACAGTCGCTCTTTTTACATCGATTACCGTATGAAATCCGAAGACAAATATACGAATATGTATTGGCATCACCGGAACTTCTACATGTTGTAGATACCCGCTCCGGCCGCCTCGGCAGTGTCCGGTGTTTTGCCTCGTGCCCAGAGAAACGACTGATCCAGCATAAATGCACTTCTCCGGGCTATGACCACGATCAAGACAGTTTCCGGCAACCAATGTGTCTTAGCCTCTTGTACTTGTGCCGTCAAATGTCAGTAAGACTCTACAGGAAAGGATGGTATTCATTACTAACAGTGATATATAGATACTCAGAATCGGTAGATGTTCTCTATACCAAAAACACCCTGGCTATAGAGGACGATGCCCTTGGGAACCTTCCAAGAGCAATGTTACCTCATCGCCTGACATCTATCCGTAACATCAGACTTGAAACTTTTATAACAAGTAAGACTGCTCATAAGTCTGATTCTACGAATGCAATGTGGAAAGAATCCAATCGAATTTGGATGGACGTGTGTCAATTTCTCAGTGAGATGGGTACCTGTGACCTTCAAAAACTTGAGGTCAGGATTGCACGTATTCGTTGGGCGCGGAAGCGAAAAGGGGATCTCGGACCCAATGATGACTTACTTCTTGGGATGCTGAATCCTCTCCTTCAAGTGAAGGTCCCAGAGTTTCGCGTTATCCTTGATGGGTGGCCACAGCAGAGAGAAGATGTGTTGCGTATTCTTGGGGCGGATCCTCCGTTTTCTATTGACACGACGAAGAAATTGACCAACATGGAGGCCCCGAATCCACCGACGCAGGAAGAATTGTTGGCACAGGAGATACATTTACTGCATATAACCCCTTTCCCAGCGGATAGTGGATAATGTATGTAATTGAGGATTCGGAAGATAGCAGTGATCAGTTTGAGTCTACATATATTCCCTTCGCCGGCTACCACAGTCCGCGGCGTGTTTCTTCAGCTTGAAAACAATAGACCAATAGCTGATGATAATATCGACAACTACTGCCTTTGCCAAGGTTCTGTTTTCGAGAATGATTGTACGACATCAAGCCATTCATTGATCGACTGAACTATTTATATAAGTTGGGGTTGCGGGCTGCAGCCAATCAGCGTACATCAGACCACACATCTTGGCGTCGATCGGACCGACGATAAAGGAATCCGCCACTGCGCGAAGGCCAGATTGTCCACATCCCTTTTAAGCTTTGTTTCTTTATAAGCCAACATTCCGTCCGCATGAACTAAAGTCTGTAATTGCCATCCCACCTGTGCGACGCACCCGCGACTCGATTTTGCACATTGTGGAGATTTTCGTTTTGCGCCACATTGCGTATACTGTGTTGCCGCATTCTCCGCGTTCTGTTTTCTTCATACTTTCCCACTGATGGTCCACAAGATGCGTTCTGCGGCAAAGCTGTTTTACACAGCGGTCTTCGCTTTTGTGACTGTAGCAGATGCTAGTCATGCCTCGAAAGAGCTCGACACTGCGAAATGCGCTGTAAGTGAATCTTGGAGGCACGGAGGCGAAAAATCACAGGCGTGGAATGATTTGGCTGACATCTGCATGATTGCTGTAGTTTGATCCCTCGGCCATGGTTACAGACGCGTGCGTTTCATACGGCACCATCAATAAACTCAACGACGACGTCTACTCTCTCCTTCAATCCCTCACCACCGAAACCGATTTCTTCTCATATTACCGATTGAACCTGTTTAACACTGAATGCCCGTTCTGGTCCGATGCCAATAGCATGTGTGGCAACATCGCCTGCTCCGTGAACACGATCGAGTCCGAGGAGGACATCCCGCTCACTTGGCGCTCGGAAGAGCTGAGCAAGCTGGAGGGGCCGAAAGCCAACCATCCGCCACGCAGGGTACAGGCGGAACGTCCCAAAGAGCGCCCTCTCCAAGGTATGCTCGGAGAGGGCGTCGGCGAGAGTTGTGTAATGGAATATGACGACGAATGTGACGACCGGGACTACTGTATCCCCGAGGATGAGGGCTCAGCGGGCAAGGGCGACTACGTGAGCTTGGTGGACAACCCTGAACGATTCACCGGATACTCCGGACCGGGTGCGCACCAAGTATGGGACGCCATTTATCGCGAAAACTGTTTCATGAAGTCCACTGAGGAAGGACTGGAAGAGCAGTCTTACAACATGCCTCTTGGCGGACTTCAGGCAGCGTCTGATTTCCGCAACGTGCTACAGAAGGAGTCGCAGCGCCTGGACGGTCGAGAGTTAGAATTGGACAATGAGTGTCTGGAGAAGCGAGTTTTCCACCGTCTTATTAGCGGCATGCACGCATCTATTTCAACCCACCTCTGCTGGGATTACTTGAACCAGACCACTGGCCAGTGGCAACCTAACATGCAGTGCTATAAGGAACGGTTGCATGACCACCCCGAGCGCGTCTCTAACATGTACTTCAACTATGCTCTGGTGTCACGCGCCGTGGCCAAGCTGCGCAAGCACCTGCAAGGCTACACTTTCTGTACCAGCGACCCGGTCCAGGACTTTGACACCAAGCAGCGAGTCAACGAGCTTGCGGAAATTCTGGCGCGCCCTCCTCGCATCTTTGATGAGGAGCTGATGTTCCAAGATCCCATTGCCCACGGTCTTAAAGACGATTTCCGGAACCGGTTCCGCAACGTCAGCCGCTTGATGGACTGTGTTGGCTGCGACAAATGCCGTCTTTGGGGCAAACTGCAGGTCAATGGATACGGAACCGCATTAAAGGTTCTCTTCGAGTACGATGAGACCAAGAACGGCGAGAACCCGCCTCTGCGCCGCACGGAGCTGGTCGCTCTGATCAACACCCTCGGCCGTATCTCTCATAGTCTTGCTGCCGCGCGTAGCTTCCACGAAGCCTACGAGGCGGGTCAGGAGCATGCGTTCCCCCTCCACCACTACGCTCCTATTGCCCCCAAGAATGCCGAAGTGACGCCGGACAAGAACCAACCCAGACGTGTATTCCACGATGGTGCTGGTAATCTGTACTATGAGGAGAACGATGATAGCGATTGGTACCACGGAGGCCAGAAGATGGAGGGACGTAAGCCCTGGGAGTACCCAGCTCGCCCCGAGACGGCCACCCCTTACGATGACTTGGTGACTGAGTGGACCGTTATCCGCGACACAACTCTGTACGTCGTGAAGAGCTGGATGGGAATCCCTCGTACCTGGTGAGTATTATTTTCCCCCCGTTTACAGTGATAACCGGAGTGCTGACTTGGCGAATAGTTATGGCATTTTGAAATCCGAGTCCGAGCGACTCTGGGCTTTCTGGCTCGGTCTGCCTGTTCCTCCTCGCCAGTGGAAACTCAAGGCTCCCGGGTCAGACGATCCTATGCGTAATTCTGTTGATTATAAAGAGCTTTGATATATTTCGTATTAGCATACGCATCTATTGTATATAGCGACCATTTTGGATTCGGCGTTCAGAACGGTTTAATTTGGGGTTTGGGATGAATACTTGCATCAGTGGGTTCACTGCTTTATATTGGCTATAGATCAAGTCTGTCTAACGTCAACCTTTGAAGTTTGTTTGAGACAGATGTGTTCAGCTTTGGCTCATATAGTTTCCCTCGGAAATGCATTCTATTTCGGGTACGATGATAGGAGTACCAGTACTTAGTCCATTTGCCACCACAGAGATTTCCACCCCGCAGTACCAGACTTGTGAAGTGACACTGATCAATGAAAATGTTAGTGTATTAAGGGAACCTTGTATTGATGAATTATCCAATTTTGTACTCAATTTCACTTGTACTCTCTACTGAGCGTGTGGCAATTCCATGTTTATAGCCTAGGCGTATTCGGTAATCGCCGACATCCTCGGCTTCTCCACTCCCGGCCACATGCGACCTGGAACTTTGCCTTTTCCCACTCCCTTTCCCCGTCATCGCGCTCCACCCCCAGTTTCATTTCCCCATCTTCTTGACCCGATGCGCTAGATTGCTCATCATGGCATCGGTGTCACCACCAAAACCGTGGGAAATGGCAGGTGCTGCTACTGGTGAGTCCTTCCCCAGAACACGGACCAACGCCCTCAAAGCGGTGAACCGAGGCGTATCGAAGCGATCTCGATCGCGTCCCCATCGCAACGTCTCTAATGATCCGGTATTAATGATGTATAGGCAACGCATTATCATCTGTGCCCACTGCCGGTAGTCCCGTTGCCTCAACTGCGATGACTACTACCACCCCCTCTGCGGGCAACCCCGCAACTACCTCCACCGCTCCCGATTTACCCTCCCGCCCCAGTACTCTCAACTCCGTCGTCAACAGTAACGCCTCCAACTACTCTCCCTACGGCGCATCTCGCTTAGGTGCCAGCCCTTACGGGGGCCTTGGCGGCATGGGCGCATACTCCTCACCATACTCCCGCTTCGGCACCATGGGCTCCATGTACGGAGGGGGCTATGGCGGCTATGGCGGTATGGGGGGCATGTACGGCGGCATGGGTGGTATGGGAGGCATGTATGGTGGCATGCCTGGGCAGGACCCGAATGACCCTAACAGTTTGACCAACTCGTTTAGTCAAAGCACCCAGGCCACGTTCCAGATGATTGAAAGCATTGTCGGAGCATTCGGGGGCTTTGCCCAGATGCTGGAAAGCACTTATATGGCCACTCACAGTTCATTCTTCGGTAAGATCCTTCTTGAATTAATGACATTGTGGACGAAGAGAGTAAGGTCTAACTTTTGTTGTAGCAATGGTATCGGTCGCAGAGCAGCTCGGAACATTGCGAAACACCCTCGGCTCGGCGTTGGGGATTTTCACAATCATTCGGTGGTTCCGCACATTGATCGCCAAACTCACCGGCCGCCCTCCCCCAGCGGACGCTACTTCACTGACTCCTGCGGCTTTCGCTGCGTTTATGGGCGGGCGATCTGCCCCCGCTACTCTCCCTGATGGCTCACCAGCCCCTGCCAAGCCATCAAAGAAGCCATTTTTCATGTTCCTCGTTGCCGTTTTCGGTCTCCCCTACCTCATGAGCAAGCTCATCAAGGCTCTTGCCCGGTCGCAGGAAGCAGAGGCGAAGCGCCGACAGCAACTTGTCGGCCCCAACGGCGAGCCGATGTCCGCCTCGCTTGATCCTACCAAGCTGGATTTCTGCCGTGTCCTGTACGACTACTCCCCCGAGACCCAAGAGAGCAACGGTATCGATCTGGCCGTGAAGAAGGGCGACATTGTCGCTGTTCTTAGCAAATCTGACCCCACAGGCAATGCCTCGGAATGGTGGCGATGCCGTGCCCGTGACGGACGTGTTGGCTACCTGCCTGGCCCATATCTGGAGACTATCCAGCGACGACCCTCTCAAGCAGCCATCACCTCTGGTAGCGAAATGGCCACACTCAACAATACCGGCCGCACACAAAGCCTCTCAGCTCTCTCTAAGCCTTCTGGCGATCAGCCACCCGAGCTCAAGGGCAAGATGGGCGATATCTCGCCGGAGAGCTTCCAGAAGAGCACCTTCTATTCGTGAGAAATATAGACTTTGCCCGAGACTCCGGGTCTGTTAGAGCTTTTACCGTGACGACCGCGGCTCTTTATGCTTCTGCTTCTACGGACCAGCCAAAAGCAACCGAACACCTACGATTTACATATTCCCCACACACAACTAAGCAGCATTCTGGGTCTATTTGGCCTGGATTTGGATCCGAGCAGCCAATCATTTCATTGATGACGTCTCATCTTTACCGTAAATATTCATACACATCTTCACCTCACCTTGCTTTTTATCGGGTCGCTCTGGTCTTTTACTTATCTACCACCATATGGTTCATCTTTATCTTTTATTTTCGTGCTCCGGAATGGGCCTGGTTTAGCGACGGTACTTTCCAGGATTTTATGTATCTTACTGGCGAAATGCATTTTATGGAGGTTGTCCATGTTTCACATCTACTTCTGCTATCTGGACAATTTGAATGTTATTTGTCTCCCAAGCTAGTTAAAATCATACTAGGTAATCAATGAGTGTAAATTTGGACAATTATTGTCGTTCAATCTGGATAGCCACGTCATGTAACTCGGAGATTATACTCGTGTCCCCCTTTGAAGCCCGGGGCACGTGCTCATTTCTTAGACATCACCTTTAATTCATCTTCATCATACACTTGATCCTGATTTATCATGGTATTTCTTAGAAAGCACCTTTCATAATTACCATTCTACAACTTTAATTTTTAACATCTGGTGTCGAAGGGTTTTTTTTTAAAAAAAAAAAAAAAAAAAACAGGTACAATAGTCAATACGAACATGGCAAATGTTATCAACAGGCTTTTTTTACTGTTGGTCCCAGATGTTTCATTCAACGTCAACTCATGGCTCATCTCCTATATTCTTTACTTATTCTTTACTCATTTATCATTGTTAGTGACGAGTTTGAGTTCGAGTTTAAGTTCGATGATTATGTTTTAAGGTTTACAGCCTGTAAGATTAGCGGTGGAAAATTGAGTGATAATCATATCAGAAACACCTTAAAACGCCTTGAAAATGGACGAGTGTTGAGAAACGAAAGAGAAGGAAGGAAAAAGGAAAATAAAGAGGTACTTACACGATCAGGGGGGAGAGAGAGTATCCCAAGATCAACTTGAGTTTAATATTCGACCAATCACGAGATTCGCCATCACAAACGCAAAATCACGATTTGATCCCAACATTCGTATTGTGGCGATCTTGGTACTTCTCGCGTGATTTGTGAGCCTCGTACATCCCATCCAGGGTCCACCTATTAGGATGAATGATTACGATTGCTATAAAATCAGTACAGCTCACGTACTTGGTACTTCACCTAAGGTCAAGCTATTGGCTTACTCTTGGAGGCGTGCCTGCTTCAAGGATTGGCCCATTACCGTTCTAATGATATATTTGAGCTACATAGCTCAATATTAATATCCTTCTCGCTTCCTTCGTTGCTCCTGCTAAGTCCCTTTTGACCACGGACACTGTAGCAGTTATTAACCAATCACCTTGGAATAATCTACAACCCCTGGAAGCTCGGGTCCAAGAATCTAGACCCTAGATTGTTTGCTCGGCCTCGGACCTCAATGGTCCCCGATCATTGTGGAAAGTGATACGTCCATTATGCATTATAAGGAGAGCTTGACTGTACGGTATACTGTAACCTCAATATGACTCAAATGCGCGGCTTTCACTTTGCAAATCTCACCCAACGGAGTTGCATTCATGGCCATCTATTCAAAACACTGGCACGCCTTAAACTTCCTTGTTTCTTATCTTGTGGTGCAGGTGGCCTTCGAACTCTAAAGGGTTGATGTCATGTCTACTGCTGGAAGAACCTTTTTGCGGGCAGATTTAGGATTTGGAGTGAACTTTACCGGTGATTTAGAGATACATTCGAGGATCTGGCTACTTATTTTGACTTTGCGGGATGTTCTGCGTTACGTAGATATGATTCAGCAACTTTGGATTGGAAAAGGTTGAGTTGAAGGTGATGATCAGGGTATATTTGAGGGTTCTCGTGTCACAATACAGTATATTAAGTTGTGGAACCTTGGCTCTACGTATAGAATGAAATCCCATCAAACTATGGGAAGATCATACGACTAACACTATGATCCCAACAAAAATATAGCGTGGATAAGTATATAATATAGACAGAGATAACAGCGGAGGTAGGACGGACGCAATGCATGGCTGCAAAAGAAACACATCTTAACCTCAACCCCTGATCTAAGTCATTCCAGTCAAATTCAGATAAAGTAAACCAGCAAGATCAGAACCAGGCTCCAGCCTAAAAAAACGCCCCATGCTATGATATTTTCCTCGATCTCCTGTCTGGTAAATGCTGCGTACTGGTTGAGAAGAGAAGGAAATAAAAGTATAAGAAACCAAGGTCGAAAACGAGATACGCTCCAGATGATAGAAACAAAAACAATGAAAGAATCATGTACATGAGCGAAAACAGAATCGCCAGAAAACATAAGAGAGAAGAACCTCTAGGATGGATCTTGGGAAATATTGATCACTGTCCCAGGCCCTCGTGGTGACCAGAGATCTCATGGTTAGGATCCTGTTCCCGAGACCACTTGGACATGGATCGATCCAATTCATACTGCAGTCCTTCCAGGCGACTCTGGAATATATCCAACGGAGTCCAGCCCTGGAAATTAGAAACGACCTCGCCCGGTGCATCCATGTCGTCCCGATGCGAAAGCTGAGGTTGAGAAGGGAAGATGGCCGGAACAGGTGCGGGTGTAGCGGTAGAAGCAGGGACAGAGGATGAAGTTGATGACGGGATTGAGATTGGCGGGATAGCTGTTACAGGCGTGTGGACGGGATGGATGGGGTTCAAAGTGCGTCCGGATGGTGGGTGGAGCATGGAGTGGACGGAGGGGTGGTGGGTCTGTGGCCGGGCCAGTTCTGACGGGTGATATGGCCGGCGAGGGGGGTTGGAATGTGAGTGTGAATGCTGGGAGTGCGAGTGCGAATGCGAATGCATGTTCACTGCGTAGGAGTCGTCATCGCCGGCAATGACAAGGTCGGGCATGGTGGCCAAGTTGTTAGGATCTAGATTGAGATTAGGTTATGCTTTTTGATATCGAGCGAACCCTGGCGGGTTTGAATGATTACCATAGTTTAATGGGTAAGGAGGGGTTTCCCTCGTTGGAGATTGCACTTCTAGTGGTGAGATGGGAGTCGCGGATTCCTCCTCTCGTTCGGGGGTATAGCATGACATATCAGACGGGGTTTCTGTTGCTAGTAGCATAAGTATGACTTTGATTCGATATAGCACGTGGTTCCAACCTACTCGGTTCAGGACTCTGTAATTCGGCATCTTTATCCCGATTCTTCACCCACTGCGTTCCATAGCGACGAACGAAGCGAGTGAACTTTTTAGGGTCGACATCTTGCCCGGCTCTCCGAAAGGCGGTTTGCTTGCCTCGGGCGGCACGCTTTTGCTTTTTGCGAATCATGACTTGTACTTCGGCCGCTTTAATATTCTTTCGGACATTCCATGCAGCAAGTCGATCTTTGTACTGCTTTTCTCTGCAGCGACGAGGTGGTTAGGCGGGCTGATATTGACCGTGGTTTATAAACAACAAAAGAAAGAGTACATGGAATCAAATTGGCAAGGGTAAAAGAGAAGAGTAAAAAAAAAAAGTGGTGCGATACGAGGCGACAAATTTATATTCCCTCTCCATGATGCGTTTCACATCTCGTAATTTAAGCTGATCACTGCGGTAGAGTTGTTCGATGGTTTCGCGGTACTCCAGCCAGTCATCGGATCGGCGGGGCCGGAAGAGCGCGTTAGGTTGCCCGGCCGGGGGCGATTGGGGGGGCAGCGTCGAGGGGGAAGGATAATGGTCCATAACGAGAGTTCCGTGCTCATTCCGTATAGTGAGAGAAGTAGGGAAGGAGAGGGGGAAAGAAAGTCAGAGTGGATTGGAGGAATCGAAAGTCAATATAATATGATAAAAAAAAAATAATGTAAAGAAAAAAAGAAAAAAAAAAACCAATATAGAATATCAGAAGAATGCGATCACCAGGCAACTTCTCAGATCAGGGCCGGGGCCAAGGAATCTCTTGACTACTCTTTGCGGCGCGCCGCAGCAGCGCGGACGCACGACCCCCTGCTTCCCCGGCCAAATCAGGTTGGTCGCTGCAGCTATGGCGTGGGCTCCATACTGGTGCAGTGACATGATCGCCAACGGCCAATGGGCGCGCCAATCATACTAGAAGGAGATGGTCTCCGGGGGCATTACGAATGGGAAAGATAAGGCTGCAAAGTAGGCGAAGGAATTCATAAAAAAGTAAAGAAAAAAAAAACAAACTCGCATAAATCGATAGCTGAGAGGGAAGCAAAAGGAATCAGACAAAGAATTGTCTCTGGTGGAGCTGGACATCGCGTACTTTTGGCTCGGGGCTACTGTACAGCCTAGCCGAACTATTACATGCAGTGCACTGGCTGCAAATTAGATGCATTTTCCGCTGCCTTTTTATTTGGGTTGCGGCTTACTATGCTCACTTCCTATTTGTCCGTGGAGCATCGACGTAATAACGCAGAATCCTTTCAGAGGCAATAATGATCATATAATCGTTTTAATCGATTTCATCGTTTTATTCGACGGGAATTCGATGGCTCAAGTTTCCCTTGAAAGCTCGTGGACGTATCAATGGACCCGGGAGCGGCCCGAAACCTCTCTTGACAGCTCTTTGTTTTCAGCTTCTCTGCCCCCGTCCCAGCACTATGGATCTGTAACAGCCACCTTCCCAGTCGGTTTTGGCTGACATGGGGATGTGCACTTTTCACTTTTCTGAATTTTGTTTATTTTTTTCTTTTTTATTTTATTTCGTATCCATTGCTATTCCTCCATCTAGCGCAGATTGTCATTGTGTCTATCCCTCGTGTGCCGGACGCAAGGGTGGGGGCGAAGCCGTTAGAACATGCCTATGACCGTTGAGACAAGTGTCATCCCCAGAATGTCAGGTAATCAAGGGGCAAAGACATGCGACAGGTAGATCGGTCCAATAAAAATAAATGAAAGGACAGAAAAAAGGGAAAAAAAAAAAAAAAAAAAAGAGGCGAGCTTTTTCGAGTCCCCGTATACGATCCCCGAAGTATTCAGTACATTCTGCGCTTTGGTCCCTATCCTCTCCGGCCGAAACTCTTGTCAGCTGCGAGTACGATACAAATACAACCGTCGTGTTTTTCGAAAACGAATGGTGTATTCGAGAAGATAAATTTCTAGCCTATCGTCGTTAATTTGAATTTCGCAGTCTCGACCCTTGAAGCTACCCAAGCTAAGCTAGGTAAGGATTATTCTGTAACACTCGCGCGTACAAGCTACATGAGAATGATCCTCCGGGTGGATTCACGATAGTGTCAAAGTACGCTGCACTAGTCCGAATCATGACGCCTAGAACGCACGAATGGGTTAGGTGGCAAGGCATCGCTGCAGTGATCGACGCGCTCAATGCTCGGGGGGATGGCTCTAGTTCCCGAGCTACAAAGAGAAAGGTACATGTCAGTCGTCGTACTTTGAGACTCCTTCTACTTTAGGTGGCAAGAATGAAGCACAAGTACCAATGTATAGGGGGAGACACAATCGGGCACCGTCCCTACTGCGTGCATGCTCCGGGGACTAGGTCTCGAATGGGTATGGATCAGAGCGTTCTAGGTGCTAAAATGCGGGGCCGCGGGGCCGCCGTCGTGTATGTGGATCAGGATGCGTTGTTGTGTTTTTGGCTTTGAGATTTATTATGGATTTGGATTTTATTTTTATTTCTCCTTTTTTCTTTTTTTCTTTTGGGGAGGGGCGCGCGAGCTCTCCCCGGCCGGTGAAACGGTGGACTCCTGAGATGCCAGAAAACGGCAAGGGCACCATTTCCCGCGTGGAGCAGGGTCCACATTGCGCGTCGAACTAGACGGAGATTTCTACCGCGCCCATCACCATAGGCCCCACGGACCACCGTTCACCGGCTCGGATCGCCTGCAGGTACTAGGATGTAGCGCGTAGACCGGGTAAACGAGGGAATCTCTCGCAAAAGACCATAGTCCGCGTATCGGAAGGGCTGGTCTTAGCCCCTTTCCCAGTCGAGTCCAGGCCAAATAGCAATGGAACGGCTCCCCGGTCCACGAGTTTCCTCTTGTGGCCTAGGGGAGGGGGGCCGGTTGTGTACGCCGACGGATGAGAGAACAATGATGATTCCAGCCTTGTCGATCGATCGGGAGACCAATAAGACTCCAACGGCTGGTGAGGTCCACGCCATACTAGGGCACGCACCCACGTTTAGCAAAAGTACCACTGCCCAGGGGGGAATCCGGGATTCGTGGCATCGGGGATCGTGCATTCCCATGACATGTCGCTTAGAAGGAAGGGGGTGGAAAAAAAAAAAAAAAGGGAAAAGTGAGGCTGCGTGAAATTTTTCACGACATAATCCCTGTAATCTAAAGTTCCAGCCTCGTTCAGGGTCGGCTCTTGGCGGGAGTTGGTCGAGTCTCAGCAGCTGCCACAGCTGCAGCTGCAACAGCGGAGTTGTTCGATCCCGCGCTGGCAACGTTGCTCGCATGCGCTAGCAGGAACTTGCAGCACGTCAGAGTGTATTTGCAGGCACGAGTCCAGGTCTCGTCATTCTGATTGAATCCGAGCTTGATGCTGGCATCGCCGATACGGTCTCTTTGGATTTCATAGGGCAGTCGCAGCCCGGGGGCAGTGGCATTAGTCTGTCCACGACGAGGGGATGTCACTACGGCAGGCGTCGATTCGACGAACTGCCCCAGCTGGCGGAGACACTCGAGGAACGCCACCATCCCGGCGTCAAAGCGTCGATGCAGCCAGGGGAGATTGAGAGGAAGATCCCCGGATGAAAAAAGATCTAGTTGGGTAATCTTGGGCGCAACTCGATCAGTGGCAGGTGGCCCGGTTGGGTGCACGGGATACTCAATCTTGTCGATCCGAGAGGTGGACCCTAGCGGTTTTAGCCGATAGCCCTGGAATTGAAATCCGAGGCGCTCTGCAATCGTGGCCAAGAGCAGGCAGGTCTGGCCCCAAGCAGCATTGATCTCGGGCCACTCAACCGAGGGATTGGCCAGACGGCCTAGACGCAGACCATTAATAGTTCCAAAATATCCATCATGACCGATGCAAAACGCGTCATTGTATACATTTGTCCGTTGCAGTCGCTCTAGCTGCTGCGAGTCGTGGTCGTAGCGCATATTGAGCGCATCCCGTTCGGTTTGAAACTCTGCCAGGGTTAGAGCAAAGGCGTTGCGTGACCGCCAGAATCTTTCTTCGTCCGCGTCGAGTTGTTGTGACTCCTCCTCGAGACCCGCAATCTCTTTGTCAAGTTGAGCTTTTTCCCGTTCCAACTCTTCCAGCTCCGCAAAGGCCGCTTTCTCAGCCTCGAGGCTTTCTTTCAATGATTTCTCGGCGGATGCTAACTCGTCCGCGGTCGGGACCGAGGCGTTCAAGCTTCGAAGGAATGAGATGTAGGCGTCGCGCTCCTTTGTAGCCCCGGTGAGACGTTTCTGTAATCCTTCCACCAACATCTCTGTACACTCTACACATATCGGATGGTCAATATCCGAGCGTGCTGACACAATCTCAAAGAGGCGGGTTGCTCGTTCCACTTGGTTGGAAAATGACCCTTGCTCCTGGGCAGGGTCCTGGGTCTGTCCAATGCTTTTGCGCTTGGGGCGAGTGGGTAGATTTTCGACAGCCGGGGGTACAAATTGCGACTCCGTAAGCATCACAAATGACATGTTGCCGCTATCACCGCGAGGCAATCCTGGAGGGTTATTCTGAGACCCCGACCGCGGGCCGGGTATAGACCTTCTGTAAACTGGTTGCGTGGCATTCTTTGTGGTTCGATCGTAAAGTTCCCGTCGTTCTGAGGGGTAGGAGGTTCGATTTGCGGATGATGCAGCGCCATGGTCCGATAGTGTTCTGCCTGTGGAGTCTGTCCGGAGCTTGGTTAGAATCAACATGTAGCTCCGCGGCAGGAGGGGAAAGCTTACTGACTAGTAGCTCAAACGCCGCTGGGTTGAGCGTCTCCAGTGAACCATCTAGCTTTAATGACGTCCGGCACTTCTGGCAATACATGGTGTGTGGATCAGTTCATTCTTGGGAGATGGATGTGGGGAGGTTCAAGTTGGGAGCTGCGGGAACGTCATTTTTTGTCCGTTTGTTTTTGAACTTTCGCGCTCCGCAGTTGCGCGCTTAACAGCATTCTTATTTCCTGACTATCAATGTATCCTTTATCCCCTACTGCCTCTTGATACTACATCCTAACGACCTCGATGAGTTTTCTAAGTTGACGCGAAAACTATGTTGTTTGAAGCTTGATTTCGCGCATGGAATCCGACCGCGTCAATCAACCTGCCCCTGCAGCGCAGCGATTATACACAATCAGACAACAATATAGCTGCATCCACGAGCGAAATCATGGAGCGCCCCGCAAAGCGACAGTGCCTTTCTTCGCCGCCAGGCTCCCCAGCAGAGGAGGTGACTGAGGAGTGGGACCTCCAGGCCGCACGCGCCCAGAATGATTTGCGACTGAAATCGATTTTCGAAGGGATATTCTCTAAATACGGCAAAGACTTTACGGACGTGGGTGATGAGATTGATCTACAAACCGGAAAGATTGTGGTCGATAATGGTCACCTATCGGGGATGCGCGAAGAAGTCGACATTCGAGACGAACAGGCACGGGCATGGCTCTATGAGGATGATTTGTCAGATGAAGATGCGGAGGAGGATGACATAGATGAGCGCCAGGAACCTTCTATGCGAAGCCACTCGGACGTCGAGGTACCATGCACGTCTGGCGCCGGTGATCAGACCGCCAATTCCTCATGGGCTTCAACAGAACATCATCAACTTGGCGAGATAGACAACAAACCTGTTATCGACCGGCAAAACGGTCCAGACCAATTCCAAAATGACCGGCCAACGGACCCTGTTTGGCAAGCCCCCGAATTGCCCGCTTTCTTCTCCACGCCCAAAGCCGAAACAAAGCGGAAAGGGGGTCCGAAACTTCCATATCTCGAAAGGGAAGCATCTCCACCAGGTTCTGGATCTTTATGGAGCGTGCCTCGACGTGGCCGTCCACGTACAGAAGTCAAACCCAAAACAACCCCGAGTGAAAGCCGGCTCCGGGCGAAACGAAAGTATCATTCCAGTCCCGTGGCGCACGACTGGTCATTTGCAGCCACGCCAGATGGAGATGAATCAGACGATCCGCTTCAAGAATTCCAACCTTCGCCTTCTCTATCGAAAGGCGTGGTGAGGAATATACGCGGGAAACGCATGCAGGCCTCGACTCGTACAGCTCGCCTACCATCTCCCCATGCACGGCTCCCGCCTTGCCCATCCCGGCCTGACCAATCGGCTACGGGAGCTAAAGATGACAATAAACTTCAGAACCACGCGAAAAAAGCTGCAGAAAACCATGTGGCATTTGACGCCTCTAATTCACAAGACGATTCTCCTGCACATTCCCAGTCCCACGTTTTTTCTTCTACCATGGCCTCGGAAAAATCTGTCAAATCAAAGCGAGGCATCACGCCCGACGACGCCAAGCTGGTGGTTCGCATGAGGCACATCCAAAAGAAAAAATGGAATGAAATCCACGACCATTTACCCCATCGGAGTAGGTCTCAGATTTATCAATGGAATTTAGCTCATTGGACAGAACGCCGCGCAAACCCCCCTCAGCTATCTGCTCCGTGGACCCATTCCGAGCTTAGAACTTTGGAACGTCTAAAAGATGAATCCGGTCTTACATGGCTGGATATTACAAATCAAATTCCACATCGTACCAAAGCGGAAATTGAGTTTGAGATGCTCAGGCTTTGGGTTGGAGATGATGTATGGCATGGCCATGTGGGCCGAGCGCCCGAGCGTGGATTTGAGCAGAACAAGGAAGTCGGTAAGGTTGAGCAAGTACATGAAACAGGGCAAATTGTTGCTTCTTTTGAAGACCACGTCGAGGCTCCTGCGGAGACATCGTCCCCAGCACCTTCTGAGTCAGATTCTGTGAAGAACGAACATCCACCGGTATTTGAGGACCTCGTTGATGACGACGATGGCTTGATCGACGACATCAGTAACGTATCATCGCCTTCCAAGCTGTCTGCCATTCACCTTGATAGCCCAACCGCCAGCCGACAGGGATCTAGGACACCGAAGAGAGCGTCCCCGGTGAAGCATTTGAAGTTCACAATCTAATACGACTTCTAGCGATATGGACGTCGTCAGGACTGGCATTAAATAAAGCTCCAATAATTAGCTATTAATCAATCATACCGTCGATTAAATCTATTGGAAATCCTCATCCCGTGCGTTCAAGACATCAGTAAGCTTGGTATCAACTGCTCCGCCAACATCACCAGCTTTCTTCCAGAATCGAGACAGATGCCGTGACCCAGAGTCCGACAGCATAGTCACAATCCGATGCCCAGGACCCAGCTTCTGAGCCGTCTTCACGGCTGCGAAGCAGTTAACGGCGCTGCTGCTTCCAATGAAAATCCCATCCTTCTCAACAAGCCATTTAGCCATTGCCAGTGCCTGTGCATCAGTCACACGGACCGCATCGTCGACAAGCTCCTTACCAGCCTCGAAATTAGCAGTGACACGGTTAATCCCAATTCCTTCAACAATGGTATCAACCTGGCGTCGGCGACGGGTACCTTCTCGCTCCTTCACGTCAAACATCACTCCATATCGCACACGGTTGAACAGTCCGCTCCCTTGCGGATCTGCGAGTACAACAGTGATGTTGGGTAGCAGGGGTTTCAGATACCGCGCCACGCCAGAGATGGTCCCGCCCGTGCCAGCGCCTGCCACAAAGGCATCGATTTTGCCATTGCACTGGGCATAGATCTCTGGTCCACTGCCGCCATAATGAGCGCGCCAGTTCGCTTCGTTCTCAAACTGATCGGCGAAGAAGCCGCGGCCGCGGGCCATGCGATCTGATGGCTCGACCAGGTCGCCCTCTGTATCAGGGACGGTCACCGTAGTTGAGGCCGTATGGGCGGTTGCTAGTGCTCTGGCACGGTTGACGAAGTTTTCTTTCTCGACGATTGGTGCTGGCGGCACGCGGTCGACGATTGCACCGAGCTTCAACAGAAGGTCTGACTTTTCAATTGCCTGGTCTGAGGGCATGCAGCTAGGTTTGATGTTAGTTCAATTGAGCTGAAATGAGTAGAATCAGATGCCATTACATGTGTGCTAGATACCCCTTTGCTCGGGCTAGAGACGCCAATGAGATACCGGTTGATCCTGATGTACCTTCATAGATTGTGTCGCCTGAATAGGGTGTTAAAATACCCTGTTCTTCTGCCTGTCATTGGGTCAGTATTGCGATGTTAAATGATTACCAACGAAACATACCAATTCAATCATACTTAATGCAACCCGGTCCTTTGAGCTTTGACCGGCACCATTCAAAAACTGTATGCATAATTAGAGAGAGTGTCTTTATGTCGTGGGAGGTTGCATACTTCTGCCTTAGCCAGGATCTCGCATCCCGTTGCATCCGATAGTGACTTGATTCGGAAGAGGGGTGTATTTCCAATACATCCTTCAATTCCCTCCACAATAGCAGGGGGTCCTGATCGTGCAACGAGAGCATCTGATTGTGCTTTGGGGGGTGCTGATTTTTCGCGGCGACGCGAATCTAGTATATCTTTGCATATGATAGTCAGACAGACACCAGCAACGAATGCTGTGCTTATGTACACAGCAGAGCGCTCGGGCATTGTCGTCTTTTGGCTGCTGCCCTCTTTACACCCAGTTCAAGGTTGATGATGGTTTTACCCTGATGAAGATGTCGTGATATGACGCTTGGACCACCTCGGCCAATGTGGGTATACTGAGTTGAGGCTAATTGACTGGGGAAGATGGATATTGAAACAATAGCAATGTCAGTCGATCACGAACATACGAGCGGATCAACAGAGCTTGGAAGAGGAGGAATCAACTTGGGATGGATTTGGGACACATGACGGCACGTGCTCTGCCGCTTAGTGCTGGTCATCGATGTAAGGATGGAAATAAGTCTATCTCGTTTCAATTTTCTTCTAGGTTTCTAGAATCCAAGTATTCCTCTCTGTTGAATAATTCAATCAAAAATCTTTCTTCCTTCCCTTCAGCTCGAAAAGTAGCATCATCTTTCCTACTTCAACACGTGCCTTGGTGCCTGAGGCCACACTCGTGCATCACCAAATCCGATTGTGCTTTCTCCGCAAAACGAACCTCCGAGGTGTCACGCATCATGGACTCCCCCGTCCTCAACCAGCTGCTTCGCCAGCTATTCAGGCACCCGGCTTGCCAATCTTTGCGACAGTCACCTATCTCATTATCGAGGGGACAGACTCGTTCATTCCTCACGCGGCGCACTCCCGCCGCCAAACGCAAACCGCAAGATGGAGGCATGCTCTGGACAAAACGAGGGGACATCAACAAGAACATTGATGAGGAATATCAAAAATACCCAACCGTCACCGCAAAGGAGCTGCGCAATCGGCGAGAGCGGCCCCGGCAGGTGAAAATGTTGACGCGCGAGTTCATTGACGGTAGGTTTCAGAGCTCCCATTAATTCTAGTAAAGGTCCAAAAACTGACATTGTATCTGCAGACAGTCTCTATAACCCCTATTATGGATATTTCTCGAAGCATGCAACTATTTTCACACCAGGCGAGCCATTTGACTTCAACAACATTGATGATGGACCAGCTTTCCATGCACTGGTGGGCGAGCGATACACAGAATTCGAAAACCGGCTCGATGAAATCAAGCCGGACATTGCGCGTCAGCTTTGGCATACCCCAACGGAGCTGTTTAAGCCGTATTATGGCGAGACTATCGCGCGGTACCTTGTTTCAAACTACAAGCTCACTTTATACCCCTACCACGACCTGATTATCTACGAGATGGGTGCCGGTAACGGTACAATGATGTTGAACATCCTAGATTTCATCCGTGATACCGACTATGAGGTCTACCAGCGCACCAAGTTCAAGATCATTGAGATTTCGCCCGCGTTAGCCGATCTCCAGTTTAAGAATCTCACCGACGCCCTCGATTCCCGAGGACACCGAGACCGCGTCGAGATCATCAACCGGTCAATCTTTGACTGGGATACGTATGTACATTCGCCGTGCTTCTTCCTTGGTCTCGAGGTTTTCGACAACTTTGGTCATGACACAATTCGTTATGATTGCGCTACCGAGATGCCCCAGCAGGGCGGCGTGCTGATCGATGGCAACGGCGAGTTCCACGAGTTCTATAACACCCAGTTGGATCCCGTTGCGGCTCGCTTCCTGCGCGTGCGTCAAGCCGCCGCCCGGCGTCCTTTCCCCAGCCCCCTCGGCCCTCGCCTCCTCCGTGGTCTGCGGTCTACCCCGCCCTTCCGCAAGAGCCATTCTCTCCCTGAGTACATTCCAACACGACTCATGCAGTTTTTCGACGTGCTTAACCAGTATTTCCCTGCGCACCGTCTCGTGGCTAGTGATTTCAGCTCTTTGCCAGATGCAGTGCCTGGATTGAATGCTCCAGTTGTCCAGACACGGTACCAGAGACAGACGGTGCCGGTGACAACACCATTTGTAAGTGCCATAACCCATTCACGGTGAGCAGTTCTAATTACGAATACAGGTCCACCAAGGATACTTTGATATATTCTTCCCAACCGACTTCAATGTCGTTGAAGACATGTATCGTGCTGTGACTGGGAAATTGACCCAGGTCATGAGCCATGAAGACTTCATGAGCCGCTGGGCCTATATTGAGGATACAGAGACTCGGAATGGGGAGAACCCGCTGCTGAGCTGGTACAAAAATGCCAGTATGTTGATGACTGTGTAGTGATACTTAGCTCACTGTACAATACTTGCATGGGAGAAATATCAAGATGTATATAATATCTATTTGCGGCAAAATAAGTTGTTAAGACCTCGGGGCTTACCACTAGACAAGCGAAGTAGTCGCATCATGAACTTCCTGTAAGCCTCTAATTTTGTGGGTTTTCTACCTACTCGCTAAGTATAAGAATCCGGAAAGGGCGCCTAGGCCGCGGACCTCTGGGTAAAAAAATACTATGGAGACGTGCTCAATTCTAGAGCTCTAGGTACTACGTTATCCCAACCTGACGTCTTGTTCCACGAAATACCTATGTCTGGTCTTCCATCTTCAAATGGCTCTTATGATTTTAAAGGATAGAGCCAACATAGCCTCTATTTAGAGAGATTATAACTAAATGTACTAATTATGTTACAATGTAGCACGTAGGGTATGAGTGTATCCCTAGGTTGGTAGATTGAATTAACGCTTTTATTAGTCTCGAAATAAGAACTGACATACTTGCATTGCTAATTCGTCTATCTCTTCAAAAATTCTAACAGCATCCTCAGGGGCTAATACATTTCCAAAATAATTGCGATGCTTCTCCTTGTCCAAAGCCTGGTAGTAATATAGCAAAGAATGGGCTTAAACGTAACGCTTTCTCGCTACTGCTCTTATAGCTGGTAGGTCTTGAATTGAGCCTCTAGAGACTGTGCTCTTGTCGAGCCTGGGAGTATAGCTGGCGAATATGCTTAGGTCTTTGATGACCCTCTAATGTCCCACTTTTAAAAGAATTTGCTCGCAAGTCAGCAGGGACGACAGGCCATCATGAGGAATTCCGGGACCAAGACGATGTCTCGGTCTCTGCTGGGACCGGTGTCTCATGCGGTTGCAGCTTCGTGAGACGTTAATCGCGGCGCCAAACGTAAGCTCGCCGGCGGAGCGCGTTTTCGATAGTTAATAAGCTACTCTGTAAATTTGTCAGTCCAAATGCAAAGCGGTTGTGCTTATGACATGCGAAAAGTTGCTGCTTACTTGTCGATCGGGGAAGGAGAAGGCCATTTTCTCCTTCGGTGGGAGGGACCGCCTATGCTCAAATTCCTCTTTTTTATCTCTAATTTTTTCAGAGTAGAGGGTCTGTGTGAGAGGAGGAAGAAAAAGAAGAAGGAGAGAGGTGAAAAATGGCTTTTTATAGTTGTGCCGGATGGGTGTTGCCTGTATTAAGTATTAGTATATTACCATTTAAGACGACACTTGAGGTTATCCCTGGAATCTGTGGGAGGTTGAAAAGGCGATTGCTTCAAGTTTTCCTTCTCACTCACTTGACGTGAGGGGTATCTATATACTTTAAAGTATCAATGAATATTATCTGATCGCGGACCGTCGTCAGGATATACCTAATCGAGCATCACCCCCCTCTCACTAGAATCCCGAGGTTTGGCGTTGATAAGAAAGAGGGGAACTTGACTTTCTTATTAGTACTACATCCTTCAACTTTCTTTTTTTTTCTCCGTGAACTCGTTTCTTTAACCTCAAATATATCCTCATCTAATTATCAACTAAGCCATGTCAACCATTCAACCTCCCCACTGGAAACCCATAGTCCTCGCAAAACGCGCGGCTCAACAAGCCCTTATCCCAGCAGAATGGCTTCTCCCAGAATCAATCTCATCTAGACCCCCTCTATCAAGCCTCGATGCAATCCGTTCAAGTGGGATCCTCTCACCAGATGAGTTAGCATGGACGGACAAAACCGATATCCAAGATCTAGTCTCGGCTATTAAATCCCGTCATGTGACAAGTTTGCAACTTACAATTGCATTCTGTAAACGTGCCGCTATTGCGCAGCAGCTGACGAAATGTCTGACGGAAATATGTTTTGAGAGAGCGCTTAAGCGGGCACGGGAGTTGGATGAGCATCTTGGGCGGACGGGTGAGGTTGTTGGACCTTTGCATGGAATTCCTGTGTCGATTAAGGACCGGTTTGAGATTGAGGGACTTGATACTACCGTTGGTATGAGTCTGAGGATTGCCATTTGTTTTATCATGTCTGATGTTGAAACTTCTAGGTTGGATTGGCCTCATCGGTAAACCGGCAAAATCCTCGAGCGAGATTGTACAGCTACTCGAGTCGATGGGTGCAATCATGTATGTCAAGACGAATATTCCCCAATCTCTCATGGTGAGTTCCCTGTTTTCATGTTCCAAGAGCCATAATGCCGATCTTAATCTGATTGCTATCAGATGGCCGATTCCTACAACAATGTATTCGGACAATCCGTCAACGCATTCAACTACAACCTCATCTCCGGTGGTAGTTCCGGTGGCGAGGGAGCTCTCATCGGATGCGGAGGTAGCATCCTAGGCATTGGTACAGATATCGGTGGTTCAATTCGAGTACCCTCTGCCTTACAGGGACTCTATTCTATTTTCCCAACCACAGGACGAGTACCATGGGATTGCTCATTGTAAGCACAAGACTCATAGAATGATTATTTTCTGACCTGTGATTTCAGCCGACACCAACATTACCTCGTTCCACCTGTCGCGGGCCCAATGGCTTCTTCACTAGCAACGACGGAATACTTCATGCAAAGTCTCTTAGCCTCGCATCCTTGGGATATTGACCCATCTGCAATTCCCATTCCGTGGAGAACGGACCTTGCTACCCCGCCTACTGACCGGAAACTCAGAATCGGTGTGGTCATCGACGACGGGGTTGTGAAACCCCAGCCACCTGTTACGCGGGCAATGAATGAAACTATCCATGCATTACGTGCAGCGGGACACGGAAGTACACATTTCCTGCCACATAGCTGAGGCTTATACGAGTGCTAACACAATGGATTTCAGTAATCGAATGGGATACATCCCTTCACACTCCCGCAACGGAAATGTGGTACAAAGCTATTTTAGGGGAAGGAGGCGTCCACTGTCGCGAACTATGCAAGCTAGTCAACGAGCCCCTGATAGAGGGTATGCTTGTTGGCACGGAGGAGGATATGCTAGACATCGATGAGCGTGGGAAAATAGAACAAGAAAAATATGTTCTGTCAACCGCCATGCTGAAACAATGGCTTGATACGCATATCGATGCTCTGGTGATGCCTGTCATCCCGTGGGTTGGGTATAAGCCTAAGACGTGGGTGAAGAGTAAGCAGTGGGTTGGGTATACTGGGATGTGGAATTTGTTGAATTATGCGTCTGTTACTGTGCCGGTTGGTAAGGCGGATCGAGAGCTTGATTCTGTGGGTGGAGGGAAGGATGTCGAGTGGGAGGAACATTCTACCAGGAATGAGTCTGATTCGTTCAATTATGAGCAGTGTAGGTTCTCTCTTTGGTTTTAGATGTGGGTTGTGAGTTTACTAACGATAGCTTCCAGATGATATTGAGCTTGTGCATGGAATGCCTATTTGTGTGCAGATTGTTGGTGGAAGATTTGGTGAAGAGAAGGCCGTTGCGGTGGCAAAGGTAGTGGATGAGTTGATGAACCCGACTCCATTCCATCCGTTTAGTTGATATCAGAGTCAGTGGAGGATCCAAAGGTAGCCAGTAATACATTCGTCATGAGATTCTCTATTCTGGAGGTCCACCTCACATCATACATCATATAGCTATCAGTCACAAACAAATGCTGCCAGGCCCTGCCGGCGGTTTCATTTCTAAGTATAAGCAAGAATAAAACGGAAACGACCTATCGTTCACATGATCCTTCTGAGGGGGGAATAAAACTAAAATTCAAACTCCTTGCGGAAAACGTTCACGTCCATACCGGCGACGACCTGGTCAGCCAGATCCCGACGTCCCATCTGGCTGAAGACACGGCGCAGCGTGTCGTATAGGTTCGTGCTCTGGTTCTGACTAATGTGAAGCATGCGCTCAAGGCGCTCATCATCCAGGCCATCGGGCGCTCCACCGCCGCCGATAATCTCGCGGGCACGCTCGCGGCCCTCTTGTTCGACCACACGGTGCATGGACAAAGCGCCGAGAAGGTGCTGTGCAGCTTCGGGGTAGCAGCCGATGTTAATGCAGGACACACCAAGGTTGTAGCGGGCGCGCACGAAGTTGGGGTTGATAGTGAGGGCCTGCTCATAGGCTTCAATAGCTTCCTCGGAGCGGCCTGAGTTGGCCAGGGTCGCGCCGAGACGGTTCCAGAGCAAGTGAAGCTGCTCACGCTGGTTGGTAGTGCCGGATTCAGTGGAGGCCAGAGCAGCAGAGAAACAGTCGACGGCCTTTTCATATTCCTCGGCACAGTAGAACAGTACACCCAGACCGACTTGGACGTCAGGGTCCATTTGGGCACCGGATGGGGAAAGTTGAGCTGCTTGGATAAAAAGCTCTGTGACACGTTCATGCAGGAGTTGACGGTCTGTGAAGCCAAGGTCTGCATCGCCGGATACCTCGTTCGGGTTGATAATCGACGGGTATTTGTGAGACAACCAGCGCTCCAGGGTCCGGTATGCTGTCGAGTCGTAGCCTTCGTTGGTGTACGAAACAGCCAGACCCATCAACGCATCCAGGTTACCGGGATCCATCTTGAGTGCCTGCTCCAAAGCCCGAATTGCCGGCAGTTCTTTCTCATTCTGGGCCTGTGCCGAACCCAACATTGTCCAGGCCTTCACATGTTGTGGGTCCTTCTGAACTGCAGCTTCGAACGCAAGGGCCGCCAAAGACAGGTTACCGCCCTCTTGCATAATCTTCACGCCTTCTTCGAATGGGTTGTTCACGGACTGGTACACATTGTCTTCCTCAAACATGTAGTCACCGAGCTGGGGATCGCGGAAGCGTGTGTTCAGGCTATCAAAGCCCTCCCAGTCACCCAAATCCCCGACATGCACACTATCAGTAACCTCGAAATCGTCTTCTTGCGCCAATTTTCTGTTCGTCGCCGTCTCAGCCTGAACTCGTTCCCACACGGACTCAAAGGCATCATTGGTGGGCACTGACCTGTCCAACTCATTCAATTCCGCCTCCATGGCCGCATTGGCCTCCTCGTCCGTCTGCTCCTGATTACCCGCCGTCTCCATCTCAGCAAACTGTGCCTCCCAGTTCTGATCGTCGAGCTCCACCATTCGTCCCTTGCCCTTATCCTGTGCGGTGCCTTCCATAGGCTGCTGCATCATCGGTCCACCCATACCACCCATAGGCCGCATCATCCCCATGCCGCCCATGCCGCCATACATGCCACCCATCGCTCCCATCGGTCGCTGGTATCCCGACATCATGGGCTGGGTGGCGGTGGTAGCAGGGCTAGAATTCTGCGGCATGCCCATCCGACTCTGTTGCTGGAATCGTGCAAACTCCGCGGGCGCAAATCCAGATGCGTTGTTCATCTGTGCACCAGGGAACGCAGCCTCCATGCGGGCCTGCTCGCCGGTATCGAACTCGGCTGCCCACCCGGGTGACCCCGTGCGGGGTGTGGCACCCTGAAAGTTCTCCAGCTCCCGGCGCATCTGCTCCATCGCGAATGGTTGAGGTGAGGGTCCATTTAATTGTTGTCCGGACTGCTGCATGAAATCATTCATCTATCGAGCCCCGAAAGAAAGTATGTTAGTTGACTGGATAATCGGAGAATATAACCTTCGGAAAACAGCGACTGCTTTGCACACGCACCTGGTCTTGTCCGCCCATCATACCATGAGATCGCATGCTTTCTTGCATGCCTGGCCCCCGGCCGACCAGCCGGTCACGCTGTAGAGACTTGTCATCTTGGACATGCTTGGTGAACTGTGTGAGGGGGTTTCCCGCCGTGGAGCATTCCGCGCCACCGAGGAACGACATAGTGTTGACGTATTCTGGAAGATTGATTGTGTAAATGCAGGAATTAAAAAGAAAAACGAATCACCGGTGCAATGATAGTGCACACCGATACTCGGGAAGGAAAGAATGGAAGAGAAGCAATGCCCCGGATAATAGCGTGGGGTTGATCGCTCAGCCATCGAACGGCGCTAAGACGCTTTCCGTCAGCCGAGGTTCCCCGGTAGTCACGTGGCTCCCATGAACTATACGGTCCAATGCTGATTTATAAGATGCGGGGATGAAGTATGACAAAATAGGGTTCAGGCAGTCTCGCTGCGCATGCTGCATTATCACCCTGTCGCTGTAGGCTAAATTCCAGCGAGTTATATAACAATTCTGCTCAACACCACGCCATGCACACCTTGGTACCCCGCCCAGAGGCCTCGGTGTTGAAACATGAGTATTGAATGTCAACCAAAGCAATTGGACAGCACGTATGTGCAATATATGCAGAATATCATCTCGTTAATACAATACCCAAACATTCCTCACTCCTCATTCCCTATCGATCAAACTCCTCAATCCCGCCAGATTTACACATCCGCCCCATAATAACAGTAGTAATCGGTAATATAGCCCCCCTAGCAACCTCCCACTCCTTCTTTTCAACATCCGTCAACCCATCTGGACACTTAAAGTCCAAAAAAACAGTAACTCTCTTCTCAAACCCACACCTCTCATAAAACGGTACAGCATTCGGCGCAGCTTCAATCCAAATATCAAGCCCGCCCTCATCCGCCCTTTCCAAACCCCACTCCATAAGCATATAGGCGATACCCTTCCTGCGGTATTCCGGAATGGTAAAACAGCTACCGAGTGTCATATAGGCTTTTTTGCCAGAGTAGCGTTCTCGTGTTTCGAACTCGGCTGTTCGGAGGGTCCGGAACGCTTGTTCAGCGAAGATGCGGGCTCCGCCTGCTGGGTGGCGGAGTGACAGGGATTGAATTTCTGCTTCGAGGGTTTGCGGGGTGGAGGTGTTTTCTGGTATGAGGATCCATTCTGCGCCGCCGAGGATCGGCTCGTTTGGTGGGTGGGGTGTTTCTTTTGAGCCAGTCACTTGGAGCCAGGTTGAGGTTGGGTTTGAGGGTGCCTTTTCTAAGTTTTTCTTTCGTGCTTCTTCTGCGGTTGCGGATATCGTTTCCTCCAGGCTGTTGTTGAGTAGAGGGCAGTAAAGGCGGAAGACTGGTTGGATGGGGTTTTCAAAGGCGTAGCGCTCTGCGGCTATTACAGCTGGGAACTCGTTGGGATTTGCATGTACGCGGCTAAGGAAGTATGGCATGATGTGCTGTGTTTGTATGGTGTAGGTAGAGGGCTGAGGTATCGTGTTGGGTTTGGGTTTATAGTTTGTATCGACCCCATACCAAGCTGACTTCCACGGCTGACATGTTTCTCCACTTTAGCTCCACCATACTATGCACATTAAGCATATACATCGAAGGTTGAAGCAGTCTTTTCCAACTCTATCACAGTGATCCCGGGACTATGGGTGATTCAATATACAATCAGAGTGGTATTATACAGTCTACTATAGTACATATTTGAACATCACGCTACTCCACCTTCGGGTCTTTGGCACGCTGTCGATCAGCAGCTTCAGGAGCATCCGATTCTGTGGAATGATCCATGGCCTTTTCAACGGATTCGGCCATCGATTCTTTCTCCATTGCCCTCTTCGACCACAATGCCGGCAGCCGCCCCGAGTGCATCATACCCACCTTCTTCCGGTTCGTAAACTCCACTTTCAACTTCCGCCCATACGGAGCCTTCCGAGCTAGCACCTCCATGCCCCACATCGCGGATTGAACATCAATAAACTCTGCATGGGCGAAGCCACGCGGAACACCCGAGCGGCGATCTACTGGAACCCGGATATCGACTGTATTATGCACATCACTGAACAAATCCTGGATATCACGGTCTGTAAGTTCGTAGGGAATGCCGCCGATGAAGAGTGTGTTGGTGGGTTCATGTTCGATTGTTCTGTGTTGAATAGCGCTGCGGGCGTACTGTAGGACAACTGGACGGCCACCGAGGATTTTCATATGTTGTTTTTCGACCGCGAGCTTAGCTTCTTCAATAGTATCGAACTGGACGTAGCCGAATCTGGAGGATTGTCAGTACCAGACTCGCTTGTGCATATTACGGAGATAGCTTACCCTTTGCTTATCCCCCGATTATCATGCACAATAGTCGTATTTAACACAGTTCCGAATTGCTCGAAATGCGCCCTCAGGTCCTCGGCTGCAATATCAAAGAACAGATTGCCCACGTAGACTGTCTCGCATGGCGGGCTAATCTCGTAGTTCTTGGTTGATTTTCTTGAAGCCGAGGCCGCGTCAACTTGCTTCATCTCTTCATCAAGCAATTTATGGCGCGACCTCCTTTTCTCTTGCGCACTTTCCTTTTGTGCTTCCAGATCCGCGGCTTTGGACCTCGCATACAAGTCGTCGTAATCGATGTCATACTCTAATGCCTCTCCTTTCGTAAAAGCTTCCTCATCTGGTGTAAGAGGGGCGCTGTGTTTCTTAGCGAGCTTAGAGAGATTTCCTCCGGGTCGCCTTGGAGATTGTTTTTCTGATGGTTGTTGGTCTTTCTTTGTAGAGTTCCAGCGCACATGAGCGGAGAGAGATGGGTGTTGAGACAAGACGTTGGGAATGTATCGAAGTGGGTCTGCGCATCGTAATTGATACAATGTGGCCGAAGAAGAAGATGCTGAGGGAGTAAAGAGCCGTGACGAGGCTCGGCGGAGTGAATGCCTGGGAGTGGTCATGTTAGTTCTTGTCGTGGAATAGAGTCCGAGATCAGCGCATTTGCAGGACTGTCACAAGGGCAGGACTCCAAGACTGAGGTGAATCATACATTTTGTATTGCCGGTCTAGCGCCGGTTTTCTAGCACAAATGTAGCCAAGATCGAGATCTGATTTTGGAGAGATCGGAGTTCCGCGCGGAGTTGAGCGTATCGAAAAGTTTCGGGAGCGATTTGTCACGTGCCGATAACAGTCGGCAACTGGTGGGCAGCACAGGTAAGCGCTGAAATGATAGATATGGATGACTACAGTGTATTCTAGTCATCTCAGAGAAAACAGAATCGGTCGACATGGAGGATTATTGAAAGAGTGAAGTTCAATACAGCAGAATCCCAATTATCATACAGGAAAATCAGAATGCACCTTGCAGCACTCGTAAAACCAAACCAACGAATTAGTACTTGGTGCTTCGTACATACCATTAACTTTTCAACCAAATCCTCCCATCCAGTTTAACGTTCCCACGGTATCAAAAGAGACGAACATCAGAGATCCAGCCTAGTCTAGCCCAATCTTATACACCAAAGGATCTCCAGGTACAAACAAGGAGAATAGGAAGAGGGGAGATCAAAAAGAAACTCAATTCGAATATAACTTGAAAGAGGATCATTTAGATGTACTAAATTGATCCTTGGCTCCGGCCAGAGCTACCTGGCTGAGACATGGGTGTAAACCCCGTCGCAGAGGAGCCATTGCTCTCGCCGTTTGGTGGCGAGAACATATTTGGTACCCGACCAGCAGCGCCAATGTCGTTCTGCGTAGTCGGCATACCATTCGCTGCTCGTGATGTCCCAAGTGGACTTGGAATTTGAGGCTGTGTCAATCCAGCAGGTTGTACTGTTTGTCCTGAGGGATCCACCATGGGCCAGAACTGATTCGAAGCGCCAAAATTAGGGTTCTGAATGTAGGTATCCCAAGCCTCCTGCAACAGAACGTTAGCGAATGGAATTCAAAACGGTGCATTTCATGCCATTATATTTCAACTTTACTTACCCAGTCAAGATTGGCCTGCATGTCCGGCATCTGGCCAAACATGCTGCTGAAAGGTGAAAGAGGCCCACCCAGCATTTCAGCCGAGGTGCCTGCACCTAGGCCCACGCCTGCAGGCATCGGCGAATCAGTCATTCTCATGGCCGGATCCGAGAAAGGGGATAGACCCGTGTTCATGGGACTCATCCCACTACTCAACAAACCCAGCGTCATAGCAGCATTCTGCTTCTCATCCTGTGGCTCGAAAATGTTGTTTCCGGTGCTATTCTCAAGCCCCGGCAGATTGCTATGTAGCTTGCCAAGCATTACCCCGAGGATACTGCTGGCTTTGAAGGCCTCCATGCTCCTGTCGCGCATCTCATCCCAGATTTCTTTCGAACGTTGGATTGCTGCAGTCATCTCGTCACGTCGTTCATGGCCCCATGTATACGTGTCACCGGATGGTCGGCCCGAGGCTTGGAGTGTGTTCCCATGGTACAGATCAAGACTGGCAATTGACGCAGCCAAGAGGAAGTCTGCTGAGCTGAGGGATGTGACTAGGTTCTGGCGACCGCGTAAACGTCCACTCTGCGATTCTGTGTGAAGAATTGACTGGACTCTGAGCATCTCCATGGCTGAGTCGATACAAGTTCGTCGAGAGTAGGTAAAGCGGGGGTTCTCGCGTGCACGAACGAGATACGGTCTATGTAGCACAATCTGTGCCTTGTGGTAGACCATGTTGACTGTATAGCGAGACATGATCAGTTGCACCGGATCCAACTGACAGTCTTCCAACGGGCGGAGACGCAGATGATCAGGAATTGAATCCCTAGCATGCCGAAGATCGGCATCAAGCTCCATGGTTTTGTCATAGGAAGCATTGGAGATGGATGAAGCATGCTCATTCACACGTCCAAATGCAAACACCAGACGAGCCTTGGTTATCAGGTACGAAATCGGTGTTGGCTCGCTCAGCTGTCGGGGTTGTGGCAGTTCTTTGGAGTCTTCGTCAAAGTCATCATCATAGAGATTCTGCGGCAGATCTGTATCACTGTCGGCGGCCCGGAGCATACTCGGCATGCCAACTTGGAACGAAAATAGCACATCTGCTACCCGGACAAATGACCACACCCGCCGTCGCATCTCACCCTGGAATGGTGTGATGTTAGGGAACACTTTTGAATCTCGGTGGTATCCCATTCGCATCGCCAGACGGGCAATCACACCTGTCATAACCCACACTGACACATCTGCTTCCCGGGTCTGCGAGAAGTCACCATGTAAATGGAAAACTAGAGCTTCAATCAGATATGGATGTGGTTTTGTGTAATCCGCTAAAGTCAGGCATTCTGCAACTGAATTTCGGAAGGAGCTGGCCATGTCCATAGCCTTGCCTCTGAACTCAGGAGGCTCGTCACCTTCTCTGTAATATGAGAGCATGGCCAATCTCATCATTGCAAATAGCATCGCGATCCACACAATTTCAGTTCGAGAAGTGTCCTCCCAGTGCCTGTTGTATTGGGACTGGAATGTCGGGCCATGAAGGATATGTGTAGCAGGATCATAGCTGTTGAAGTAACGAGCAACAAGGAGGTCGGTCATATATTTGGAAGGCAAAGAAGACAGAATCTCTGGTCGGCTGAGGGGTTTCATCACCCCGAATAGCAGCGTTGACCCAGGAACATCGGTCTCTGGACGAGATGCCTTGAGCTTTTCTGCTTGTTCCTCAAACTGTTTCTTATGTGTTGTATAGAAATTCCGTACCTCGGTGATCTATCCAAAATTATCAGACATGAAAATCTTCCCTGGAACCAAGCAAGACTTACATCATTTAATACAGAGGCCCAGTGTGCATCGCTGATGTAGTAGGACTTGTTATTGTCCATTTTCATCACACCAAACGACTTCGTCACCTGCTCCGTATCACTCTCCTCTGCACCATGGATACCATCATCAAGTTCCAGCTCATGAGAGAGTCCCGTAGACCCCGCACTACTATCTCCAGATATTGTAGCCATGGCAGCCGCAGGGCCCGCCGACTGCGCACCATTCGTCATCAACGACAAGACCAGGCCCTCCAGCCGGTCAATACGATTTTGCATATCATCTGGTGAGGTCGGCGTTGTCTGTTGTTGAAGGTTCTTCTTCCGGGTATTCACTTGTGCATATGAGCAGGAATGCGCATCGCCTCTTTTGACACAATTTTCGCACGGGTTGGAGCGATTGCATTTTAACCTAGCAGTAAAGCGTCGATTAGCACAGTACAGGATTTCGGGTATAATGGCCATCGGATGCCGGTTTTCCAGCTGCTTACTTCCTGTGGCGGCAAGGCGCGCACGAAAGCGGGACTCGATTGCGTTTGCGGATGATTCTGAAGTCGGGCGAGTGAGCGCTTCCGCTCGACGGGGTTGTAGAGGGCGGCGTGGGCGACATTGTGCGGTTTTGAGAATTTCGGTCTAGGTGGTGTGGTATATGGTGTTTCAGATATTTCACTCACGAGCCACGATCTCTTGCTTGAGTATTTGACGTTGACTCGGAGACAGCTGCGATGGCCTCCTCTCTGAAGGAGTCGAATCTGCAACGCCCAGAGTATCCCTGTTGAACAGAATCGGATGAACGTCGAAGCTTTGCGCGAGGAGCCTCGTGGGATTGATAAAGCTGGCGGGGTAACTGAAAGCACCCTTTCTGCCCCCTGACGGTTGCGACTGCGTAGTATCGCGCTACTAGTGGGCTGATCTCGTTGGTTGGCCGCAAAGGCGCACAAAGGCGGCTATTGCTGATCAAATAGATGCGCAAAGATCGGTGTGATTAATTTGCTTGTGCCGATCTCGACTTTCGCGGTCACTTGTAGGAAATGGCGGTGCCCGAAGCTCTGGGTCTGGTTTCAGAGGGGTGTGGTGACGAGAGTCGAGACTCGGGTAGGATCCGAGGCGTTGGGGGCTAATAAAGCTTTAGGAAGACCGATAAGAAGTTGACTGGGATGGCGCAAGGCAGCTACTATTCCCCTTGACCGTCTGTTGAAGAGAAGAGAGTAGAGAGTTTAGAGGAATGTTAAAGGATGATTTATCGGTCGCAAAGTTATCTCCGGGTTTGGGTCTTATCGCCATGATGATCTCGGCGGGATGCGATCGGGCCTTTAACGGGGATGCATTTTTCTTACTGTACAATGCTTGACCTTGGGTATATTATCGGCGCTAGTAAGTCTTTTCCCTATTTGAGATGAACTAATAAGACTCCGGACTTTCTTCGTAGGATCATCGCAGGCACCCCCTCCTCTTACGACTATTAAGGTTCCTATCCAGGCTCCGTGGATTATGATTGGTCTCCAGGTCCTTGTGAGTCATCTCAGCGGATAAGTTACCGTCTAGACCTGCAGATATATTACGTGGAGTGTAGCCTGTCAGCTTGATATTTAGGGTATGACTGCAGCCATTCATTACGAAGTCTACAAGCATCCGACACCCTACTGACTGATGGACCTGGACCTATAAGAGAATATGGCTGAACCAGCTTCAACCATGCGCAACACGTCATGCTATTGGAGCCTTCGATATACTAGAGAGATATAGCTCTAAGTACTCGCACCATTCGGGCTATTCTCTCCACAACGGTAACTAAGATCACTAACATCATACTCTCTCGGCACATCCAATCACCTATTTTGTCAAAAGGTGCTCTATATGTAGAACATGGCAGCTCTTCTACCCAATGGCCCGATCGCTCATGCTCGTGAACAGTTCGGTCTAGCTTGAAAATACATCACTAAGATCCCAGGCACCTGAAAGGAGACTTTGCAATTTGAAATTCTGCTGATCGAGTCACGCTTGTTTGAGGTATCCCAACTGACGAAGGCAAAGAGCAGCTAGAAGACTGGGGTAGTGGCTCATGGTTTTTCCGGAGCCTTATACGAAGCGGTGCAGCATAAGTAACGAACACCATGGCCCTTGGGACAAGCTTGTGGTACATATCTCATTAAATGCGCTTTTAGATTATGCTCTGCCAAGAGGACTCCATTTGCTATCCCTGAAAACCCAGAATTCGCTAGCATTCCAACGAACTTGGCAGGTATCTGCAGGTTTGCGATGCCGAGCACCAATCTCGTATCACTAACGCGGAACCGTCGATCTTGTTCGTGAACCACCTGCCGTGTTTCACCAAGATAATAAATTCATTCGTCTCAGCAGACTGCTCAGATTCGGGAAAGCATGAAGTAGAAAATAGAATTTCTTATTCACGTTCGCGTCATTATACTGCCCATGGTGCAGGTATCGTACGTGCCCGAAACCTGATTATCTCGGATGACCAACCACCTATGAAGTCAATTTCTCTACCCGAACCTGGTATAAGTCCTAGTTCTTGAACTTTAAATTACATATAAATTTAATCATCGAAGTCTGATGAGCATAACACCTCTTTGATACTAAATGCATGTGTGACGAAGCACTACATCCTTGTCGTCTTCCCTGCCTTCTCTGGGCATTTCCGGGACCAGCATCTTCAGTTTCATCGTTCACCTTCGCTGCTCATACAACTGCAGCTGCTGTAAGGTCATTTTTCAAGCCGTATAGAATGGCTCCCAGATTCTCACAATCGTCAGGTATTTCGGAGTCCAGCTCTCGAGGAGCCTCCTCTATGGCTTCCACGCGCCCTTACATACAGATCAAAAGAGGGTCATCTGGTTCCGAAATACTCGAAAACATCGCAATAGATCAACCGATACCTACTGAAAACACAAAGGTCGCAATTCCTCGGCATCGAACTGGCGTTGTGCCCAGAAATTCTGGACGAGTATCTCGGGCATGCGAATCCTGTCGCTTGCGAAAAACAAAATGCAGTGGCGATAGTCCAGTTTGCAGACAATGCGACGAGTTAAAAGCTATATGTGTATATCCACTGTCATTCCGTGAGAGGACAAAGCAGTAAGCACTATCATTAATTTTGTGGTAGATCCCCTTGTTTTGGCCCGCTCGAACGATACGCTGGAACTGACATCTTGCTCTATAGACAGATCCGTGGTTTGTCGCAAAGACTACGAGAATATGAACATGTGCTCAAGGAAGTCGAAAATGTTGTTCCCGAACGCATATCTAAGCGAATTCATGCTTTGCTGGTAAGAAACTCCTGCGTTATCCGCATCTCGATACAATTACGGTGTCTAACGTCGATGTCAGAACAAGGGAGAATCCTCTGACAACACCACAAAAGAATATCCCATTGACATATCATCGATGCACGATGCCGATTCGGTCAGCTCACGGTCTGCTGTATCATTGGAGGCAATGGACATAATTGAAGATAGCAATATGGCCGATGACTCGCCGCCCACCAGAGATGCCGAGAGGAGCTCAGATATAAGCTGGCGGAAACAAGGGCAGGAGGAAGCGGCCCATCGCACCAAGAGTCAATCCGAGCTTCCTAACTCCAGCAAGACTGATCAGTCTCACGATCAGTTTGATCGACATAGTATGGACTGTCGCCACGAGGACTTTGATATTGGAGTGGCGAAACGAGTACAAACATGTTGAATTTCTCGACTGATGGTTAATTTTTTTTTTTCTTTCTTATCACCTTGGCCGTATGATTCGGAATATCATGAATTCTCTTTCCCTGGAGCTGCAAGAAAACGAAACGCAGCTCAGGCTTGCAGGCATAAGCAACCTCAAACAATGACAGTGACAATCTTACAACCCTTGGAATCGTCAAGCCTGGCGGCGGTACGATCAATTCCAAGGTTTGCAAATACGATGTACGTATACTCTGAAACTTTCTAGCCATTTAATTTAAAACAAGGAGACGGCTCGCCAGATCATACTCCGCACATTGAAGCCTGACCTAGTCTAATCATGGTCAATTTATCAATTGCACGATAAGCCAACCTCCCGCGCATAGTGGTAATCTTTTACAATAAAATGAAAAGCAATAGCAAAGTACACAGAAAATAAGACAAAAATAAGGTACACGCCCGGCGGAACCTTGAAGAAATAAAGGGTGAAAAAGAAGAAAAAAGGTAAAAAGTGACAAATAAAACGCAAGGTGAATATCAAGGACACAACAGGACAGAAGCCTCCAACACCAATCACAAGTTGCAGCATTACCTCCATTAACGGAGCCAATGGTGGTATGCTGTAGCCAGCTTGTAGCGTCCTCGGCCTTGATTGTTTTTGCTTGTTTTAGTGGGTATCAGTACACATAGCTCGTGGTTAAGATAATCGGCCGTGTGTTCATACAGCTGAATTAGAAGGACATGGACGTGAGTCTCGTGCGATCTGGACAGATCAGGGGCTCTTGAGCGAAATTACCCCCTGATCGTCCTCGCCTGGAAAGTTGTCTACTCGTCAGCGCCAAGGGTCCAGGACGGCTGGTTGTGGCGGCTGGGGTTGCGCAGTGATGTCGCGGTGCGAACGGGCTCAGGAGATTTATCATAATTATCCCATGAAGACTCCATCATTTTAACCGACTTAAGACGATCCTCGGGAACGGAGACCTTCTTATTGTCTTTGTTGGAGACAGCAGGGGAGATATCACCCATCGCCCAGTGCACGTCGGAGCTCTTCTGTCTGTTTGAGTTGTTGCTCAGCTGCGACAAGGGCGCCGAGCCCTTAGACTCTTGTTCGCCTCCGTCGAATAGGCGGTTTTCGTACAGACCCTGGCCGCGGCTCTGGTAGGAGCTGATAATGCGGCCATCATCCTCTTCGGCGTCCTCGTTCATCTGGAAGTGCACATCCGCGTCTCGACGGGGCTTGTTCACATGTTGGCGGACGGGCGGTGTCGGTGCACTCGCCTCGTCACTGCAGCCAAAGTTGCGGTCTTGCTCGCTGAGTCCAACAGGGACAGGGGGGGCCTTTTGCGGAGTGGCAACGTCACCGAAATCCCACTGGGGCTGGTTGCGCGGCTTTACACGCTTGGGCTCCTCGGGCTTCTCCAAATCGGCGTCAGCGGCACCAATCTCGAAGTGGTTGAACCTCGTGGGGTTGCTCTTATATGGAGCACGGGTTTGGTCCAGATTGAGATCATCTCGGCTCTCCTGGGGGTTGCCAACACTGCCCTTGGGCCCTCTCTCGGGAACCTCCAGATCAGCGTTGTCACCACCAATCTCGAAGTGGTTGAACCTCTTAGGGTTGCTCCTGTATGGGGCGCGGTCTTGGTCCAGATTATCTTCGTCTCGGGGTTTGCGAGGACCGCCCTTGGGCGCAATCACTCGCTCGGCCTTCGAGGGTGTGGGAGGAGCCTCCTCGTCAATGAAAATATCGGACAGGTTGCGCGCGGGGGGTTTCGCAGATGATGGCGCATAAGGGAGGACGCGGGCAGCGGGGGCCTTGCTAGGCGACAGAAGCTCGGACAAGGAGCCAGCCCCATAAGGATCTCTGGTGTGTTTCTTGCCGGGGGAGGATGGTCGCGGAGGACGTTCGTTCTCGTCCGTGTCCTTACCGGGGGAGAGGAGGTTGGCAAGGGAGCCAGCGCCATAGGGGTCCCTGATGTGTCGCTTGCCGGGGGAGCCAGGTCGCGCGGGAGGTTCCTTAAAGTCACCCTGGGATGGAGGCAAAGACGGAGCTGGTTGCGCATTCGCAGCCGATCGCAACAAACGGATATGCTCTAAGCCGCTGCGAATGGGCCAGTGTCGACTGCGCGCGCCGATCATTTCCACCTCCTTCAAGAGCGAGCCCTGGTCCCAGTAGATGCGGACCTGTTGAATCTCATGTTGGGCGTTCCAGCGGACGATGTGGAGCTGTAGGAAGCTGCATTAGCACTGCTGCAGGTCATGGGGATCTCGGGGAATTTACCGTGGGGATGGTCACGACGCGGTCGGCCAGGTAGTCCTCACTCAACGAGGGGAGATAAGCCCCACCGTTCTCGAGGAACTCGAGTGTTGTCTCGATATCTAACACCAATGAATCCGAAGATTCAATCGCATTGATGATATCCTCTGCCTTTTTCTTGACAATGGACGATTGGCGCGACAGATGGGTCAGTACCGAATCACTGCCCTCGAATTTGGTGGTTGAGGTGACATAGATCAACGAGATATTGGCGGCGACATTGGCGGATTTAGGGTCCGCAAGGAACTTGCGATACTCAGTGCGGAAATAACTCATGGTCAACCAGTGGTACCCCAAGTAGTTTTTCACGACGCAAGGGAAACGTGGAAAGATGGTATTGTAGCAAAGGAAGGATGGGGGAAGGTATCAGGGGGAAATTGAGACCAGCCGAGGGGGCACCTGGTGGGAGATTACGGCTATGTCGCCAAAGGCCGAGACTAAAGGATAGAAAGAATCACACTGCAAGGGACTCTGATCCACCGGGATGGCCATTGTTTGTTCAGCATCTACGCATGTACGCGTCCGAAGAGCTCGATGATCGGGGGTACCAGGTACCTAGGAAACCATAGAAACTGCCATACTATTGACTGGTAGATGGTACCTGGCCGATCAAAGTCATCCAGTAAATAAAAGCACGCGCACGGGGAACCAAGAAAAAACACGCCAGTGTTTCACCTGGCCGCGGGAGAGCCCCAGTCGGAGCCACGGTTTTGGAGCCCGCGTCTCTCCGGCAACTCATGCCTGATACGTATAGAGTTCACACGAAATGCGTAAATTCGATTCGGTAATTTCTTCAGTAATTGTACATGTCTAGGTCATTCGAACAATGACATTGTATTCGAAAGCACTCGTTTCTCGCTGTTGCTCTTAGCTGGAGACGGAGAGAATCTTCAGCTACAACCCTGCTCAAGTGGTCTTTTAGGTTGTCTGCTTATGGGACCCTCGCTAGGTTAAATTCAAACCTACTTGCACAAATTGGCATAGTTGCAATGCATGTATTCAAAACATTGGAGCGCCTATTCGCCAGATCTCTCTTTTTGTTCTGTGATAGGGATAAACGCCATCTGAAGTATAGTCATAAAAAGGGTTGACAGATAGTGGGTATGTGGTGCGGCTCGTTTCTCATTACAGGGGCCTGTAATAAGAAAAATTAAATATAAGCATGTGAATCATTGGAGCAAAAGTGAGCCCACTTACCCAAGATAATCCTCCTTGATAGTGCCAATCGCATTGATCGCAGCCACGTCGGGCTTCACACCAAGAATCTTGAGTCGCAAACTAGTACCTTTCTCGATCACTTGATCTGCGTGGTCAGTGTATTGTGGAGGAACGGTGTTTGGTTCCCACTTGATGTCGGAGGGAATGTTCTAAGATGCAGGTTAGTCATAGTCTTCAAGGCCATGCATAAGTCCATACTTTTCGTGCAATGAAGACAGATAAGGGACCGGCCAGTGTGAAAATGCCCGTGGGCTTCACGGAGGTGACAATAGCGTCGACCTGATTATGTTGATGTCAGCCAAAGATTGAATTCGTAAAGCCAGAGCTTGACCCAAGTCTGGACTGGTCCATGTCTCAATCTCATGCACATACTGTCTCTCCCCGGAATGGTTTCCAGATAATTGCGCGATACTTGATTGTGTATTCAGCGTGGCCGCTGGAGGGTATGACTCGGCCCTCGCCAATGTCGACCATATCCATCACACAGATCACGAAGTGATCTCCCGTACACCGACCTTCCTCCTCCTCGTTGAGTCGGGTAATTAGGTACTCGCGCATATTGGGTCCGAAGTAAGAAGGGTGCAAGGTGATCACCTTGGCCTCTTCTTTGAGGAAGAACATGTTTGCGGAAGCTCACCAAGCCAGCTCAATTTGTGGTCTCGGTGGTGAGGGGATTCGACGCTTCGCGATTGTTGATCTTAAGGATGGGCTGTGACACTGCTCGCGAACAAATTAATGAGGCGGGAAGGGGTTTAAAACGGTGCTGTGACTTTGCGCAAGACAATGCGATGATTTCAATCGAGGTTGAGTGTCAATGAGTCTGCTACCATGGCCCGAAGATGGTGTAAAGGTAGGAAAAGATGCGCCTAAAGGAGTGGGCGGGTAGAGATAAGCAGGTGCTGAGTCTGCCTGAGATATGAAGGCAGATCGCAATACTGCGGGCACGCTGGAGCTGCTGACAATTTGTCTCCGGGTTCATGGCGGGCAGGTCCAGGTCTAATTTGGAGTTGGATCATGTGACCTTCAGCTGTGGATTTAGTCGGTTCACTTGCTCCAAAACATGCGACACCAGATAGTATTATCAATTGAGATTGCGCTGGATTTCCGTGCGAAGCTCAATCCTAACTAATTTGCCTTGATTTTATTATCAAGAGGATATCATAATTGAGATAGGTGGCATCAGTGGGTTCCAACATAAGGTCCAGGATTGCTTGAAAAATATATAACGGCTAGAAAGCAAACAGACAAACCAACATTCCAATATAGAACCCAGTCGTATAATAGCATTGCACGTCTTCCTAAATCAACATAAACTTTGTGTATACATACCTATACATATGCCTATCCAGTCAATACGTATAGGCAATATTCACTTCTGGGCAATGTTTTTTAAGACCGACCTTCAGCTTTGAAGTAAGCTGGCACTTTCAAAGTTGAGCAGATATCAAGCAATATTAACACCACAACTACATCTCATTTGGTCATTGGTAGAATTCAAATATTGCGTAAGTTAGTTGCAAAAATCTTTATGGACATGCATATTGCTATAGTTGGATTGTACCCATGCAGATTTGTAAATCATCTTTTATCGTCATCTAAAGAGCATCCTGTGCCGTACCTGGTACATACTGATCTAAAAGTCAACAACTAATCTCCTATATAGGCTAGCATTATTCGAGCACTTGAGCGTTATATTTTAATGAGAATGATTTATGAATTACACAGATATTGTAAAGTGATTTCAAAACAGTACAGAGAATTACCACTCTTAGTTACATTTTAATTCCAACAATACCGTACAGAAACAGCTCCATTGGAGCACCTCGGCTCAAACACATGGCACCACTCAGCGCCCACGTTTAGCTGATGATAGAGCTTCCCCAACATTTCGTTCCCAGCACCACCCCGCCCTCGTATAATCTGGCGACCACCCCAGGATGGCGCTGAATCTGGAGAAGCAGTTGCTCTTCGTGAGTCCACTCAGATCAGAAATATTTTTTATCATGATACTGACCGAATTTCTCAGTATGGAGCTTACCACAGCAACCCGGTAAGGCATCTTATTATTGGACAACCGAAGGCGTGGGCTCATTACTATCTAGGTGAACGTGGCAATTCACATAACCTGTGTTCCGATCCTGTTGTTCACAGGTATTGCTCTGGTACGTGTTTTCCCCCTCTGCAATATTCCTCCAACGCGACCTCGTAATGAATACGAACTAACTCGATATCCGATCTGAACAGGGTTGCAACAGCCCATCGCTTTTCAACGTTCCAGATCTCCTGAGTGTCGAATACCTCCCTCCAAATCTTGGAACAATCGCTGCCTTCATTTACGCGATATTCTATGTCCTTCTCGAACCGGTCGCAGGCGGCCTGATCGCACCGCTGGTGATTGGGTCCGCGGCATGCGGGAACTACCTCCTCGGAAGCTACGGAATGGTCGTAAACTACTACGCAGTAGGTATTCATATCGTGTCATGGCTAGCACAGTTTGTGGGACACGGCAAGTTCGAGGGACGGGCTCCGGCGTTGCTGGATAACTTGGTCCAGGCGCTGTTGCTGGCACCGCTGTTCGTGTGGATGGAGATTCTGTTCTTCTTTGGGTATCGGCGAGAGCTGAAGCAGCGGATGGACAAGAATGTCGAGGTTGAGATCGAGAAGATCCGCAAGGAGAAAAAGCAGAAGAAAGGCAAGGAAGCGGAATAAGGTCATGGATCATATGGTTTGTACTTTGAGGAGCAGTCGGGTGTGATGTTTGATTGGTTTCGGGACTAGTCCTTGGGAAACCATGCCTCTGATGAGTGTCATCGTAGACTACGGATTATGCAAATCCGATGATATCCAGATGTCTTATGCTTGCGTGTAAATGGAAATTGGGGAAGGTTGATGTCATTTCGGAAGGGGTTCATAATGTTACCTAGGCCCTGGAAGAGGTAGTAACTCCCCATATAGATTTGTCCCTAGGACCATGGAATTAGTGCCAGCTTTGGGTGACGGTGCAGATATACAGTGCACATTTTACACTGGATATATAGCTGTATACACTGTTTACTTACTCCAAGGCGTTAGCACCCCATACTATTTACTAACCGGTTGCCGTGACGAAACCCATTACCTAAGCCACACACCTGACCAAGGATTCCGGCGACCCGAAGAGAAAAAAACGGGAAGCGGCTGGCCCGTTCTCGGAGCACCTCGCACAGTACCATAATGGTCGATTTTTGATGGGGAAATTTAGAGTCGTATGAAAGGGAAGGAAATGTAAAATCTTTTGGAGCCAAAAGTAAAAAATTGGGAAGCTATAGTTCATAATTAAGCCATAATTTCAACGGAAAGAACAGCGTGGAGGTACACTAGGGCCACATCGGAGGGACCAAGCCCCCCTAAAACGGTCTAGCGCGAGACCTGAGAATCCAATCCTCCCGACAAAGCTCTCCCTTCCCACCCGTCCACAACCTCTTCTCTCCTCTCCGAACTCCTCTCCCCAATTACATCCTCCCTCTCAGAGAATTTATCCTCACACCCTCTGAACCCCTTTCATAATGTTCAGGAACGCTCTGCGGCAGTCCAGCCGCTCGGTTGCGGCCGTCCAGGCCACTGGCCGCATCGCCTCGGTGAGTCCATCCCGTCCTGGCCATCCTCGTCCATCGCCCTGTCCGACCTTTCCATCTCAAATTCGAGCTCGATTGGTCCTCGGATCCCTATCCTCCTCTGCGCCCATCCATTGAGGATACTTCGATTACTCTAGCATCCCCCGAGCTCGTCGTTAACAAAGTTTTCGCCATGTTATAGGTTCGCGCGGCTGTCCCCGGCCCCATTGCCGGTGCCTCCAAGCAGGTCCGCTCTTACGCCTCTGAGGCCAAGGCCACCCCTACCGAGGTCTCTTCCATTCTGGAGCAGCGCATCCGTGGTGTTCAGGAGGAGGCTGGTCTCGCCGAGACCGGTCGTGTTCTGTCGGTCGGGTACGTCAATTCCGCCCGGGGCGGGTAAAGGGTCGTGAGGGAGAAAAATTCGGTCACCGGATACAACTTCGCCAAAAGCGCCCACGCCTACCACCAAAACAATTCGAATCGAACTAGAAACTGACTATCTATCAAATAGTGATGGTATCGCCCGTGTCCACGGTATGACCAACGTCCAGGCTGAGGAGCTGGTTGAGTATGTGACCCCCTGTTATCCGAAAAGTCTTGGCATTATCAAGTTACGAAAACTAACAAACCCTATAGGTTCGCTTCCGGCGTTAAGGGTATGTGCATGAACTTGGAGGCCGGCCAGGTCGGTGTCGTGCTTTTCGGTTCCGACCGTCTCGTCAAGGAGGGTGAGACTGTCAAGCGTACCGGTGAGATTGTGAGTTGTCCTCTCCTGGGTCTGATTTTGATATTGGATCTTCAGCCTCCTTTTTTATTTGCACCCCTTCCTAACATAATTTCCAGGTTGACGTTCCCGCTGGTCCCGAGCTGCTCGGCCGTGTCGTCGACGCTCTTGGTAACCCCATCGATGGCAAGGGTCCCATCAACGCCTCTGAGAAGCGCCGTGCTCAGCTCAAGGCCCCCGGTATTCTTCCCCGTCAGTCCGTCAACGAGCCCGTGCAGACTGGTATGAAGTGTGTCGACTCCATGGTGCCCATTGGCCGTGGTCAGCGTGAGTTGATCATTGGTGACCGTCAGACCGGTAAGACTGCCGTCGCTCTCGACACCATGCTCAACCAGAAGCGTTGGAACTCTACCGGCAGCGAGGCCGAGAAGCTCTACTGTATCTACGTTGCCGTTGGTCAGAAGCGTTCCACCGTCGCTCAGCTCGTCAAGACCCTTGAGGAGAACGACGCCATGAAGTACTCCGTTGTTGTTGCTGCCACCGCCTCCGAGGCCGCCCCCCTGCAGTACATTGCTCCCTTCACTGGTTGTGCCATGGGTGAGTGGTTCCGTGACAACGGCCGCCACGCTGTCATTATCTACGACGATCTGTCCAAGCAGGCCGTTGCCTACCGTCAGATGTCCCTGCTTCTCCGTCGTCCCCCTGGACGTGAGGCCTACCCCGGTGATGTTTTCTACCTGCACTCTCGTCTGCTCGAGCGTGCCGCCAAGATGAACAAGACCCACGGTGCTGGTTCCTTGACTGCCCTGCCCATCATTGAGACCCAGGGTGGTGACGTTTCTGCTTACATTCCCACCAACGTCATTTCCATTACTGACGGCCAGATCTTCTTGGAGGCTGAGCTGTTCTACAAGGGTATCCGTCCCGCCATTAACGTCGGTCTGTCCGTCTCCCGTGTCGGTTCCGCCGCCCAGGTCAAGGCCATGAAGCAGGTCGCCGGTTCCCTGAAGCTTTTCCTTGCTCAGTACCGTGAGGTCGCTGCCTTCGCTCAGTTCGGTTCCGATCTGGATGCCTCCACCAAGCAGACCCTTGCCCGTGGTGAGCGTCTCACTGAGCTGCTCAAGCAGAAGCAGTACTCCCCCATGGCCGTTTCCGACATGGTTCCCCTTATCTTCGCCGGTGTCAACGGTTTCCTTGACCAGATTCCCGTCGGCAAGATCCTCCAGTGGGAGAACGACATCCTTGCTCACCTCAAGAGCTCCTACCCCGAGATCCAGCAGACTATCGACAAGGAGGGCCAGGTTTCCAAGGAGCTTGAGGCTAAGCTCAAGGAGGTCATCGGTGCCTTCAACAAGTCTTTCAGCGCATAGGTGAGCTAAGAAAACAACTTTGAGGGGTCCATGGTGATCGTTCTGTTTTCCTGACTCTTTCTATGTGTATAGACAAGATAGCTTGTACAATTTTGAGGCCATAATTTCGTTCTGTTCCTCTTGGTCCTTGACGTCTCCCGGCGAATTTCGATTTCAAGCCCTGGATGTAGCGATGTAAGGCTGTTCAATTCTGTCTCTACTGGCTCTACTGGTCCGGGGTAGGAATCATGTTTCGCCGTGAGATACTTGGACTGACTGGGGCTGCTTGATCTTTGACCTTCCAAAATGTGATTATATCCTGTACGTTTAGATTTTTTCCGCGCATCGGGGGGCGCGTGATGGGAGGACACCAAATTAACTTCCGTCTGGTCTCCATGTCTCTCTCCATGTTGGATCTGCAATTCATTTTCTTTTGTTCTATTTATTCCAGTAAACATCTCGTAGGCTTCAAATCTGTCCTGCTATTCAATGGTACTCGATCCGGGTAGCAGATCGGTGACACCTGTTGATTTGGCAAGTATAAGAAATTGTGCCCACTTATGTCAATGAAATTACTGCCTTTCCAGCAACCCATTCTCCTTTAATACTCCCCATCTATTGGCCGTGTTAGTCTTCATAATCATCTATTTATCCCTTTAGCTTGGGATTCAAAACCCGGCATAAGCGATCTCGGCAAGTGAGACCGAAAACGGCACCCGATCCTCTTATCGATAAGCGAACAATCTTTTTCCCTCGAGGCAAGTCCCCCGCGCGTTCTATATATCCCAATTCCTGTTGTTCAGAGTATCAATTCTCGTCATGTCGGCTCCTACGAACTCTGCGCCTGCCTCGTGCAAGGTTATGCTTTCCAAGCACGTGGCCACTCGCCTGCTCAGCGAGGTCCAGGAAGGCGTCAAGACTCTTGAGAAGCCGCCACACCTGGTCGGATTTCTAGCGAACAATGACCCCGCGGCGCTGATGTATGCGCAATGGACGCAGAAGACCTGTGAAGAGAAGTGAGTTCAATTACCTGGCAACTTGTTTGTCTATGGCGTTCTCAGTGGCTTCGATCTGTTGGTGGGGTTAGTGGGTATGATTCATACTTGCCCCTCGTCGCGCAGAGATGGAAGCACCATACATCCCAAACAACATGAAAAACAAAGAAAAATATCCAGACAACATGACTATCAAATAAACTTACGTGATACAATTCATTAACTTACCACAGTGGATTCAAGTACACCCTCCGCGAAGTTAGCCGCGACGACATCGAGGAACAAATTATCGATGCCAACGCCGACTCCAACGTTGACGGCATCATTGTCTACTACCCCATCTTCAACAACCGCCAGGACCAATACTTGCAGCAGATAGTTGATGTCTCCAAGGATGTCGAAGGTCTCAGCCACCGCTACATCTTCAACATGTACCAGAACATCCGCTTCCTCGACCCCGAAACCAAGCGCCAGAAGTGCATCCTGCCCTGCACGCCGTTGGCCAACATTAAGATCCTCGAGTACCTGAACATCTACAACACTATTCTGCCTTACGGAAACCGACTGTTCGGCCACACCATTTGCGTTGTGAACCGGTCCGAGGTCGTAGGACGCCCTCTTGCTGCTTTGCTGGCCAATGACGGAGCTTGTGTGTACAGTATTGATATCACTGGTGTGCAGAAGTTCACTCGTGGTGAGGGATTGCAGAAACACAGACACGAGATTGTTGATCTTGAGGGCGCGACAATGAAGGACGTTGTCCCCCTGTGTGATGTTGTTATCTCTGGTGTGCCGGGTGAGAAGTTCAAGTTCGATACTAGCTTGCTCCGTGAAGGTGCTGTTTGTGTCAACTTCTCCAGCGAGAAGGTGAGTCATTATTTCAGTCTTGGGAGTTGATTGAAATTATCATTTGACTAACATGATGTACAGAACTTCGGCCCTGAAGTCAAGGAGAAGGCCTCCCTCTTCGTTCCCTCCATTGGCAAGGTGACCATTGTCGTCCTACTGCGCAACTTGCTGGTGAGTTCGAACCCTATTCCGCTTAGAGTAAAGAAACATTTTAGTGAATATCTGTTAACGTCTGCCATAGAGACTCATCCAGAACCGCCGGGTAGATGATGTCAAGCCAGCTGCTGCCACAGAGCGCCCTGGCACTCTTGAGGCTGAGGCCGCCACGTAAACATAGCAAATTGTATGCTCCCAAAAGGATGGATGAATACCGGGAATACGTTGAAAATCCTGATGTAGATTTGTTTTTAGCCAAATGAATATATGTATGTTCTTATCATCGATTTTAAGGTTGTATAATTCGAAGCAGTGGCCTAATCTGCACTATCGCGAGAATTGATATCAATTGCAAGGACACTGTCAACAAATGAGGAAATCCGGACTACTAGATGCCTTGGTGATCGTAAATTCCCATACATTGGTAATACGCGAACGAAGAATATGCTAAATGCACCCTATCACAAGATCCCGAGGTCAAGCCAACATTTTAAACCGAATATGAAACATTGCTCTCAATGTTTTATGCACATCAAGCGGAGCAAGCTCTATCGTCCTGAATCACCGCTGTTCTTCTTCTCACTCTCCTTCGCCGCTAGTCTTAATACATCAATTTCACTCGCCAACCAGCGGCGGTACGGCTCCGGGTGGAACACGCCGTCTGTCGAGAACCATGTCGTGAAAGGAGCTTCGATGCGCTTGTCCTGTAGGACCTTGCCAGCAGGGGATTTGTATTGGACGTGGAGTTTGTAGGGAACGGAATTCTTAATGACAGACGAGGAGATAGATATCTGGGACATCAAATCTGTTAATACCGAGCCTAAACGTAGAGGAGAGCAATACTCAAGTATTTTTACTTACCGTCTCGCCAGTCTTCCGCTTCCCGCAAAATACTTCCCCGGCCTCAACAGCCCAAATCCAATATGTCAGGGCGGTGTTGAGGATAAAGTAAGAACATACGGCGACAATAACCCATGTCGATGTGGCGGCCTCCCAGCCTAGCTTACGGTCTGCATAGAAGGTGAATGCCGAGATTGCGACGGCACTGTAGCCCAGCGCGAAGCGGACATTGGTCTTGGTGTGGTCTGGAGTGAAGGTGTAGGGCGCGGGGAGGTTCGTCAAGTAGGGAACTAAAGCGTCATCGCTAGTAGATTTGAGGTCTGGAAGCAGACGTATATTAGTTAGTCCCGAGAAATACATTTAGATACTCTCTCGAGCAAACAAGGGTCTTGTAACTCGCAAGTTGGGGTACGTAGATCTGGGGAGACGAACCGTTGGTCGAGTAGATAGGCACCTTGGTAGTCGCCATGGCTATGATTAAGACAGAAAGACAGATAGTATAGTCGTATCTGCTAGAGGTCCAGCCAAAATTGTTGCAGACAAGGTATTTCGTGGCGTTGATGAACAGTGTTTATCGCAAGGACACAGTTGCGGGTTGGAGAGAGCTGGAGCTCGCGCGGGCCAATGAAAGCCGCCGCCGCGAACCTCGACCACTTCAGTCCAACATCCCCTTCACCTCCCCCACACCAGCAAATCAACCGCCACGGGAATTCTCGTTGGGAGTCACTTGTGCAGCACTCTCAACTGTAATTGCTCTGGCCTTTGACTCTGTCCATCATGGCCTTCCAAGGGGCTGAGCAGACCATCCTTCGGGATCCGGCGCTTTTGTGAGAAGCCATTCCAATGGACGTGGAGATACCCAATCTAACAGTTAATTGAACAGTTATTGGATTTTGTTCCCGATTTCAGTGGTCATGGTACGAGCAAATTTATTTGCTGTACAAACTTCATTCTAATCCATCGCACGAACAGATCCTGACCGGAATCCTGCGCCACTACGCAACAGTCCTGATGAACACCCCCCCGAAAGCCCCCGCTACCCTCGCCGCATCGCGCGAGCGCCACGCTCTTCTCCGTGGTGTTAACCTGCGGAACTATGCTTGCGCTGTTCTGGACCGTGAATCCTTCGAGATGCGCAAGAACTACCTGATCACCGGCTTCCGTAACGGCTCGTTCCTCAAGGACCCCAACAACCGGGGCCAGCCTCCTGCTAATCCTATGACCGACCCAGCCGGCATGGAGCAGATGATGGGTATGCTGAAGGGAAATATGATGATGATGATTCCCCAGACGCTGATTATGAGCTGGATCAATGCGTTCTTTTCTGGATTTGTTATCTGTGGGTGTTCCGCGAGGATATGGATAATTGTGCATTACTAACGGCCTTGAACAGTGAAATTGCCTTTCCCCTTGACTATTCGCTTCAAGTCGATGCTCCAGTCTGGTGTCATGACCCGCGATCTAGATGTGCAATGGGTGTCTAGTCTGTCATGGTACTTCCTCAACCTGATGGGTCTTCAGTCTGTCTTTGGATTTATCTTGGGCAGTGACAATGGTAAGTGACGCTAGGATTTTCAGACAATGGGATAGTGGCTAATGTGTTTTGTAGCTGCCAACCAGATGGCTCAACAGATGGGCATGGCTAATCCCGCTGCCATGATGAACCCGATGCAGCCTGGACAGGACCCCGATAAGCTGTTTTTGAGCGAGGCCGAGAACCTAGAGGTTATGGAGTACTTCTCCATTTTGAATGGAATAGAGGAGCGAGTCTTACTGAACTTTGCTCCCGAGGTGAATTAGATTGGCTTAATTGAAGGGAGATAGGTGTCCATGTACGGTATATATGAAAGGGCAGTTGGCTCTGAATAGATCATGTTCACAAAGTTGGCAGAAGCCTACAAAAAGCATATACGAGTGCTGCATATCTTGATATACCCAATCTTGTTAATGAAAACATCCATTATCATTAAACATCCTAAGAATTTCATTATGTCGTTACCACGTTGAAAATCAACGGTAATTGATCACACTGTTTAACACCCAGACCTCTCCGTTGGCCACCTTCTCCGCAATACTGTCAACCTCAATATTGCCAGGTTGTATCTAGTACCAGTCAGTCACCAAAATCTTCACAGCAGAGAAAGAAATCTAATACTCACGAATATCTTGTCGCCCTCCTTCGTCCATTTAAGCTTCTCTCCTCTCAGCGATTCCACCTCCTCTCCTTCGTTCCATGGGTTAACAGGAATAAGATGTGCTTCGACAAATCGTTCTAGATTCCGCTTCGCCCGATCCTGCCCATCTTGCCCTTCATAGGCATTCACATCCCCAAACTTCGCATAATCCTCTGGGTCTTCCCACGGTTTCCGGGGCAATGCCTGGACAGCACTATTCCGTGGTGCCAACACAGTGATATTTCTTGAGGAATCATTCAAACGAGAGGCGATGGGGTCAAAATCGCGGGTCAGCTGAGCGAAAATATTGATTCCCTTGGTTTTTGGAAGGACATCACAAATCATAGGTACATCTGCACCTGGACCTGTTTCGGAGCCTGTAGGCTGCGGTTTGGTGAAACCTGGGATGAGTTTATCCATGATAAAATGTTGATTTTGCGATAGACCTAGCGGGCTTTGTCGGAAAGTGTTAGGGATAGAAAGACCTAAAACAGCAGCTGAAGTGCCTAGAGTAATCCACAGCAAAAGCAAGGATGCGATTTGAGTGAAATGTCTCATCTTGGCTGAACTGGGTAGTGGGATGCACAATGCAGTACAGTTTCAGCCCATGACGCAAGGTACCACGTGATACAGATAAGAAAAATATTTCACGTGACCGTTATCGATAACACAGAAAATGGCAATGGCCGTCACCGGAGGGGAAGGTGCGCCCTGCTATTGATCTTCTATTCCATTAATTTGTGGTGCGGCTGCTCCCTTTTCACATCATGTCGGCTCTGCAGACCTTCATGCTGGTTGTCGACAATGACAAAGATGAAGCAAAGAGCATCGCTACCTCCGTGGCCCAAGGTAAATATCGTCCAATCATGCCACCCCGCACTCGTATTAGTGATATTATTCTAACTGCGTTGCAAATCCAGACGTGGAGAGCAAGAAGACCACTTTGATCGATATTGTTCGACAGCTTGGTGAATATATCAATGACGAAGATCCAATCCTACGGGGAAAGGCGATTTCCTTCCTCACCGCGGTGATCAAGGCACTGCCGCCCCGCTTCCTATCGAGACAACAGATCCAAGTTCTGACGACATTCTTTGGTGACCGAATTGAGGATGGCGGTGCGGTTGCAGGGCTGGACAGACTGCAGGGATTGGAGCGGTTCAACAAGGAATTGGCTATCGAGACTGCTCAAGCGTGAGTCTCATACTATATGTGTTGTGGTCGGTGAAATACTAATTGCATTATAGCTTATTCGGCAACTTCCAGGACCTCCAGTCTCGTTCCCAGACACAGCGGTTCCAAGTTTATCAGTTGCTGAATGAATTGATGTCGAGGCACCGTGAGGCTTTGCGTGAAATGGGCGACGATTCCCTTATGGGGATTGTGGATCTCATGACTGGAGAGAAGGATCCGCGTAACCTGATGATGGTTTTCTCCATATTGAAGGTTGTTATGATGGAGTGGGATATTACAAACCATGCCGAGGTTAGAATATTGCAGCCAGCCACAGTAACACAGCAGCTAATTCCACTAGCTCCTTTTCGACTCGGTGTACAATTACTTCCCGATCACTTTCCGACCTCCGCCAAACGATCCATATGGAATCACCGCACAAGATTTGAAAGGCAGATTGCAGGATTGCATTTCTGCATCGAGACACTTTGCTCCGCATGCTATACCATCATTGCTGGACAAGCTGGATTCTACGTCTCCGAATGTTAAGGTACGTCTATTTGGTGATATTCTGTATGCAGATGCTAATATCCACCTAGAAAGATGCGCTGAACGCATTGATTGCGTGTATTCATTCGTACGATCCGGACACCGTATCCCGATACTCAATCACCATCTGGGAAGTTCTCAAGTTTGAAATACTTAATGCCCAAGAGGAATTTCTGTCAGAATCATCTCTGGAGGCTCTTTCTGGAATCGCACAGCGACTTTCTGAAGGAGTTACCGAAATTACATCGAATCTGCCTCTTGCACAATATCTCCGCCCTATCACCCAGGAGTGTAATGAGCAATTGCAAGAGCCTCAGCAGAAGCAGGCAAAGCCTGCCCAACAAATCCTGAGCTCGCTATCGTCGTCCTCTGTTGCAGCATTCACACTAATCGTACAGACTGTTGTTGCTCCAATCCTTACTATCTACCAAGAGGCGGATGGAATTGTTAAGCAACGGGCTCTCCTTGAGACGCTGGCTGTTCTGTTCCAATCTGCAACCCAGGTCTTCGGACAGTGGACCACTCGCGGAGGCGAAGTTGCTCAAGTGAACCCCTTGGTCGAATTCAAGGATCAGTTTTCAGATGTCTTAGGACAGGCTCTGATGGGCTCTGCTAAAGATGAGGTTTCTTTCCGTGTCACTGCTTTGAAGGGTTTCCTGCGACTTTCGACCTTGCGTGATTTCTTCCAGGACAATGAAACTGGGCTGTTCGTTCAATACCTGGATGAAATTCTTCTCACAGAGGAGTCCGTTGGTCGGGATGACCTGAAGAAAGAAGCCATTGCAGCATTGGCCGAAATTTCCAAGCACAAACCTCGCTTGATTATGGATATCACTTTCCCTGCATTTGTAGCCACACTTCCAGATGAAGACGATGGTACAAACTCAGCTTACTTGTCAACCTTGGATACCCTGGCCCAGATCAGCGTTGAGAGAGACATCTTCGAAACTCTGTTCCGACGTCTCTTCAGCAAGCTATCTATCTTACTCCAAAAGGAGAAGCCTGGATTTGCAGCCTACCCCCGAGCTATCCTTGTGACTCTGCTTTATGTCATGCAGCAAAGGCAGATGGATGCTGATCCAAATGTGGACTTGTACTTTGATAAGATTGTTGTTGGCCTTTGCCAGAGCGTTGCAGAGTCAGCCTCAGGACAGGGAAAGAACCATCTCCTCAATGATCCCACAATCCTTGATACCCTAGGCCGGCTTTGCAACCTTCTTGTACGAGCTGTTTCGGTTCAAAAACAAGAGCAAGCCGCCCGAAATGTCTACAGTCTCTTCTCGACAGCAGGCTTTGTACCGGTCCCTTTCTCTGAAAATGCCAGTGCTGATCAAGAACGCACGATTATTATTTCGACATATATTCTCGCGGGCCTATCAAAGGACTGCGCCAATCTCATTCCTAACACATCTCCTGATATGTCAGGCCTGCTTTCAGATCTAGTCAAGCGATCCGTATCTGACAACGCAGAGCCTGCCACGCACATTGCCTTCTTGCATCATCTGGCATTGCTTGTCAACAAATTCCTGTCCAAACAGGATTTGAAAATTGCCGAGAATCTCTTCGATTCTCTTGTCTCACCCGAAGGCCAGACCTTTACTCCTGCTACGATTCGTACCATCTTCTGGCTATCAAAGGCTCTCGTCCTTCGCCTTGCTCCATCCACTACACATATCCTGACCTCGTTGATGGGTCTTCTTTCTTCTCCCGACCAGCAAACTAGCCACTCCACTGCTCGCGGATTTTCCATTCTCTTAGGCGATGATGACGTCCTGTCCGCGACTAACGGTGCCACTATCCGCCTGCTATCCAAGCAGCGCGTCTTCACTACGGTCATCCCCTTGATCTCTTCTCGCATCCGCGATGTTAACATCGCTGGCAATGACGACTCTACCACCACTACATCACCGGACCACATCAAACCAGCCCACTTGACCGCCCTCGCGGGCATTCTCTCCACGATTTCCACGGCCCTCGTCATGCCCGAACTTCCCACCTTACTTCCACTCCTCCTCCAATCTCTTGACCTCCAAACATCTGACTCTGTTGCTGTCCGCGCCGCAACTCTCGACACCCTCGCGGTTATCATCCGCGATAACGGTGTCACCACGATTGACAAGTGCGGCCACGTCCACAGTCTCGTCCAGAGACTCCTCAAAACAACAGTTGCCAGACCCGGCTCTGGTGTCGTAAACCCTCCCCGTCTCCGGGTCGATTCACTCAAATGCCTCTACCTACTCGCCACAAGACAGACTTCTGGCGAGTCAGGCTCTAATGCCAAGATTCCGCCTGCGATCTCCCCGCTTCTTCCAGAAAAAGCACAAGTACTGCGTTCCTTGCGGGCTGTTTTGGATGATCCGAAGCGTGATGTGCGGAAGGCGGCTGTCGATGCGAGCAGTGCCTGGTTCCGGGGTGTGGATGATGTACCGGAAGAGGATGACTGAGGGCATACTCGATGTGATGATACAGAGGTACATGTTTCTACTTTCAGTACATAGTTCTTAGGTGCATTAACACTAGAATAGAAAAGCTTCTGCTTCGTTCTTTATGACTACGGCCCCATTCCATGCAATTGAGATTCCGTTATCTGAAATCGCAAGTTGAGATTGTACCACTTTCATGTTTAATCATTATTCCCTTGAGGCCATGACCACTTGAAACTTCATGTGGCTTTCGTGAACCTAGAGCAAAGGCTGAAGGAAACAGAAGACCTCAAATGAGATTTAGGCAACGATTGACTTTGTGGGGCCTATCTTGCCCAATGGTTTTCTATGTTGACTTAGGGATACCCTTTGATGCGTGCTGCGCTAACCTCAGGATATACATTCCGGGGAAAAGGCGGGGAAAGGCGGGGGGTGGCTTCCAGTACCCATATACACTCCACGGGGATATCATTCTCTCGGCTATAAATCGCTTATACTGCTTTCAAATCAACTCCTCTCGGATTCATCCGAGCATCGAGTATTTACAGACTGCCTTGTGTTCAGGAATACCTAATCTGTACATCGGCCCCACAGCATGTTGACTGCATCTCCAGAGCCGCGAGGTCAGCGCCCGGCTAAGGTCGGCAAAAGTGGGAGAAATAAACCGCGAGCTCGGTTGGTTTGCTCCAACTGCCGCTCACGTAAAGTGAAGGTCTATCCAGGATCAAAAGGACTTCACGCATAACTGATTTGTGGACAGTGTGATGCTGAGAAATTGGCGACAGGCCAAAAGTGTTCTCACTGCCGGGAGTCGGAGTTACAATGCGTATTCGACCAGGTTGATCGCCGACGAAGGTATCTTCAAGGACCTAGCTTAATGGTTACAGAATTTCTGACTGTTAGTAGGGGTAGACCATCGCAGCAAAGCACAGCCACATTACAGGATCGGATCAAGTTCCTTGAGTCTGCCCTCAAAGAAAGTGTCCAAGCTGGCTCACATGTCGAAGTTAATGCGTAGGTATCAGAGAGCACGGCAGATAGTTCATTCAGAGATGATAATGGTGTGCGGAATAACTCTTCACCTTTGGGTGTAAGTCCGCAGATTTTGGCAGTGGCGCCTGAAACTCCACGAGACAGCTTCAGTATAGCCAACGAAAGGTATTTACTCCTTAACCAATTGATGCTGTTCTTTATAAGGTTAACTTCAACAGGCGCTTGTCATTCACAGAATCGGTACCTCATCTGATCACAGATGATGGATCTCACCCACGAGGTCGGTCGAGCTCCGAACTAGACCATAACATGAATAAGCACCAACAGAAAGCACTCTCAGGTACTAGTGGACTGTGACATGCCCAATCACAGAACTCTTTGCTGCTTGTAGATCCTGCCCTGTCACCCAGGGGCTTGGACTCGAATGAAAACACGGGCGTCACTGGGAGTGCAGATCTCGTATCATACGTTGATTTCGGAACTTGTTCCTAATAAATATCGTGCTATTGCCTTGGCATCGATGGCTACCTCCATCACACCTGTCGCCGTGTTTGGGTCTGTCATCATAAGAGCTTTTATCCTTTACACGGAGGCTGGCTGGAGATGGACATTCTATCTCACCATAATTTTTAATGTCTTGTTTGTTGTTCTTTTTTATCTATTCTACTTCCCTCCAAACTACAAAATGCTGCATACTAGCGCTGCAGAGCGAAGATCGAGGTGGAAACTGCTCGACATGGGTGGAGTCTTGCTTTTCACGATTGGAATGGTTCTTCTTTTACTTGGAATATCCTTTGGAGGGTCTCTTTTTCATTGGAAGTCCAAAATCGTGATTACATTCATTGTCATCGGTTTTGTGGTGTTGATCGGATTTGCATTTTGGGAAATTTATGGACCTGTTGACTATCCTTTCATTCCTATGGCGTTTTTTAGGAACCGCAGGCTCATGAGTGTTATTTTGCTCAATAGTGTGGGATACACTGTTTCCTTCGCTCTTCTACTATTATATCCTATACAGTTGGGGGCACTCTATGGCACATCTACCATGGATGTGGGATGGAAGTCCTGTATCAGTGAGTTTACTCGTCTTGTCAACATGGTTCCCCATCTAACACTCACAGGCCCCGCATTTGTTATCGTCGGCCAACTGTTGAGTGGTTCATTCTTAAAGCTCATCGGGAAGCAAAGGCGGCAAATGACGATTTGGGCAATTGCTTTGACGGCGTTCACAACCCCATTGGGCGCAACAACTCCCTCTACTCCGACTATGTTCTATATTTTTATTGTGTTGAGCGCCATGTCTGTGGGTTATATCGAGAATGCAACACTCACAACAGCCTCTTTTACAGTGAAAGAGGGAGACATTGGCATTGCCCTCGGGTTGCTAGGTACGATTCGAGGTGTCTTTGCTGCCGTGGGACAGGCTATATTCGTTGCTATCTTGGATACACAACTTGCTAGCAACACGCCAAAATACGCCCTTCAAAACGCGATCCAAGCCGGCCTTCATCGAGTTCCAGCTCTTTGCTGGAGAGTATCAGCTCGGGGAACCTTTCGGCAGTGCCTGGAAGCACGGCACAGATCATCTCGGCAGCAGAGTATGGTGAGAAGGAGGCCTACTCGGAAAGCTTCAAAATAGTTTACTTGGCTGCAATTGCATTTGGTGCAGTCTCGATTGGGGCCGCTGTGGTCACTCCCAATTCTGAGAGCAAGTTCACCAACAAGATTGCAAGGAGGCTACATACTCGACAAAATGATGAGATGACTGGAAATTTGGAGCCTAGCAGTGCTGTCTGACTAACAACAGCCCCTTTCAATGTCGGATTATACATTGAGCTCGTAGTGGAATGTGGGAGGCTTTCCATAGATCTCCAAATTTACCCATCCGTCTTTTTATTCCAGCATTGAAACAAAATATTCATAAATTGTACTTAGAAGGCTGCAACATCGAACTAAAATTCTTAAAGCTCCTTCAGTTACAAGGTAGATAGACACTCAGTACCACTCAAGGATTACCTTGGGAAGAAATACGAATAAAATGGGCACTCAACGACCTTTAATCGGTGCCTATGCCAGCTCTGGAGTGGATTTCCAAAGGTTCCTTTGTGTTGTTTGAGTAGTACTACACTACTGATAGTAACTTGCAAATATGATCCATCATTTTCAGTGGAAGGGGCCCCGGAGTAGGGAATATTCTAAGATAATGACATGATAAACTGGCCAGTATTGAAACAAAACCCTGCACACACTGCGAAAACCAGCCCACGAAATTCGATAAGGTTCAGGGGTCAGTAAATTCCACAAGAGGTATGCCGCAGGCTCAATGTAGAATGGCGGTCATGTATTCATCTGCACTCTTGTAGATAATATTTTGGAGTTTCGAGTTTTTGGGTCTTGTTCCGATCAAGTCTCACTCACCAAAATCGGATTTGCTTTTCAGCCACAAGATCTCGTTTGCTTTCTGTGACAGCAATCTCCCGAGAAGTCGACTTATCCATGTCATTTGATTCATCGCCGTGACGATTGATTGGGCTGGAAACTTTCATACGTGGGCCAGCATTGTTTGCCCCGACAGCATCAATGTTCTTAACCACAGTTTCTGCAAGGCGAACAAGAGAAGCTAGCCCAGCGCAACCAATCGAAGAGGAAATGGTAACCTCGTTGAATGTATCTGATCCAACACTAGAAACTGGGACTTTGGGCAAGGGCTCAGAGAACTCAGTTTCCCACAGGTGCTCGGCATCATCCCCGAAGAGACACTTTGTTGTCCATTCCGTTGTCTTGTCACCCGGTTCAACCATTGAGTTGCGATGCAGCGTCGCGTTCAATATTGGAGAGATCAGGGAGACACTCCACCACTGCCGGTTAGCCTTCACCATTTCTTTCCGCGGAGCGCTGTGGGCTGTGATGATATTCTCCAAATAATTGGCCGATATGATGAGGTCCTGAGTTTCTTTGGCACGCAGATACATGTATGGACCGGTGTCGCAGGAGTCGATGCCCTTGGGTGGAATGTGTCGGTGGATTGTTGTGCGCTGCAGAGTAACCTTGGTGATATTTAAGTCTTTCGGCGTCCTCAGTACAAGACGAATATGAGTACGGCCGGGCTCAACGAACATATTTCGGGCAATCTCCTCCGCGGCTTCTTTGGCCCGTGTAAAATCTGCATTAAAATGCCCCACAGAACCGTAGATGGTAAGAGAAGCGTCCCATATGCTACCCGGAGCGTTGAGGTGGACCGACCCGATAGGCACCGGAGATTTGGCAATGGAGATGTTGTGGGACTGGTCGATAACAACCAAGAACTGCTCCCCACCGAAATTGCAATCGAACTCATACTGGAAAGTCTGTTCTTCAGGCTTTTCGTCGAAAAGGTGGCAATCGTTGACTTCAAGATTGATGATGTAGTCAACGTCTGTAGGCGAGGTTGTGAGTCGGTCAAAGAACCTACAGGTAGAAGGTCCAAGACTGTTGTTCAGATGTTGCTTCAAGTCATCCAAAAACATAACTTCCTTTTTCGCGAGATTGGGGCTATGAAAAAGCAAAAGCAATCCAATATTAATACTCAGACTCAGTGGACCTGGATACCACTTGGCAGCATCAAGGAGCGGCTCGATGGTGTTGAATAGATATTTTGTTTGCTCTTTTTGTGAATCCGCTAGTCTCTGCTGCATCTGAGATGGTTTAGAAATCGCCCGTGGTTCGAAAGAGAGGCTTGGTGTACAGCGCTGTGCAGACGAGTATCGCCTTTTTGATGCCTCACCCGATGCCTTTGAGATAACGGCATTACCACTGGCCTCCGTCACAGCTTGAGGCTTCATGACATCCGTTTTGATGGGATTTGGCGCAGCCTTCTGTTTCATTGTTTGATGCAAAACTGGGACTCCGGGCGATTCGACTTCGCGTTCTTTGCTTTTGCCTCCTTTATCAAGCCGGGATGGAGAGTTGGGCAATTTCAGAATTGGTAGATTTTCCTTCAGGCTGTATACAGCTAGTGGGAAGTTGTCCTCTGCTTCGCTTGGCTTTCGCTCTATATGATAATCTGGCAAATCGAGCATGATCTCACCTTGGGATTCAGCATCAAAATCCGACATGGACAGGAACTCATAAGTAGCAGTCCCCTGCGCAGGAGACAGATTGATTTCAGACTCCCCGGATTTCAACCGGTCAAAAGTACCAGGTAGATGCTCAAGCCAAGACAGATTATCTGGCGTGGAATGTATGCGACAGGCCCTCTCTTCGGCAGCTAGGGCTGGTAGAGGGGATTCGATGTCAAAAATATCCCGTCCATGAACAATCAGCTCTCCATCAGCAGTGAATTCAAGAGGGCAGGTATTGACAAGACTTTCGTCCACATTGTCAGCTTCCACAGGGCAGGATAAATCAATAGGAACATTCTGATCCTCAACCGTTCCTCGCCGAGTGCTTCCAGGAGGAGAAGCTGTCGGGGATCCAAAATCAATCAGAATTCCTTGGCCGGGTACCGGGCAGGTTATCTTTCCGTAGGCTGTGCCAGTAATCTTAACCGGAATATCCTCTTCCTCTTCCGCACCCGCCAGGTCTTTTAACACCATAATCCGCGATTCGGGCTCACGTAAAGTCGGTGAAGTGAGAAAAGCCTCAAACTGGTCTCCAGGGTGCAGGGCCGGAGTAAACACTGCGGCTGTTGGTCGAAGAGATGTAGATGCGTGCAAAGACCTATTCGGTTTCTTGCCTCTCATACTCAGAAATGCGGCAGCTGTCGCCCGAAGAGATGACTTGGAAGCGGGAATAGTCTTGGAATTAGTCTTATTCACCGTTCCATCCGTGGATAGCTCTAGGGTACTAGCTTGGCGGGGAAGTGACCTCGGGGTGCTCGCAACATCGAAGGTCTTAGCAGGAGGGGGGCCCAAAGACGAGGTTGGGGTCACTATATGTTCTAAGGATGTAGGAGCAGAGACTGGTGATCCAGACACAAGAGCCGAGCTGGACGACTGGGCAGCTAGAAGAGAGATGTGACGCGCCTCATAGGCAGCCCTAGTCATGCGTTTTCTGATACCGCGCGACCTGCGCGGCTCAGTCACCTCTTTGGTCGAGGATTTCAATTCAGACACTGATTCATCAACACTGGCCAGAGTCGAACTCGGAGGACCTGTTCGCTCACCTGCAGATGGCGGCATGGCGTCCTGAACCCATTTAGTAAGCTCATCTGCCTTGCTAGAGCGCAAGTAAAGATGCTCCTTGGAGCCTGTCTCAACACTGACACTCTGACGGAGATTGAAGGCTAACGGAAGAGCTTCGGTGGAGCCATTGTTGCTTCCTACCGCTGGGAAGCGAAAGTCTGCCCATGCTTGAGTCATTTCGGGGTCATTTGTAATAGCAGTATCAAGACAAGGTGGATTGCACAGTTGATCAAGCAATTCCCATGTGCGAACTTCTGCATTGTAACGATAAGCCACTGGGACTTGCATGCCCAGAACTTCCCCAGCCGGTGTGGTCGCACCGAGCAGGACACGCTGAGAGGCCAACCTATTGACAGCTGTATAATCCTCTACCCTGTATCCCAGTGAACCAGCCTGAGATGCGAGTACCATGGTTGCAAAATGGGGCATATCGGTTAAATTCTGTTGGGTTAACTATATGCGTGACATCATAGGATTTGAGTCTTAGACTTACCATAACCAATGCGAGGCCATTGAGTTTCTCCATGGCCTCATTGACCTCCCACTCGGTGGAGCTCCGCAGTTGAATACGGTTCTCATCACTCAATTGCTCGATATGGCCCTCTGTGGCCGTGGCAAGGCACACAAGAGGGAGAAGCCCGTACCGGTCATGAGCGAAGTATCCCAATAGGCCGTTCTTGGGGATCCAGGTTCGAGAAACATCCATCGAACGCGACTTTTGCTCCTGAAGGCCGCTACGCCCGTCGTTAGGCTTTGAGGAAGATTTGGTTGCCATGGCCTCGCAGTTTTGAAGATCTATTTGTATTCTTCATTAGCCCGAGAATCCCAGTATCATATCCTTCGGTAATCATGAACTCACGTTTAAACGATTGTCTCAGGTCGAGGGCATGAGTCGGAAAGAGGCCTCGAAGAGCGAAGTAAATGCGGAGTAGAAAGGAAGCAGTCAAAGACTCCTTCACTTCTGTGTTATAAGTAACTTAAAAGTAAGGAATTGTTCACTAGAAACAGGTGAATAGTGCCTTCAGTCCTGGTTCCGGTATGTGACGGAAGGACTCAGAAATAATAAAGAGCTCTGTAGGTTAACATCAAGATGACGACCGCACACAAAGGTCACTAGCTCTCGCTGGGAATGTATCGCCCCAGCCACGAGCATGAGAAAGGTCCACTTTGTTAGGTATTTAGGTATTGATGTAAGGTCTTCTTTATTAACTGCACTGAACATAGATAACAAAAATAAACATGCCTTGGAAGGTCGAAGTCACAGTGTCATAGCGGTCGTCATACATGAGATCTAACAATATCTAGGTCAACAGAAAGCTGTCATTGGGTATCTGTGCTACCCGGAAACGCCATGCACCATAGTCAAAATAAGAATGGACGATGCAGAAAAGGCCATAAATAACCCAAGGTGGATGTGCAATAAGCGAGGAATTTGAAATGGCAGGTGGTGTAGAAAGGGTGTTGGGGTTCTATTTCATCGTCAGCAACTGCGTGGAACCGCAATTCCAGGGGAAATCCCTACATCAGTCACGAACTTGGTTCTTGTTCAACTGGATAGCCCACTTCATCTCTGCTTCGGTCTCCTTCAAAGACACAATAGCAGCATCAATCATGGCATTATTGGCATGGGCCCGCTCAATCGTTCCCCGAAGCTCCTCATCTTTCGTCTTCTTATACTCTGCATGATTCTCCAAAAGCTTCTCGTGGGCTTCCTTTAGCCCCTCCACCTCCCTGTTCTTTTGTTCGGCGATGACATCTAGCCGCTCCGTACACACCACCTGTGTCTTCTGTGCCTCTGCCATCGCCTGTAACTCCGCCCACAGCGCCTTCACCCGACGACTCAGCTCAGCTTTCTCGCGCTTCGTCGTATTGGATAAGACCTCATACTGTGTCTCATGGTACTTGGCAATCTCCTGTGTATGTGCCTGTTCCCGATGATGGTTCTCGCGTTCTTCACGCATAGTCTCATTTGTTCTGCTCGCGTCCGCTTCAGCATCTTGGCGTTTACTCCGCTCGCCCGCATGCTCGGCACGGAGTTCTTCGATTTTCCGGTCTTTGCGAGCAATGGAGTTCAAATTGGTCTCGTTGACCTGCTCTAGATTTCGAAGCCGCTCGTTCATGTTCTGTGCTTGGATCTTCAAGGCTTCGTTGGAACGTTGTGTCTCCTCGGCGCGCGATCGGTATAGGCTGCATTCGCGTGTGAGGCGCGCGATCTCTTCTTGTAGGTTATGGATGACACGTCCGGATTTGCCGGTTGCGGCATGGCCGACGGCGGACCATTCTGTGGGGGCCTCGGTATTCAGATTTGGGCTTTCGGATGAATTGGATGGTTGTGACGGGGAATTGTTGGAGTCTGCGGGAACCAGCGGGTTGTCAGTATACCGAGGTAGCTCTGAGTCAGGCAAACGATGAGAGGAAGGTTCAACTAACCGGTCAGACTAGTGTCAATGCCATTTTCATCCGCCATCAGCCCAAGCCCGTTACCAGCCTCATCTTCAAAAAAGTCATTGCATTGGTGCATGTTCAGCTGTGTGTCCACATGTGGGAGATTTACCCGTGGCGCTTCTGTCGTGGTAGACGAGGAGTCAGTATGGATGGTATCGAGCTTTCGAAAGGACTCAAGCCGTCGCATAACGCGCCCCAGGTGAGCCATACTGGATGACGTTCGGGGGCGCTGAGAATTGGGGCCAGACGTGAAGTGTGCGTGTCTGCATGACAGATCCGATTTCCTGCACGATGCGAGGGGGGCCGTTCTCTCCTTCCAGAATAGAGGCAATGGCGCAACCGTGGGAATACACTGTACCTGGAGGGTGTCACACGTACCAGTATTCAAATTGAGTTCGACGAGGTGAGTGGTGTTCTTATGATCATCGAATCTGGAATTGACGGGACATTCTAATGTGGGTCGTTCGCGCGTTGTGGAGACCCTGAAATCAATAGTGCCCATAAGATCAAAACAAAGGAATTAATAGAAACAAAGAGCAGAAGGAGCAGGGGAAACATAAGCACTCCAACCAGGCGCGTAGGGAATAGACGTGGAAATGAAAAGGAGTTTCATCCAGTTGGATTGCGTTCCGTCACGTACGCCATTTCACTAGGGCCGGACGCTAAGAAATGATGGGCGAACCATGAATACATTGGTGTCAACATAATGAGATCATAGTACATTGAAAAAGAAGTAATTCAAAAATAAAGACGCTTGGAAACCAGAAACTGACTCAATTACCTCCACTAAAGTACGCCTATGAATGATATCAAGGGGTATTGGGATGTATATACAGGAAGGTAGCCCCAGCCCAAACGTGGAGATATGAAACGAGTGACATTGCATCGCCCAAACCCAAACAGAAAACCAGAATGTGAAATTAAAATCCAATGTAGAAAAGCGCAGCAATGGCACCTGCTGCTAGCCCAACAGAGTATCGCGAAATTGACGCAGAGCTCTGAACACCCGCGGTCTCGGATGCCTCCTTTCCATTCATAACTGAATCATCGGTGCCAAAGGGAGCTTCGGCCGACATGGAGCTGGTGGCAGAGGTGGAGGTAGGGGTGCTAGATGGAGTGCCAGAGACTGAAGAGCTGATCAAAGCCCTGCTGGTAGTGCCGGTCATCTCGCTGCTGGACATGCTCGTGGTTCCAGTGGGAGCAGCGGTGGTGGATGCGGAAGTACCGGTCTGGGTGGCTTCGGAAGCTTGGGGGTTGGCAGGGGCAGCAGCCGTCAACAAAGCAGAGTAGTTACGCTCGCCATCCTGGGTGACTTGGAAGGCATAGGTCTCGCCCTCCTTGATGTTCGCGCCGGGGGTCCAGGTAAAAGTACCGTCCTTAGCCTGGTCGGTAATGGTCTCCACGTCCTGCAGGTTTCCCGAAGTACCCTTTCGGAGAGTAAGAGTGACAGGCTGAAACAAGTCAGCAAATATTCACCATGATCAGTGTAAAAACTGATCCCAACCTACCGCGTGAGTATTAGCACCGGCCCATGTCAGAGTGACGGGCTTGCCGGCGGCGATATCTGCCGGCCAGCTGGTGAAGGAGAGAGGGTCGGCAGCGTAGCCCAGGGTGACGAGAGAAGCTGACACAGCGAGGATGGTAGTGAAATGCATTATGCTGGATATAATGAATGACAATTAGAAACGGGATATTAACGAAAGTATGCCGGATTAAAGTCCTATGTTAGTCGACGAAGAAGATTGATATCCAAAAAGCCAGGACGCAGGTGGCGCTTGAAGGTTCTTATCCTCCTGAACGAAAGTCCCAGCCCTTGCAAAGCAGGCATAGGTCCAGTGTGCTGGTATTTTTGTGTTGATACCCACGCCCTGGGAGAATGTCGCATTCCTGGGGTGGTTTAAACACCATCTTCATCTTGCTCGACAAGCATGTAACCCCGTTGGCTAGAGAAAATTTTCCAGTAAATGCATGGAATTCTCCACACAAAGTCTCAACTGGTTAGAATCTACAGGACCGTATCAATACTGGGCGCACAGTGAAGGTATACTGTAGGTGAGCCAAAGTCAGTCGTGATATACTCACTGATTCCACAGGCTTGAACTGTTTTGATCATACCAAGTGCTCCTTGACAGTTTAGATCCAGAATCAACAATGCACAGACCATGGCTGGTGGAGGACCATTGGGAATGCTATCCCTTCCCGAAGTGTTGATAACCAAGGCATAGGGCTTTCGATGACCCGTTCCCGTAATTCATAATGTCGAGCCAAGTATTCCAAGACTTTGAGCATTGTTCTCTGAGACCTGTAGCTTCAATTCCATACCAAGGGGGCAAAAAGCTCACTGCACTGTATATATTGTCGATCTTGTCGTTCGAGTCTGGAGATCGCTGTCGATCATATAATCTGCAAGGGCGGCCGTCAGACTTCGACAGGCAAAGTATACAACTGCGGCAATTTCTCTTTAGAATCCTCGTTGAACTTAGGCTGATTAAACTCGGTTTGTATATTGATCGCGTGACTGTATGAACATCGAGATAAGACATTTCTTTTATGCAAGACTGAAATCTAGCATGATGTCAACAATTTTTTCCTCCAAACGCCAGCTAATGGTAAAATGCTAAAATGTTACATTTAGGAAAACTCCCACAGGCCACGCATGAAGCTTCCAGGGCCTGAGTCGACACCACCATCCTCCTCGAGCATACGATCGGTGAAGATACGCTTGGGGATCTGGTATTCCACAACAGGAGTCTTCTTCAAAGGTCTCTCTCCCGTTCCCAATTCCTGCGTCACCATTCCCTGGTAGGTATGGTCCAGGAAATCCTCCAGATTATAGTGTTGCTTGGTGAATTGCTCGGAAATGATACGAGCGATCGAAGCGACGTTGGGGTGGTAGTGAGACTGAAGAGTCTCAATCTCCCACAGACTGCTCTCGATGGCACCGGTGCGGGTAGGATCCTTCTCTGTGGGGTCGAATGGATCATCCATGCCCTCTGCCTCGATCTCGGCTGCAAGCTCCTTGTCGTTGATGACCCGGTGCATCATGTAGGAACATGTGGGGTGGCTCTTGAAAATATTGTACATGAAAGGGACGATGACCACAATGGCCGACGGCGGGGCATTGAGGGCCAGGCGGGCAAGTTTCTTAATGAAACTAGCCATCAAGGAAGCCGGAAGATGGGTCGAGGCGAGGAATGTATTCATCAGACGGAAGAATCGTGAACGGTGCTTGGAGTGCAGCAGGTCCGCATCGAGAAGCGAGTAAAGTTTGGTGTAGAATTGTGGGTAGTCCAGATTCTTCTCTTGAATGAGGTAGAAAAGACCAGACAGGGCGAGGAGCGAAGTGGCACCACCGGCGTTGTAGGAATCCGTCAGGAAATCCATCAAGAGCTCGGGTCGGCTGAACCAAGGCTCGATATGGTGCACCATAATCCGCAGAAGGTTCTTGCGCTGTGCCTGTGAAAGGTCGTTGCGAAGAATTGCCAGCCATGCCTCTTGCGCGCGCTTTTTGTGGGAGTTCACCGAGGTGATCCGCTTGTTCGTTGCTGCGGGGGTTGCGAAGAATTTTTTGAACTTGTGGCCTTCGGCGGGCACGTCGTCACATGCAGAGAGGATGGTTGTGAGGGAGTCGAGGACATCGGAGCTTCGTCGGATGGCAGCGTATTCACTAGTCACCATTAGCAAGAAACAATCGGTCAAGGGAATAGAGTTACATACGAGATCTGCCCAAAAGTGTAGTATCTCACGTCTTCAAATTCCTTCAGGAACTTTGTAATGAATTCTGTCTGCAAATCTTGACCGTCCTGAGCCTCGATCACGGCCTCCACAATGTCCTTGAAATTTGTCGACCACACGTTGTTGTCGGCTCCGGGGATATGTGTGATGCGCTCTTTGATGATGCGCATGCTCAGCGTCAAAGCGGTGATTTGAGATGTAGTATCGCCTTCGCGCATGATAACCAACAGCGCCCGCTGGTACTCCAGGCATCTCTCCTTCAGCCATGCGGTAACGATCTTTTCGTTCTCGGCGGCACGACTCGACTCGGTAAAAGTGCCTGCTGCCATCAATCGGCTGAACACTCGGCATAAAGACACTGCGACAGCAAGGTCCGGGTTCTTGGCTGATTTATCAACATTAAGCATCGAAATCAGGGTCGCAATGTTATTGTAGTGCTTTCGTGACTCCGCAATCTCGTTTTCGAGCTTTTCGATAGTAGACAGGGTGTCGGCGAAATCGTCCTCTGCCACCGCACGGCGCTTGGAGGGGGCTCCAGCATTTTTGCTGCTTTTGCGCTTCTTGGAAGCGTCGACTGCGGCGGGCATGATGTTGAATTTCTTGCTGCCGTAGTTCAAATACACGACGTCTTTCACTGGCGTGATCTCGGATCAGCAAAAAAAGTATGGAATTTTGGAATCTCGGAAGCGGGTTTTTCCGCGCGCACCATCCCAGGTCCCAAAGCGGCTAGCGTGTGCAAGCCCGTCCTACCCGTCCCGACCTCAAACCTCCTCTCCGTTCACCCACCCTGTTCAGGATCTTTAAATCATCTGCAACAATGGCTGCCCGTCTCGCTAAGAGCGCCATTGGTACGTCTCGACTAACTCTTCTGCGTCCGATCTGATTCTCAGAGGTACTGACTTGCTCCGTTCTCCAGGCGCCGCCCGGCTGCGGCCGACCGTTTCCATCCGCGCTCCTGTCGTCCCTGCCATCACTGCGATCCGCGCGGCTTCCAACGTCCCCGCCGAGGACCCCTCTAAGAAGGCTCAGTCTATCCTGAACGCTGTTCCCGGAAACTCCCTCGTCTCCAAGACTGCCGTTCTGTCCGCCGCCGCTGGTCTGTCCATTGCCGCCATCAGCAACGAGCTGTACGTGATGAACGAGGAGACCGTTGCCGCCTTCTGTCTGCTTTCTGTCTTCACTGCCGTTGCCAAGTACGGTGGCCCTGCATACCGCGAGTGGGCTGAGGGTCAGGTCCAGAAGCACAAGGACATCCTGAACGCTGCCCGTGCCGACCACACCAGCGCCGTCCAGACCCGCATTGACAACGTCCAGGAGATGTCCGGTGTTGTTGATGTCACCAAGGCTCTGTTCGCTGTCTCCAAGGTAGGTTCTCATCTGCCAAAGGGCATTATTTTAAGAAGTATAGGGTGGATATTAACTTCTTGAGTAGGAGACTGCCCAGCTTGAGGCTCAGGCCTACGAGCTCGAGCAGCGCACTGCTCTGGCCACTGAGGCCAAGCAGGTCCTGGACTCTTGGGTCCGCTACGAGGGCCAGGTTAAGCAGCGCCAGCAGCGTGAGCTTGCCGAGTCCGTCATTGCCAAGATCCACAAGGAGCTTGAGAACCCCAAGGTTCTGCAGCAGATCCTCCAGCAGAGCGTTGCCGATGTGGAGCGTGAGTTCTCTTTATTCCTGCTCCCCTCAGCATCTACTAACATTCACCAGGCATCATGACCACCAAGGCTTAAATGGGACAACTGTGGCTCCGCCGGCAGTTGCCATGTGTACAAAACTATAGCGGCTATTTGCATCTGCTGAGTTAGAATTGCAATACCATTTTTTCTGTCACTCTTACTGGCTTTCGCGAGTGCACGGGTAAATCCTACTGCTCGATCTCATTATCCAACCCTAATGGTTCATTTATCGAATCGGCCTCGTATGTCTCGTATTGTAGCTCGGAAACAAAGTCCGAACACGGTGAGAGTTGAGAGGACACATATGAACTTAAATCTCGATCGCAATCTCGCCCTCACATCTTTCACATACGTCCAAGGATTGTTCTCATCAACTTATATCTATCTCACCTTGGGAAGGGTCGTAGGGCTGGTTGACATCAGACCCGCTAAACATGCAGGGACCGGGCCACGTGTGGAACTTGTCCTTCTACGTACTATCAGACATATCTAATTAGTTCCGATGTCATTTTGACATCTCCGACTCTGCAAATGCCTTGCACTAGACTCTTTTGGTGTTCCACTAACTCTGGTTGGGTGCCACCCTTGGCCGTATCATGTATATTGTGTCCTTCATTTGGGTTAGCCGCCGACCAGACCCAAGGATCGCCCGAGGCCATCAGCTGCAGGCACACAGCCACTATGCCTGTTTCTATTCTTACGCGCTGAACTATTTTCTACTTTAAACCCTGGACATTGAATTTAATATCCTATACTCTCTTCACATCTATTGAATATTTCTATCTCACCCCAGCGCTTCCCCGCAGCATCCGCATCGCATTTCTCACATCGCAAATCGCAGATCAACATACAGCAAACAACAACCACAATGCCATCCCTCCGCAATATCCTCCACAAACGCGATGAAGTCGCAAGCGATACATCTCATTCTGGCCCACCACCTATAACAATAACAACCCCGACCTCTAGCTCGCCCCCAGAAATCACCTTCCTCCGCTCAGACACCTTTGGTCAAGAAGTCATAGCACCACCAACTCACGCAGATGACCCCTCATTCTCACCAACAAGCCTCAGATCCCCCGTGGACTCCCTTGACTCTCCCCACGCCTCCTCAGGCACAACCCGCCGCAGCTTCCAGCTCTTCTCACGCAACCGAGCCTCCCGCTCAGAATCACTCTCAAGTCCCTCCCCGCCGCGCCGCGAGCGCCGGCTCTCAAACCTACTGCACCGCGACAATCGGCGCAGTCGCAGTGACTCGCGCGATTCATCGGTGAATATTCCGCAGGACTTGCCCCAGATCGATGATGATGCTGGGGGTGACAAGCAGGAGCGCGAGGCGGCGTGGGAAAAGAGAGCTACTGTGCTTGCGCAGCATCATCCGCAGTTCGGGGGCGTTGGGTCGCCGTTGCAATCTGAGTTTGATGCTAGCGAGTGGGGTGGTCAGTCTAGGAGTTCGAGTCGGAGTCGTGCTGGGGAATTGCAGGACGATGTATGTGCATGCTATATATATAAACGACTTAGGCCGATTGCTAATTGTTTCTTCAGACAAATATTCAGGAAGCGATTCGACTGCATGAGTCCGGTGGTAAGTCTTGTTTGCGCTTTTATAACCAAGGAGATCGACTAATACAATATATAGATCTAGAAAAATCTACCCAGATGTTTGGTCAACTTGCCAACCCTAATGGTGCAAACAATCCCCTCAGTCAAGTTTTGTATGGACTTGCTCTTCGGTGCGTATAATAAGGCCCAGAATATCACCGCCAAAACTAATTGATACTCTAGACATGGCTGGGGTTGTATCAAAGATGAAGCCCAGGCTGTGACTTACCTCTCCGCCGCAGCTTCCAACTCAGCGGCCGTTGAAGCTGAGGCGCTACGTGCCGGAATCAAAAAAGGCGGCGCCGCTAAGGGAGAGCTCGTGCTTGCTATTTTCGAGTTAGCGAACTGCTTCCGGAACGGCTGGGGCGTGGCAAAAGATCCCGCTGCTGCGAGGCAGTATTATGAGACTGCGGCAAACTTAGGAGATACCGATGCTATGAACGAGGTTGCTTGGTGCTATCTTGAGGGATTCGGCGGGAAAAAGGAAAAGGTAAGTCATAAATCTTCGAATTATGGGTCCATACTAATGTATATCGTAGTTCAAGGCAGCGAAGTATTATCGACTTGCCGAGGAGAGTGGGTGTCCCACAGTGGGGAATTCATGGTATGTCATACTTGGTACCCTAATGATCTGCCTAGGTGGCTGTGCTAACCTGCTTGGTAGGATTTGGAAAGAGAAGTATAACCCCCAGTAAGAGGTTACTCTTTCAAACTTGACCTTAGCCTTTTCTATGTGCCACCACCTGCATGACTGATGAAATTTCTTGACATATCACCTTGCATTGTTGTGTATAATTTACCTTGTATGAGTCACGAGTCCATGAACGATATCAACTAAATTTTGCTCCGAATGTTGCAATATCATGTGTCAATTGAGGCTGCGATATCCAGCTTACGTTGCTCCCAAGCATAGATCTGTTAACTGCAATTCTCAGTGCTTCAGTGAATATTAAAATCACTGCGCTCAGAATTAGAGAAACTTAACTCCGCATCAAAGAGTTTGAACATGATTTCTAGGCCGTGTCAGGATGCTGCGTATGAGGATGTTCAGTCCATGGCTGGCGATGTAGACATTTACTACATGTTTCGAAGAGGTAGCGTAGGATCCCGATGTCATCATTCAATGTTATCTGGGTAGTCGATCGTACCTAGAATAGGCATAGATGAAGAGAGGCGTGCAAAATGAGCACTGAGGTGGGGAGGCTGCAGCAGAACCTTTCTTTCTTTTCTTCTTTTCCTTTAGAAAACATGGTGGTTGGTATGCGCGAAATGAATCAAGGGATGTTAGACTGCCCTCAGTTCCACGGCTGTCGTGAAGGTTGTCATTTGTCGTATATACAGGTGGCCTGTCCACATGTGAGTTTCAGTCATATCTGACAGGCAGCATCGCTCTTCCTAAATAGCCTTTCTTTTCTTTTGTTCCTATCTCTTCTCTTTGCTACTGGGAGTCCATCCAACCCCACAACGTCTGCTTTCACAATCGCAAAGGACAACGTTGCGGAAGATGCTACAGAAACAGCTTCACGCAAGGGATATGAACCCCGAATTACAGCTCGTCTTTGGCTTTTGGATTGAATATCTAAGGTCCTCCCCAAGGCTCCGGGGCTTAGCGGCCGGTCGAATGTTGGCGTGGGGAGCAAGGAGCCCGGCGAAAGACGTCGGAGGAAGGGTTGACTTTTTTTCCCGTTCAAACTAGATGAATTCTCGAGGAATGACTACGTCACTTCTCGGAGACTATTCTGGCCCCTTACTTTATGTTGTTTGGTGGCTTTTCAACTGCGCCAGGTGGCTATCTTTTGGCTGATTTTTCAAGGGATGAAACTATTCAAATGACGTAACATGTATGATGAAGTTCCGAGTCCTCAATGGTCTGGATTCGAATTGGAGATGTCTTGGGACGATGAAGGAAAGTTGAAAATATCTCTGATCTCGTCAAGGAGTTGTTCACGGAAGCCGACGGAGATATATATCAAGGTTGCATGGTCTACGTGGATGCCGCCCATCTTGAGAGGTCCAGTGAGCTGTTGGATCGTATTTCTGCCATTGTGAATGCTTATTACCTGGTGATGAGGAAAATTCTATAAGTGTGTGCTGTCCACGTAGAGGACCGCCTTGAACTGCAGACTTAGTTAGATAGGACTTGAAAGTTTAGAATCGGCCAAGATTCGAATAACCTTTGAGAAGCAAGTTAAGATCTACCGAGCATGAAAGGTGGATCACTGATGTTGATCTCTATGATCTACATAGCTGCCGTTTCTATCAGACTTGGGGATATGATGATATCTTGGGCAGAAAGCCGTACTCCTAGAATGCAATCATACTGAGTTTCAAGTGCTCAAAGGAGATCGATTGAAGATCGAGGGAGTACAAAGCCTCGATCGCTCAATAAATAATGTACCCTCATATTAAAAGGAAAGGTTGAAAGACAAGTTGATTGAAGTTGAACTCCTGGAATGTTTCATTTTGAAAGTTCGGGAGAAACCAATGTTAAAAAAAGGCTCATCGCAGGAACTTAATCGAAGTGAATCTCATAAACAAAGCTGGAAAATATACCGACGGCTATATTTATTTCTTCCCCAGGTATCAAGGCCAAGAAGACGGGCTTTCGAGATACTAGGTAGTATACCCATTCTCAAATTATGCAAGCCTTCACAGCCACCACTCGACATCTCCAATGGAATCAGAAGACGTGCTGCATAATGATGCAAGCCCATACCTCCGAAGCTCATGATGAAAAGACGGGTATATGCTCAACGTCGCTAGACGAGCAGTGACATGGGAAAGGCGTTGTTGATCCCCGCACGTCCATCGGGGTTAACCTCGCCTCTAAATGGAGTAATCGGGGCCGATGATCAGGGGGGTAGACTACAGTATACAGTATTCTTCTGTGGAGACAAGCTCTGTGGCGGTGGAAACCTTGTTCGGAGAATTAAAATGGGCATCGGCTTATTCGAATTTATGGACAATTTACTATGTTCTTGTGGGGTTCTAAGTTGCTGGAACGCTGCACCCACCGGATGTCTGGGGAAAATGAGCCGTATGATCTGGGGTACCCCGGAGTCCAAAATTCTACGCAGCTTTCTTTTTAAAGAGTATCTATTATAGACATATATGACTTTCTGTGGAAATGCCACGATATGCAAGGAGGAATGATCATCATCTATCCTACCTACTTTGGGTGACCGATCTCCGAGGCCGACAATCCCAACAATCCTCATAAAAAGCACATTAAGCGATCACGGTATGTCCGAATCATCCGGAATCCACTCTACGCTTCAAATATCCGCGGGGTAATCTCGTAATTTGCAACATGGGAAATGGATCTAGAGGGCCCACAGATGGGAACGGGAAAACGGTGGAGAGATCACGTTGCAGTAAAATGACGCACCGGTCCAGGGCAATTAATATCCTTAATCCAAATTATACACTTTATTCGATACTATGAATACTTGAGAGGACCAAACAAGGCAGCCCAAAAGTGAAATTATACTCCCTTGGCCCGGGGTCCCCACAGTCTAGCAGTTGTGGTGGGGATACCGGCACAACATTTAACCCCCAGCGCAAACTCCGGGGTTTACCCCGGATTCAGACCACTCCCCATACCAAGTATAAAAGCTATACAAGTCATGGTCCCTGCTCAATTCCCCAGCATCTACAACCCCTTTCTCTGCACCTTGGATCTTGGTCTTGGGTAGATACGATTTTGCCAATTCGCCATGCGTTATTCATGGTCCCTTGCGGCTGTTGCCTTTGCAACTGCTGCCTCCGCTACTTCTTTAAGCAGCATTTGCACGGACGCGTATGCGAAGAAGGCATTGCCTATTGGTGCCATTAATGGTATTACCATTGACTCGTCTTCGGTTTCGACGAGCATTGTCACCAACTATACCGCTTCTTCTATCTTTTTCCCTACTGATACCTTCAACTACTGCAATTTGACCTTTGCATACTCGCACGACGGCATTGATGGCGATGTAGTTCATGTGCAGTACTGGTTGCCTGAGCCATCAAAGTTCAAGAATCGTTATGTTTCTACCGGTGGTGGTGGTTGGGCTATCAACTCGGGTAGCATGTCGATTCCCACCGGTCTGGTTGCTGGAGGGTGAGTTTTGCACATCCAAACTGCTTGCAATTGAGCTTCAACTGATCCTTTTTAGTGTTGGTGGCTTGACTGATGGTGGATTCGGAAACTTCGATACTCAATTCAGCTCGGCTGCTCTGCTGGCGAATGGAACTGTCAACTGGCAGGCAACTTACATGTTTGGTAAGACCTACAAACTCAATAATCTCAGGACGACGCTAATTCTGTAACTTGTGACAGGCTACCAAGCTCATAATGAGCTGGCCATCTTTGGCAAGGAGCTAACCCGCAACATCTACAATGTCGCTTCTAACAAGAAAATCTACTCCTACTACCAGGGATGCTCTGAGGGAGGTCGCGAAGGTTGGAGTCAGGTCCAGCGATTCCCAGATCAGTTCGACGGTGTCGTCGCAGGAGCCCCGGCTTTCCGCTGGGCACAGCAGCAAACTAACCACCTGAGCGGTAACGTCATGCAGAAGACCCTTGGCGTATACCCCTCGAACTGCGAGCTCGAGAAGATCATGAACATGACAATTGAGAGCTGTGATCCTCTTGACGGCAAGACAGATGGCGTCGTTGCTCGCTCTGATCTCTGCTTGGACCACCTGAACTGGAAGAAGATCGAAGGAGCATCCTACTCCTGTGCCGCTTCTTCTAGCTACGGATCCACTACGCCCGCTGCTTCGGGCACCGTCTCGGCCAAGGCTATCGAGCTCGTCAAGACCTACTGGAAGGGTCTCTACGACTCGGATGGCAAGCGGGTGTACTTCAGCTACCAGCCTGGTGCCACCTTCACCGATCTCGAGACCCAGTACGACTCTGAGACAAAGAGCTATGAGCTGGATATCAGCGGTCTGGGCGGTATTTGGATCGCACAGTTCATCGACTTCATCAAGGATGCCGAGAACATCGATAGCCTGGAGGGTGTTACCTACGACACTCTCAAGGAATGGATGATCTACTCTCAGAAGAAATACGGCGATATCCTTCAAACCACCTACCCCGATCTAACAGATTTCCAAGCTGCCGGCGGAAAGGTCATCCACGTCCACGGTGAACAGGACTACTCCATCCCCACCGCCTCGTCAGTCCGCTACTGGGACTCTGTTCGTTCCGTCATGTTCCCCGAGAAGGGCTACCGTGAGGGCGCTACCGCTCTGGATGATTTCTACCGCCTCTTCCTTATTCCTGGTGTCGGTCACTGCGCGACGAATGACTACGAGCCTAATGCCCCGTGGCCGCAGTATACTTTGCAGAGTGTTATTGAGTGGGTTGAGGAGGGCAAGGCGCCTGCCACCCTGGCTGGCTCGGTCGATATTGACGCCACTATGTGCCGCTGGCCCATGCGTCCTTTGTGGACTGATAATGCTAAGAAGTTCCAGTGTGTTTATGATCAGGATTCGGTGTATGCCTTCACTTATGATCTTAATGCGTACAAACTTCCTGTTTACTAAATGGGCTGGAATAAGATGAGATATGCCTAGGGAGTTCTATGTCGAATTATCATTATACATTATGTTCTGATTAGAATTTGAAACTAATTAGACTTCGGGAAGCAATGACCACCTAGTAATTCCACACTCGGCATGTGTATGTAAAGAATGTGGGGGTTGAAGTGGTATTCTGACTGGTGAATCTATCTGCTTCAATTTTCAATATAACTATACTTTGGCGCGGAGCGGATATCTGCATATGCGATGCAAGTCATTGTCCATCGAGGTGAATGCAGACCCTGGTGTAGCTAATCTTGCATCAATACCGTGCAGCAGGGTTGGTTACTGTCTCCACTTGGATCTTTACAAGGATTGAAGGGCGTGGGTGTCATTTTCATAACTAGAACGAAAACCTCATCATTATCAAAATTTTGTGCCCAATTTGATTCAGTTATAAAGTAGAGTAAACGAAAGTAAGAAGAAAAAAGGGTCCTAGATCAATTCCTGGTATTACATACTTCCGAACCCTAAGTGCGACCATCGCACAAACACAAGCCATTCGAAATCCGAATCCTAATCTGATTATTTTCACCATATCTTATCCAATCTAAAATTTAAGCAATCAGGTATCATGGCATGGCAACAAACACGCTGGATGTCACACCACTACCGGGTATATCTTCTCTCTCACTCTCCAAAATATCAAGACAAGCAAGCAAGCAAGACAAGAACTTGAGAAAGGTAGCATTTAAGCCCACTTTCCAAGCAAAGCCATAATTCCCGTACCGAGGAGCAACGAGCAGACCATGAAAGTAAGACGCTTGTCATCCTGGGTGCGGTGGGGGTCGAACAAGAAGTCGCGAGCGAGTAGCTCAACAAGACCAGTGTAGATCAGGATACCAGCGGAAATCGCATCGAGAACACCAGACACCACGTTCGCAGTGAACGACCCAGAGTTGTAGGTGGTACGCACACCGAGACCGATGGCGATGGCGATGGGGGTTGTGAGGCCGTAGGCTGTGCACAGGATCCAGGGCAGCCAGCTACCCTTCTTGAAGGGGATGGAAGACATTCTAGCACCAATACCCAGACCCTCGAATGACTGGTGGAAGACGAGGACGGGGTAAAGAGTAGCGAACTCGTCACCGGTGACACCGAGGTTCAAGCCGATGATAACGGAGTGGAAGATGACACCAAATTCCAGGATCAGGAAAGCGGCGATCTGCTGTTGGAAGGAGCGCTCGATGGTCGCTTCTTCAAGATCGGATTGCGACTCGAGCTCCTTCATTTGCTTGTTGTTCTTATCAGCGGAACGAGGACGATCAATAGCCTGGCCGTGGGCAGAAAGTCGGCGCGCGTCAGCTTGAGGTTCCACACCAGTAGCCATGATAGGCTCGGGATCATCACGGCAGAGACCGTACTTCTTCTCGACATAGCGCTCAGCGCCGAAGTCCATGAGGAAGATGATCATCAACGAGGTGAGGACGATGGCCGGGCACCAGGAGTAATCGGCCCAGTGTCCTGTCATGCCTACACAGCTAGCCGGGCCAATCTCTTCGTAGGCAGGGTCGAGGAGATGGATGAAGGCCGTTGCGACGATAACACCAGCACCAAAGTACTTGGCAAAGAGATAGACGTAGAGCGGAACGCGGAAACGTGGAGCCCGTTGAGCTACCACGGGGAAGAATGTTGCAATGGAGGAGACAATGCCGATGACGAAGATGGCGGAGATACGCGCGCCGAGCTGGCCATTGTAGTCATTGCTTGAAGCATTGAGGTAGCAGACAATCTCCGTTGGGTCGGCAGTGTCGAGGTCGACATTGTGAGGGTCGAAGGCCATTTTGGGTGGCTGATGCGGGTGCGGGTTATAGAACCGGACCCTTCTTCGATTGATATGATCGATAAATTGATATCAAATCAATCTAAGAAGACTCAAAAAAGTAGAAAAGAATGAAGGGATGGTGAGCACGGCCTGTAAGCGGTAGGATCTTCCCTGCCATTTTATAAATGGTAAAAAAAAAACTCGCCATCGGCGTCCCCGCTGGGATGAGTACCTTGGGAGTTTGGGAACCCTGGGTACGAGTTTTCGCCCCATTAGACAGTCTGGTCTAGTCAGGGCAGGATTATGGACCAAGTATTCTAGTAAAGCATATTTGATTATTTGGAACACGTTAAAACTGATCTAGAGAGTTTCGTGGTCGTGTGGTTGGATAACGTGGTGGAGGTTCGTCCTGGCGTCGTACAAACCGTGCCTCCATGACATGACCTAGACCCAGAACATGCAAGATCAAACCCACTGTGTCTCGGAATCTTGGAAGCCTCGTGGAGTCAGGCCCGAGCTTGCATTAGTGCCTCTGAGTGGACCAGACCTTGGAATTAATTCAGGGGAAGTGATTGGGTGTTGTGATGAGGTGACTTGCTCCCAAGGTCCTTCGGTTAATGAGAACAAGTGGACAGAACACCAGCATGACGATTTTTTTCCGTAACTTTGCCGAGATAGGAAAGTCTAGACAAGAGCGAGTCAGTCTGATCTAAACAGAATAGGAAGATGCAGAAGAATGAATATGTTCACAGAAAGAATGGTATTTGATGTAGTTCCGTGAAGCCAGACCAAAAGCCCCCAGTTCGAAGATCGGGCATAGCCGCGCCATGCGACCCAATTAAAACAAAAAACAATGTCATCATGTCGGAAATCATTCCAATTGCATCGTATCGGTCATAAATCATCCAGGGCGTCGCCGCCAATCCAGGGTTTAGTTAACGCTCGAACAGGAAGCCAAGAATCAACCTTGTGAGAGCCTCCCAAGCAGAAAAAAACATTGACAAAGAAGATAGTAAACCAAAAGGAAACGACCCATCCCGAATGCTGTCTCCGCTTGTACCAACGCTAGAAAACAAAAGCAAAATGCCCAGTGGATCTCATCGCTCGTATCGCCAGTAATCAAAATCCCTCATCCCATGAACATCAGTCCCCGTGTATGATAATAGAAATCCTTCCTCCCTAAAAACACAAAAGTCGCTCCAAAGCAATCGCTAACTGATCAACATCCCGGAATCCAATATGCCAGAAAGAAAAAGTGAAGAAGAAAGAAAAAAAAGGGAAAATAAGAATAGTACCAAGAAGTCATTACAAGGAAATTGCGTGGTCTATTAAGGCACGCAGTGGAGAACCGTTGCCGGCTCGGTATCATTCTGATTCGCTCAGAACCAAAATCAGTTTTGATCAAAATGCAGGGAGATCCATCACGACGATTTAGCTTCAGTCAAACGTCGTGGCCAAAGTGGGACCCCGGCGTCATGCGGACTGAAAGCCCATCTCCTGCTTGACCGGAGCGGCCCCAAACTCCTGAACCATACGACGGAAATCATGGATCACTTTCTGTGGGACTCGTTCCCACATCAGCGACCTAGTGTATACATTGGAGGTGGCATCATGCATTCGTGAATGCTGAGCCGCGTTGTGGCGCATAGCCGCCAGTGCTTGTTGCAAGTCCGACGGCGGCTGAGGCTTAAAGCTGCCGTCCCCTTCGAAAGTGGTCAGGGAATTATACTGATCTGCATTCATGGCAAAAACCTGTGCGCGCTCTTGCTCTTCGGTTGGAATGACTAGCGTATCGTGCAGTTCGTCTAGCGTGGAGGACCCGCTCATGCCAGGCCCCATTTGGGTCATATCCATGCCGGTCATGGTGGCTGCACCGGCGCCAGCGCTAGCAGCTGCAGCCACTGCGTTGGTGGAGTGAGCAGCATCCGACGGGGATGAGGCTAGTACCGCTTTAAGCACGTTAGCCGACTCGGCGCGGTACTCTTCCGACAGTTGGGGAAGATTTCGGCCGGGCAGGGAGGTGTTGTTGGAAGCGATGAATGCACCGAAGAGCAGACACATGTAGAAGGCATTCCAGCTGAACGGATACTCCGAGTTCGAGGGCTTCTCTGCTCTCTCGTTTACCTGGGTCAGAGCGTGAGATTGAACCGGACCCGATGCAGGCATCTGGTCTTGCATGGGGAGTCCATTGCTCATGGGGAAGTCGTCCCATGGATGGCCATCCATCGACATATCCTCAAAGCCGAACTCGCCATGGGATTCCATGCCGGGCCTGACCCCACGCTCCAACTTCTCGACAGTCTCCATCAGGATATTGTTCTTCTTTCGAAGTTCGGCCGTCTCCAGGGTGTGTACACGGATCATCTCGTCTTTCTCAATATGCAAACTTTCCAGGTACTGAGTGACCTGCTGCTGTTGAGCCATCCAGTCGGCCTGCTCGCGCAGCAAATCTGCCTCTCGTTTTTGAAGTCTTGCGACGACTTCCTCCATCTGAGTCATCGCATGAGCATATTGCTTCTTCTCTTCCTCCAGCTTCTCGGTGTGAAGCTTCTTGCGTTGACGTGAGTCCAATCTGTGCATGAAATCAGGTCAGTAACGGCAACATCGGGTTGTTCAAAGTCTACTAACGCGGCCTGGCGATTACGCAGTAATCGCTTTTGCTGCTTGAGCTCCTTGATCTCCTCCTCATTGGTCGACTGATTAATCAGTTGGTCGATGTTACTCAACGTCCGTTCGGCAGGGATCTCAAAGCGAGCGTTCTTCTTGCGAATCCCATCACGACGAATCGTCAACGGGGATCCATTGCGATATAGGCTTTTTGACGGGTTTGCATCGGACAAATCCATAGGCGCCGGCATCCAACCCTGGCTAGACTGCGGGGACATCGCGACCCCACCCGGCGGCTGGAAGCCCATGGCACCACGATATGAAACCGCACCCATGGGCATGGAGCCTACTGGCCCTACTGCACCCCCCCTGGAAGGGCGCAGAGTTGCTCTCAGCTTCTGATGGATACTGATCGTAGGCAGTTGGAGTACATGAGCCGGAAGCATTCCGAGAGAGAGACCATGGTTGAGCGTAGTGGGCCCCATCGACGGGCATAAAGGGAACGCCAGAATCCAAAACGGCCTGACCCAGATGCGAGGTTGGACGAGACTGATCGGAGCCGGCTGAATAGTTGGACCAGACTGAATTCCGATGTGAATAGGCCTCGTCGTATGAGGCACGTCGCGGATCAGAGAGTCCGGGTGAGGTGGAGTCCAGAATCTTATCGTCTAACACGTTCATCTCCTCCTCTTCTGATGGCGTAACATCTAATGGTGATGGATTTTGCTGGTAGAAGTCAAACTGAGAATACCGTGCCATCGCGGAAGAGGCGGTGTGTGGGTGGATATAGTGTGTAAAGGGAAAAAGAGGGGCGGGGCGGGGCAACACAGGTTGACAAGGAAGTATGGGAGAATGGAAATGAAATCAGGTGGAAGGAGAAAAGGCAATACAAAAAAGCAAAGTCGATAGAATCGAAAATGCAAGATGAATCCAAGATCTGTTGAAGTATATGCAAATAGAGGGGGGAAGACGCCGGGTAATTGTAGCAGGCGCAAGCATGGACGGTTGACCCGAAACCTCACGAGTCACGGATACTTAAGTCTTACATAGACAATGAATAATGAGTCAAAGTATACAGTACGATTAGCGGTCTGCGCGGGACTGGAGTGTGCCTCTAACTCCGCCATTGGCTGCTTCGCTCATCTTGGGCAGACGTGCAGGGCCCTTGAGCGCATACTATGGCTGTCTCCCCTTTCCCCTACCTGATCGGGCATTCCCTGATCGACGGCCCAAAAGGAAACATAAAACTAAAAACAAAAATAATCTTCTCTACCCTGAGGATCAACTCCAAGTGCCTGTCGTAGTGAAAAGCCCATCACGTTTAAGCGGGGGACGTTATCGATAAACGATAGCCTATCGATCAACCTTGTCGGCCCGCTGAGACAGGTCTGTGCCCGAGATTCAACCTTCCCTCCTCTCCAATCATTTCTTACTCGGTGTGACTGTCATTTCGTGAGTGATTCTTGACTGCTGTGGATATACGTTGTACGGGTCCGGCCCGTCAAGATCCACCACTCATTCCATGGTTCTCTGGATTATCCCGAGGCCTTGCACACCTCGGGAAAGCAGGGCGGATGCATGATGCACGGATGTTCTGCACTGATCACTCGGTCCCTCCAGATGACGCCCTTCAGCTCCCACCCCAGACCAATCTGACGGGTACATCTTCTGGCCAAAACGCCCAAACCCGAATCCTGGTATCTTTTTTTGGCCAGGGTCATCACCCACCTTGCACTCTGGGGTGGTATGGAAGAGAAACCACACGATGATGCCATCGTGATGAACCCAAGACAAACTCAAAAATGGTCTCAATATCATTCATGACTGGAAATCCTTCCGTTTCAGAGTTTCGATATTTGCGAACCAGTGATGGTCCGAATTTTTTATTTACTTGTTTACTTTTTTTGGCCCTTTTCTTTGGGTTCTGATCTTCTACATGTGGAACCCTCCCATCTCCTTAGCATATTTTATATGCTGTACCGCCCAGAGCGCAGATTCACGTCGGTTCCTGTCTTCTGATGGTGTTTTCCTGGAAGGTCGAGCCCACAGGCTGCATCTTCCGACCCCTGATACTGTTTGGCTATAGGACGCGGCATCAGACCCAGGGTTCCGTGATAGGTCCTCGGAAACGGCGACCCCGTGCGAAAGCGCCCCGGCCGATTAGAATCTGGCGGTGAAAAGCCCATGTCTATCCAATCGTAGATCGAGAAGAGGACCTGGTTCCGCCTTAGTAATAGGATGACACCTAAGTTCTCGGGAAATACAAACGGAAACGGAGCCTACTGTAGAAGATGATGACCTCAATTCTCGTGTGCTTGGACAATTGTAACGCCTTCCGGGCTTTTAGTTTCTGATGACGACTAGACTGGGAGTGAGATTTTGATTCCTTCTATAAGTGTCCTTGTTCATATGTCGTTTTCCCATATAGCGTAGGAAGGGCGTATATCCTGTGCTAGGAGTTCCTTGACACCATAAGAGATCGGCTGGCATGAGTCATTCCAGATCTACAAAAAAATCCTCTACATCTAGTAGATCCACTATATACCGTCGAATAGCAAGTTTCAGTATAAAAAGGGGAAACCGTGGGGCCAGCCATGCTTCGATTATCGTCGTTGCCCAACATCCCTGAAACGTTATCCAGCCAAGCCCGGTTCTACAGTAGCCTCACTTTGGCCCATGTACACTCCCTGCCTGATCTTCGTTCTGCATTCCGAGCATTGGGTACATGTGACGGAGCCTGGAGGCTGCTAATAGTTGGATTGGTAGGATTTGACGGGCATGTTCCTATTCGAGGGAACGTTTCCACTTTGACGGCTCGTCCTGGCTCTTACCAGCATCTCAAGAGGGAGTGATGCTTGTATTGAATGATGTCGAGGTATTACTAGGCTGCTGTTTCTTTGTTGACTTGATTCTCTGATCATATGATTGATAATCTTAGGGTTCTGGCTGAATGAGTCATTGTGTATACTTGCTTTGGTTAATGAGGTCTTGAGGCGATGCGGTGAAACTGTCCATACGATAGACATGTTTCTTTGCGATCTCATATTGGTCTTGAAAGTATTCTCCCTATATGATTTGTTTTTCTAAGGTATAGGAAACTTTCTTTCATTTTGAAATTTTCTATTTCTTAGCTCCTTGGTGGGTTCAGCTTCAAGGCATCAATGCAAATAACTGAACTTTAAGCCTATGCACATACCCAATCTCTGAGTATCCTCATAATGACAATGGCTATTGCATTTCTATCTCTAGTCTCGAGATATACACCCTCTTTCTAAACAAACATAATTTAATCTCAAGGCTAATTCCAGACACCTTGTCATTTTTGGGCCTACTTCCCTTCTACTAGCTTACTTGTTTACACTCTCCTTCCTGCAAGAAGGTGGGGAGGGCTGTGCAAGCATTTCCTCCCTTCGCAATGCCCTGTATTATCCTATCACTATCCAGTACAGCCACAAGGAAGCTCTCAATTCAGGGCAGTTCGAATATGAAGGAATTACGGACTTTTCTGTAAGTCTACACATCATTCTAGTCATCAACATAATCACATGACTCCCAGTCAATTTTGATGTCTTTACAGGTTTCACTAAACCTCGACAGCTCAGTTCAAAATTTCCGAGAACCAAATCAGCATCCTCCCATAAGCCTATGACCTGTACACAGACCGTTTACAAATATCCCGATCTCGAATGCCTAGTGCTGGGGAGTCCCAAGTACGGCCCAACTCCATCAACAAGCTCAACGTGGAGATAATGCCAGATTTGAAACTTGGATGGAATGGGCAAAGAGCTACAGTCCTCGAGATAACTCTAATCAGGGTTAGGATTTCGGTGCTACATTCATAGCTCGTGATGGCTGTGCCGTCGGTTTAGCTTTATCGAACACGGTCTTCGCCCGCCAATGTTCACCAAGTGTGACCTTGGAACAGACCTTTACTGCTGGCATTCCGGAGCGATTGGATAGGAACGTGAAATGCAGTGAGTCCGGTTAAGTTACTGCTATGGAGTGAAATCAGCCAAACTCACCTGAATTTTGGCGCTGGTCCGCTCTGGAGTTGAGTTGGCTGCATGTGCTGGACAACCATGGAAACTGGATTGAAAATGGAATTTCTGGAGTTACCCACCAGATAGACGAATATATGAAGATGGATGTCTCTCGCGAATCTCTTCTTAATTATTGTTGACCTTACCCGTTTCCTGGAGGTGTAAGATCTGGATACGTGAGATTTAGATATCTACCTAAGTGCCACAACCAATACGAAACCATTAAACTTTGGTCAACTGGATATTCGGGAAGGAATTATGTACTCAAGCAATTTTAACTTTTTTTTTCATTATTTTTTTTTTTTTTTTTTTTTCAGAAATGCTATGAATCTCAACATGTTCAGGGGTATCACTGACTATGGCTAAGCCAAAACCACGTGAATATCAACGAAAGAAACAAAAAGTCAAGCTGAAATGCGCTCAGTAGTTACGTGCTCCCGGTAAGATAATTATCTTCTATGGACAAGCTTCAAGACTGCTTTTAGAAGCGGATAAAGTCTTGCTGCTGATGCATCTCACTAGTATCCTCACCTGCGATCAGTTCTTCAGGCATGTCATCAAACTCATCAGAGTCGACATCGTCAGAATCAATCGCATCGTATTCCTCCTCTTCACTAGACTGGTCGGACTCATCTTCTCCAGCCTCAGCTTTACTAGCTGCGGCGGCGGCAGCCTTCCGAATCTGACCGGCGCGGTCAACATGGGGCAACTGGCAGCGCTTCTTGTGACAGACTCCAGTATTGGCGTAGTCAGGGCATTCGTGCACATGACGTTCTTCGCATTGGGCACCTTTCTCACAGTAACCTAAAGTCGCAAATTCCCGGCAGACGGGGGCACCAGGTGTCGTGCGAATATGAGCATAACGACAATTATCATTGGAGCACCGTCCCTTCATGAAGTGCAAGCAAGTGGGGGAACGGTGAGGCGATGGCTCATGGGAAAGATCACAGCTAATACCTGCGCTGCACTTGCCTGTCTGGAGGAAGTCTTTGCAGATGGCAACTTTGCTTGGGTCGTGAGTAAAAAGACAGGATGGTCCTTTGTAGCATGTACCTGAAGTATCAAAGTGAGTGTGTTAGTCTCCAAGTCATAATAGATCGTTATGGCGAGGCGAAATGATCCGCCGGAAATCAAAATACCGGTCGTAGTGAATCTTTTGCAAAGTTCGTTCCGCTTTTTCGCGGCACCTGGTTGTCTAAGGATCTGTTAGTGAGAATGGACTCAATACTAGGGAGGGAACATACTTTTTCGAGGCAACAGCACCAAGACGGTGCAGATTGCCGTTCTTGCTTCGGACAAAAGTCACACCAGCAACGGTGACACGCTTTGGTGTGGTATTGGCGGTATTTGGATCATCTAAAACAGGTGAGCCAGTTCCCGACAGTACTGAAGGATTCAGAGGAGACATACTTGATACCCGAACCAACTTGCTACCTCCTCGTACAACCTTGAAGGGGACATCATTGACAATAATCTGTTGTGAAGAAGTAGACACAGATGCACCTGCAGGGCCCTGGGCATACCGGAGGACCTTGGATTGTTCACGGTCGGTACGTCGCTGCTCTTTTAATTTGCGGGTTTCCTCCATAGCCTTGGCTCTGGCCTGTTTTTCCTTGTCGTAGACAGCGGAGTTGATGAGCTGCATATGGCGGTCATGCCTAGCGACCCAGCCGTTCGAGGTGGGCGCGGGGTGCGACTCGCCATCGTTCTCGCTCGCAGGACCAGGAGAAGAGGTAGAGCTGGGCGTGGACCTAGCAGCTCCATTATTCAAAACCAGTGTGCGGTGTCGATGCGGACCCGCAGGTCGGCCTCTGCCTCGAGAATACGGTGCCCATCCTGAGTGGGAAGGTACATGGCGAGAGACATGCTGTGACTGATGAGCGGACTGGGGATACTGGGTTGATTGATTCTTGTGTCGATTGATTTGACCTGTACATATGAGATAACTGCTTGTCTGAGGGGATGTGGTGTGGCTTACTTACCAGCAAGTTGACCAATCCTGGTCAACAGATCCTCGTTCTCTGTCATAAAGGGCTGCTTGGGAGCTGTGTAGTTATGTATGATTAGTCCAAGGAGAGTAAGAGAGCTTTGAGGTTCTCTGGGTTACAAAGTGTATCCTGTATATGATTTGCAAGTGAGAGATAGCTCGTGGGGAGAAGATGTGAATGACGAGTCGCGATCCAAACCTTAACGCCGGTGGCGCGGTAGGGTCACGTGAGAGCTTGGCAGCGCGTATAGATCACAACAAGAGTTCAATCATGTGGGGAGTGAAATGGAAATCTAAAACGATGTGTTATTTTCTACATGTGAAATAATTGCCGTTATAACGTATTTATTATTGAGGTATCTCTAGTCTAGGCTTAGGCTTTTCAAGGTCTTAGAATTGCATTTCATCAACGCCAGAAGCAGTTGGGTCATCTTCCGAACCATCATCATAGTTTTCAGGCTCGGGAGCCAACTCAGCCTTAGCATCGGCAAAGGAATTTGCGTAGTTCTTTTCCTGCGCCTCTGGCTTCAGCTGCCATGTCATAGAATGATCTCCGGATTTGATCAGATGTGCCACCATCTCCAAAGTTTGCTTGAGATAAGCTTCAGGCTGTTGTAGTTGATGTTTGAGAGACCTAAATGGCCAGTACTGATATTGGCGGAAGCACTGGAAGATCTTGTCCAAAAGCTCGTTTTGTGCAATACGGGTAGTTTTGTTTTCCTGTGACTTGGATTTGAGAGGCTTCGTAGCTTGCTGGAATGGTGTGAGTAAATCATCAGGCAATGGAAACAAGACTGGACACATACCACGAAAGTGCCCTTCTCCCCGGGTAGGGCATGACGCGCCAGCATGAGGTGGGCCGGAATCTTTTCCACGAAATTGACTCCCGTCTTTGGCTTCAGAGCCTCCAGAGCCCGAGCCTCTGAGATCTTCCGGAACTCCTCGTTCTCCACTGGTAGACAATTGAATTCCTCGCTGACTCGTCCGATGAGCGCCGTTTGTTCTAGAAAACGTGAGCAATAATACATCAAAATTTCTCGGGCAAGCATACTTGGTACTGTCTTCCGCACATAAGGCTCCCATTTCTTGCCTTGCTCCCTCCTCCTGGCCTCGCGCTTCATGGCCTCATACAAGGCAGATCGTGTCTCTCCAAAGGAAGCCATGCGATTTTCAGCACCGGGCACATCCTTCTCCGTAAAGACGTAGGTATTTTGAGTCATATGTGAGGCATTTGTGGAGGTGACTGTTTGGCGTTGCAAGGTGTAGTCTTTGGGGATATCTTTATTATCGGGTCGTTCATGGAGTCGCAAGCTGACCTGTACGTCAGATTGTTAGTTTCCAGAGAAATCAGAAACACGGAGAGAGATTATCCACCACACATACCCTCTTAAGGTCTGATGGATCTCCTTCTATTCTCATTGTTCCGATCTCAATCTCTTCGTCATCGTCGATTTTCGCCCAGTTCTCCCACAACTGCCGAGGAAGGCGGGATAGCCATACATGCTGCCCAGCTGCTGTGAAATCAAGGTCGCCAGCATCTTCATAAAGGTCGTCATCGTCCATGTCAGCAAGGACTAAGTCCTTGTTATCAGGATCGGGTTTGATGTACATGGCATCGGGGTCTTGTTTGACCTGCGCCATGGTGGATGTGAAAGAGGGGAGTTCGGATTCGAGAATTGGTAAAGACTGAGATTATGCACCTGTCCAAAGAAGAGGGGAACGCGAGGGTAGTAGGCGTGATGGGCGTCGATGGAATTTGAAGAACAAAGATCGAGTAGAGGCGCCACGGAGCGGAGCTTCCTGGGCCAACTGGCCAAGGCGGTGAAAGCTGGCAGTGATGACTTCACTTTAGCTATAAGGATCTATTATGCATGCAGAGCTAAATGTTCAAAGTTGGTCATTTTTGGTGAAGCGATAGGGATTCCGTAATTCCTTATGGCATCTTAGTGAGGTGCAAAGGACTGATTTTGGTTTCTTCTTTGCGATGATCTCACAATTATTAGAGGTCAACGCGAGCTTTGAACCCCGCCAAAGCCACGTTTAATTGCTTGTCAAGTTCCATCATGGCTATGCATGTATGAATACTATTTACTGTGAAAGCCACGATGAGAGCCAGATGGAAAAAAGAACTTCCCTTTCCCCAAATGGAAATCAACAAGAGTTGGTTCGAACCCTTTTCGAGGCAAACGTCTAAGCTATAGCCTATACATACATCTCTTCTCCGCCTTTCTTATCGATAAGCTTGCACCTCTCGATCCCCAACCACAACGCAACCTCTACATCCCCTACAACAATATTCTTAGATTCAGACGGCAACTGAGCTGTACCTTGAGCTCATTCTCTTGTCTCTGTCTATTATCATGGCATCCCAAAGAGTCACAACAGCGCTGGCAGCGATCGAGTCCATACCCCACCAATCCACGAAGCTTCAAGAATACAACACCCTTCTCAATGATATCGTGACCAGCTCATCTGGCGACGAGCTCGCTCAAGACATAGTCTATTACCTAGACTCCATCTTGAGCGAATCTATCAGCATTGTTGCCGCCCGCCCCCTCCTCGATTCCTTCATTGCCGTCCTTCACAAGTTCGAACCCGAAATCAAAATCAAGGTCGGACAGCACGCCGTAACGCTCTTACAATCCCGCACAACTTCCGTCGAAGAGCAGGACTCACAGATTCGTGAGATTCTAGCGGAAGCCTACGAGTCGCAAGAGGAATATACCGCCGCAGCACGGGCACTGCAGGGAATCACCATTGATAGCTCGCAGCGCCTGGTCTCCGATGAAGACAAAGCAAAGCTCTGGATCAGGATCGTGCGCTACTACCTCGAAGATGAAGATACGACCAGTGCAGAAACATTTTTGAACCGGATTAAGAACTTGCCCAGCAAGATCCAGGACCATGATGCCAAGCTGTACTTCCAACTTTCCCAGGCTCGCATTCTTGATGCTCGTCGCCGATTCCTGGATGCCTCGCAGGAATACTTCAACGTCAGTTTAGCCGAGGGCGTTGATGAGGGCGATCGACTCACAGCGCTGTCGGCTGCTATTCGTTGTGCAGTTTTAGCGCCAGCAGGCCCACAACGCTGGAGCACCCTTTCCCGGCTGTACAAGGATGACCGAGCTTCTTCCGTGAATGAGTTTTCTATTCTGGAGAAGATGTTCCTCGATCGCCTTCTCACTGCGGAGGAGGTTGCTGCTTTTGCCAAAAAGCTTGCACCCCACCAACTTGCTGTAACTGCTGATGGTGCCACTGTTCTTGACAAGGCTGTCATTGAACATAACCTCGTCGCGGCGAGCAAGCTTTATGAAAACATCACAGCTGATGCTTTGGGATCTATCTTGGGTCTTCAGGCTTCTGGTGACTTGTCCGCTGGTGAGAAGGCAGAAGCTTATGCTGCGCGAATGGTTGAACAAGGGCGTCTACGTGGTCGTATTGACCAGATAGATGGCATTATTTCATTCGAGACTGGTGAAAGTGCTGACCCAACTTTTCGCAAGAGCCTTCGCCAATGGGACTCCGGTGTGCAGAAACTCTCAGAGGATGTGGAACAGGTGGCAAGTAGTATTTCTGAACAATTTCCGGTAGGTGGTTGATACATTACAAGGCTTCTCCATGCTCTTTCACTAATGTTTTCCAGGAATTCGCTGCCGGTCAAATGGTGCACTGATAGCTCTATGACTATCTAATGAAATTTCTACGAATTGATGTCTACAATATGTCCGTGGTTTACACCACTCTAGCCAAGCGCAGAATACCCCTCAATAGCTACCTGCCATTGAGGCATCTTGAATCATTATTACAAGGGCCAGAATTCCAGCCTAAACCTAAACTCCAGTAGAGCATAAGTATCTTCGTATAAATTCTAGCAAAGTTTTCTGGTCTGCAAGGTCATATGTTAAGCAGGTCAAACATCACTCTCAACGCCCCCCTTCACGGCATTCCCCATAGCCTCAGCATCAGTCTTGTAAGCCTTGAATTTCCTCGAAGGAACCTTCTTCATGAACATCTCATCCAACTCCCCATAAGTCCGTCCCGCAGTCTCAGGCTGGAAAAACCACAAATAGACCAAACAAATCACACTCAGCCCCCCAAAGATAAATGTCACCTTCGCACCTAGATTCGCCTCATTTGGATTGAACATGTACGGCAACACAAATGACCACATAGTATATAGCGCATTCTGTAACGCCAAGCCAATGGCAATCGTCTTAATCCGCAGACGTGATGTGGAAACTTCAGTCAGGATGGTATATCCTGCTGATCCGATAGTCATATTGTACCACCAACAATAAATCAAGATCATAGCAACGGTGCCTTTCACTGCATCCGGTGCATTGGGATTATCATTTTGAGAAGCCACGACGGCAAGGCCACCCGTTAGCATTAGGATGATTGTGAGCACGGCTAGGCCGTAAATCATGAGGTTCCGGCGACCGAGGCGATCGATGACAAAGTAAGACATGACGTTGCCGACAAGCGAGAGAATTTGCTGTGCGATCTGAAGTCTGAAACTCATTTGCGTGCTGTATCCTGCTAATTCCATATAATATGTCGAATAGCCTGCCGCGAAGAGGACACCTGAGAAGGCTTGAATGCTCAGCGGGGCAATGGAGATAATTGTTCGTCGAAGATTTGAGCGCCGGAAACATTCAAGGTACGTAGCTCCTTCTGTCTCGGAGCGTATTTCTTCGAGAGTGGTTTTTATGATGGCAATCTTCTTGAGTCGCTCGGTTTCGCTGTATCCCAGTCTGCGGAGGGAATCGTCTGTTTTTTCTTCCCAGTTCTGGGAGATGAGCCACCAAGGGGACTCCGGCATGAAGGCAATTAAGGCGATGGCGGTTGCGGCGAAGCCATATTGGGCTGCGAAGACGGCACGGTAGGCCCAGCGGTTGGTGTAGTTGCCCGTTGTGTTAGTAATTAGGGCTACTATGAGAGGACCGATCACGTAGGCCAGGGCTGTGAGGCAGGTTAGTGTACCACGGAGGGCGAGGGGGGCGATCTATGAGAGTACAGTTGTCAAAATCAGAACAAAGATCAAATTAGGATGAGACGGTAAACATACCTCGCCGACATAGGTCACTGGCACAGAGGCCAGTGCGCCTAGTGCAAATCCATTCAGAAACTTTCCACCAAAGAACATTTGATTCGTCGTCGCCACAAACTCCAGCGTGATGCCTGCAACGGAGATCAGCAGCGCACCCCCTATAGTGATTCTCCGGCCAATGGTATCAGCAATCTGTCCCGAGCAGAGGGCACCAATGACAGCAGATGCGACAGGTGCTCCACTGAAGGCAGACTGCCACTTCGCCTCGAGTACATAATTGCCTTCATAGTAGAAACCAAAGTCCTTGCGGAATTCCGGGATGCTAGTGACATTGCTGGATGCTTGATTCTCAAAGCTGACAAGAAGGATGCACCACACGGCATAGATACACCATACAAAGGCCCATGGGTACTTCTTGACGCTTTGCCACTTGCTTAGTTCGTGATCTTCCCGGTTGGCTATGTGGCTGAGTTGGTGGTTATCTGTATGCTCGATGAATTCTGTAGTCGGTTTCTCCATTGTGGACAGTCTTTGGTAGGTATATAATGATACAGTATCGTATAATTGAAAGGTCAAACCAGTCGGTGGCCACAGGGATGGTCAATTGTTCGAGGGGTGTGGAGGCGTTTATGTATCCCTGGTTTTCAGGGATGTGCCATAAGTTGCAGAACATCAGCTGAGCAAGCTCGCCCCAGCGCATTCTTGCAGAGGCAAGCCCAGCGGCTAGAAGCACCCAAAAATGCGGAGGTGGTTAGACAAAGAGCATCATCCGGGATTCGACGGGAAAACCTAATTACTTTTCCCCAGGATTCGCATTACCACGTGCTGTTTGCCTTTCACCACGATCATGGACCTACAACACGCTATGAAACGATAGTTTTAAGTCAAATATTATCAAAATACTATACTCCCTATTTCTTATCTGTAGATCACTGCAACTTGGTCCACGGTAGTCATCCCCACCTGGACCTCAAATCCGGGGTGCGTAATCTGGGGTTGGGGTTTGTCCGGTCGAACTGCGGGTGATCACTTCGGGCAATCTTCCCCTCCCCGAGGTTTTCCCATTCACAAGGTAATTCTAAGCACTGCCCAGCTGGTCCACAAAATAAGGGCCCTTGAAGCCTAGTGAATTCTTGTCATGTCAGGATGCTTTAAACTATGAGCTCAGACAAATCGGGGCTCATCAGACTAAATTGCGAGATGTATCAGGCACCTATCCTACCTGATCTATCGCCGAAGTAGCAGGGTATTTGTGGTTGATTGGTTTTCGTAGTGATACTTGAATTTCCAATGACTTTACAATGGTAGTCCATCTGCATGTCTCGGATTTCAACAACATCTCCCACGGCAAGGGGGATGGTTGCATGATTTAGCACAACATCATCGCGACTATGAACTATAAGGCATTGATCATTAAATGGTTTTGTCCTTTTACAATGTCTTTCGTGATCTCAATCTATGGATATACATAGTTAAATCTTCGTAAATGCACTCTCAAGTTATGCACCAGGTCTGGTATTAGGCTGTCAAGGCGTAACCTATTTAACTCTCTTTGAATTACCCGATGTACCTCCTCATGGGCATGTTAGCCTTGGGATCAAATGAGTATCCATCAGTGCCTGACATTACCTGGTTTGTCTTCCCATCAGTTCAATGAAGACTGGTTATCCAGGTAAAATGTATACGTCTTTCAACCCATCGGCTATCATGGCTAATTTTGAAATTCTATTCCCTGAGCAGTGTGGATCGATCAGGATTCTACACTCGGTGAGGCCGATTGTTGATACAGATAGACTGATTAAGTCAAGATTCAAGCCCTGTTCCAGAAAATGCTCTGGTCTCGGGTAATCCTCGGGAAGGGAGGTCATCAAGAATGCGGGGCTGGCAACTACCGGGGTCGGCATGATTTACCCCGAACCAGCCTTACCTACACGTCACACCTGGACAGTTATATTCGCAATGGAGGGTAAAATAAGGAAAAAACTTCATTCTTGCACACCCAAGTAGCCGTCACGATGTCTGCACACCCATCAATCACGTCGGTGTCCTTTGAACAACATGCCACAGGACTCGGCATCGGAATCTCCTGCCCCCGCGTTTCGTGGAAGTTCACTGCCACTAAAAACACATTCCCAAATTGGGAACAGAAAGCTTATGATATAGAGATCCAGCGTGGTAATTCAAGTCCCGAATCTTACCACATCAACGCATCAGACTCCGTTCTGGTGCCCTGGCCGAGCCAACCCCTCTCGTCTCGCGAATCGGCCCGTGTCCGTATTCGATCTTATGGTAGTCCAAGCAATGAGCCAACAGAATGGTCCGTTTGGACGACTGTGGAATGCGGTCTGCTGGATCTCCAGGACTGGACCGCGCGTGCAATTACTAGTCCTACCAAACAGGCCGAGGGGCCTTTACGCCCGCTTCGCTTGCGGAAGACTTTCAAGCTTTCTGCATATGCTCTGCGGGATGCTCGTCTCTATATAACCAGCTTGGGTGTCTTCCAAGCTTATATCAATGGCCTCCCGGTTGGAGATCATTGCATGGCACCGGGGTGGACGAGCTACCACCACCGACTAAACTATGAGGTCTTTGATGTAGCATCGTTGTTGCGGGTGAATGAAGATAATGTCATCGCAGTCGAACTTGCTGAAGGATGGTATGCCACACGGTTGGGATTTCTTGGTGGTCAGCGGTTTATCTACGGTGATGAAATGGCATTGATCGCCCAGTTGGAGATCAATTCTGAGCAGGACAAGTTGTCTGTCGTCTCTGATGCGTCGTGGAAGTGCCACGCATCGGCACTCATGACCAGTGAAATATATGATGGAGAAGTTTATGATGCTCGCGAAGATCAGAAGGGATGGCATAGCCTGTCATTTGATCAGGAAACAACTTGGGACGCCGCCCGCGAGACTGAATTCCCCAAGACGGAACTTGTGGCGCCCAATGCGCCCCCGGTAAGGGTTACGCAAACTGTGAAGCCTACAGAGATTACCACGACACCTTCTGGGAAGACCATTGTCGACTTCGGTCAGAACCTAGTTGGCCGGGTCCGCATCCCTTCTCTTGTCAGCCCCACCGGCCACACCGTGACTCTTATCCATGCGGAAGTCCTTGAGAACCAAGAACTCGGCACTCGTCCACTTCGCATTGCCAAGTGCACCGATACCATCATCTCTGCTGGCAGCGAGATCCTCAACTGGTCACCACGCTTTACCTTCCACGGCTTCCGCTATGTCCAAATTGACGGCTGGAATCCCACTCTGGACAACCTCGTCGCAGAGGTCATGCACACCGATCTCCACCGAACTGGATGGTTTAACTGTTCACACGAAATGATCAACAAGCTCCACGAGAACGCGACCTGGAGCATGCGCGGAAACTTTCTCTCCCTTCCCACCGACTGTCCCCAACGTGACGAGCGTCTAGGCTGGACAGGCGATATTCAAGTCTTCGGACCTTCCGCCAGCTTCCTGTACAATACAGCCGGTATGCTCGGTGACTGGCTCAAAGATCTATCTGCAGAACAGTTAGCCCTCGATCACGGGATCCCACCCTTCGTTATTCCAAATGTAATACCAGAAGCCCTCTGGCCCACATTTCCCCAAGCCGTCTGGGACGACGTCACAGTCCTTCTCCCATGGACCCTCTACCAAAGTTACGGAGACACCGAAATTCTCCGCCGCCAATACCCCAGCATGAAAGCCTGGGTCGATGTCGGTATTTTACGCGGCCCAGACAATCTCTGGGAAGACACCATCTTCCAACTGGCAGACTGGCTTGATCCCACCGCACCTCCCGATAACCCGGGTAACTCACGCACAGACGGGACACTCGTCGCAGATGCATATCTGGTCCATGTCACACGCACCCTCGCATCGATCAGCAAAATCATCAACGAACAGTCCGACGCTGAACGCTACGAAGCTGATTACCACACACTGAAGTCCCGCTTTCAGGCTAAATACGTCTCCTCTACCGGCCTTCTCGTTGGTGATACCCAAACTGCCCTCGCACTCGCCATCGTCTTCGATCTTATCGACGACCCCGCTCAGCTCACAACGGCTGGTGCCCGCCTCGCTCGTTTGGTTCGGAAATCCAGATTCCAGGTTTCGACCGGTTTCGCGGGTACACCTATTATCACACACGCGCTTACAAAGGCAGGATATCCTCAACTAGCATACAGAATGCTCCAGGAGAAATCCTGTCCGTCGTGGATGTATCCCATTACCATGGGCTCGACGACAATCTGGGAGCGGTGGGATAGTATGCGTCCGGATGGGAGTATCAACCCAGGTGAAATGACAAGTTTCAACCACTATGCTCTTGGGTCGATCATTAATTGGCTGCACGCTACTGTTGCGGGTGTCAGTCCACTTGAGTCTGGGTGGAGAGAGGTTCTTGTCAAACCTGTTCCTGGAGGCACCGTCACCTCTGCTGAAGTTGTTTATGAGACGGCTTATGGAAAATTGGAGTGTTCGTGGGTCCTGGTTGACCAATGTTTCAAGTTACTGCTTGTTGTTCCACCTAATTCTAGGGCAAAGGTTGTTCTTCCTGGTGATGAGAGTGAGGAATGGGTTGGGTCTGGACGATATACCTTTGAGACAAAGTTTGATAGTCAGGTTGGATGGCCTCCAAAGGCGCTCGTTCCTCCTATGTTCCACCCGGAAGACTCTTTTGTTTAATTCGCAATTTGGAAAGATAGGTCGTGGATATTTTATACGCATAGATTGATATCATAGACTCCATTCCATCATTTCTCTGCACCATAGCATCATAACTCTTAGCTTCAAGTCGCGCGAACACGGATTCCTCGACGGTATCTCATAGTCCCAGTCAAAACCTCATCCAACTCAAACATTATGTTCTAGATAAGATATTGTTTTACGTTGCTCTTGGGGATAAAGTTTGCTCCAAATAAAGTTGCGGCAAAATCTGGGGTAGTGGGTCACTGGCCCGGGATAGTAGTGGCCGTTACGCCACGTGGGGACCCGTAGAACATGAAGGCAAACGTCAACTTAAAGCTGCCATAACTGGAAAGAGCAGTCTCGAAAGCAGAATAAGCAATTCACTGAAATTCACTTTGCACTTGTGATTACTACGGTGAGTGACAGTTATGAGTCGCCCACCAGTATAAAAACCTCCCTTTTCTTCTCTTACTTTTCTTCCTCTTCTTCCTCTTTTTCCTCTTCTTCCTCTCATTCCCTTGCCCAATTATACTTGGTTTTCTTTCGATTCTGGTTCTTGTTGCTGGTTTGATGTTTTCTTAGTCTTGTTCTGGTTTTGTTACAGATTTGCTTTCGATTCGGTTTCGGGTTAGTGTTGGCGTTGATTTCGTTCTTTCCTTTTCTAAATATTCTTTGATCCTCCAAGGGCTGAATTTGAATTATGAAATTAGAAAGTCTGAAAATTCCCATTACGTTGCCCCTTGAGTTTTGTGCTTGCTTAACTTTTCAAAGACAACAACATCCTTTATTTGTTGGTATGCACATGAGCACAGTACTTAGACTATGAAGACCAGCAGCCAGTCTTTTGGCATGGTTTGGATTCGATAGACTATAGTGCGTACAAGAATGATAAAGACAGCTATGGAGGTGATACATGTCCCAATGAAATAATATTTAATGACTGTAAGCTCGTGGCATATGGCCATTGGAAGGCAATTCAACCATTGCGATTGCTGTGTTTAACAAGCACATCATGCTCAAGTGGTTCGAGATCGAGAACACCAGTGGTTTCTGGGTCATACTATACAAAGCACACTCCATGAAGATACATCGCAAGGTTAATTAAACCATCTCATAAAGAATCGAAAGATCATCACGTCATATCGGCATAAAAGATTTGCTTTGCTTGACTCAACTATGCGGCTTCAACGCCGTAGTCGAGTCATTGTCAGGGTGGATAGCAATATCAGTCTGGACCTTAATCCCAAGCTCATCACCCAAATAGTCCCTCTTCCCAGGCTGACTCCCACTATAGATGGCAGACTGCATCTTCAAGTACTCCGGGTCTGGCGAAAGAGGACTCGACTTGGACAAGACATGTGAGTTGCTGATATCCGTATTAATATAGTATGGAGCATTGCTGCGGTTAGACCGGTTCTTCAAGCTGAACGCCGGGAACAAGCCACGGACGATGGGTAGACAAGAACAGATCAGTCCAACTGAAGGTTCGATGTGTGTCCATAATGTTGCTTGGTAGACTGTGTATGTTGGGTCGATAGGGCTGATCCAAAACAAGACCACGATGCGATAGATACTGGCAAAGCAGACGAAGGCTCCAATTGCGAAGACGCCGTTTAGGGCGAGTTTATCTTGCCAAGCTCGGTGGAGGCCCCAGATCATCGGGACGGGGAGAAAGAGGATGATGAAATCCATGAGGACGTTGAAGGCTTGGTTGACGATGAAGAAGAGGTTGGCGTCGAAGCAGTGTCCGTCGATGCTTTTATCCCAGTATGCTTTTAGGGGGCGGCATTGTCCTGCGCAAGCAAAGAAAATTCCGGCTCCCCAGGCGGCAATGAGGCAGTTCAGGCCGAAGGTGAATTGTTGAAATTTGGGTGTGGTGAAGACTCGGCGGTAGAAGCAGATGATAGAGATCTTGATTGCGGGGCATAGCACGAAATATGTGAATTGGTTGGAGAGGAAGATCTAATTGTGTCAGAGAGTGCCATGCCCACAGAGAAAGGGAACATACCTTATAATAGTTCTGGATTGTTTCGTTATCCAACGCCTTGACATGAGCGCCATTTCCTCCAATTGTACACCCTGGTGGATATCAGCAAGGGATTCGGGTCTAGAATAAGGCACAGAACTCACATAGAATCAGTTCAACCAGCATGGCAAGCATTAGCACCATTGATAAGATGCTCAGGTAGTCATCGACACCGAAGCCAACTCTCCGGCGTAAACGCGCCACTACGCGCAACGCCACACATATAACACAAAGAGCGACCAAGACCGAAACGATCACGATCATTTGCAGCCCTCTCGCACTGGCAGCCATGATGACGAGAGTAAACGCTAAAAAGCGAAAGGTGAGGGGTCAAAAGGAATGATTGAAACTCCTGCGGAAGAGCAATATCGGGACCTCCACAGATATAGGGTCACACAAGTCAGCCCAATGCCGACTGAGAAACCCAGAAATCTGCGAATCAGATTAGTTCGACCGTGGACATTGGCGATCATTGGCAGACTAGACGTCAGCCACCGAGGCGGGATTTGCGCGATTTCGCGTACAAAGTGGATGACCCCGTTGTAAGCGATTAAGCTCTGGCTGGAATGACATCGTCATTCTCTGGTTCGCCGGAATAGCGCTGTCTATCATACCCAAGAAGGGAAGGCTGCAGCGGCGTGAATTGCAGTGACACACACTTTCTTGTTGAGACTCGTTTTTAAGGGATCCGTTATACCGGTTGAAGTTAGTGGGATGGGGGCGATGGAGCAGTGTGGGTCAGTCTGATCGGGAAGGACGCTCCGATCGCATCAGATATGGCATTCCATTCGATGTTCGCAGGCGACTCGGGAGGTATAGTGGCAATCTTTCGAAAGAAGATGTGTAGTCAGATTAATCTCGCTGGTCATATATCTACATGCCGTGCTTGCGTGCGAAATGCCAAGGTGTCTACTGCCGACTTCCAACGTGTACAACTAGCTAATTCACTCCGGTTCCTTCGCAGGTGGCTGATCAGCCACGCAGATCATCAATAGTCCAAATTTTCCCGCGCCCAGTCAGAACTATTGAGCTTGGCGCGATATGCACGATCCAACATGCGCTAGTCGGGGTCCAGATCCTGCATGAAGCTTAGTATAATATCATAACATGCACATCACCTACAAATAAGAACAGAATACGAGGTTAAGACGTAAAAACAGATGACGATTCAGGCACAATCCTCAGTGTTGTGTGACTCGTCTACCAACAGGGCAGTGCTCAGTGGAGTCTCGTGCTTCAGATAAAACATTCTCAGTGGGTGGATCCAGTGGGGCCGTACTGTCAAACTCTTCACACAATACCTCGATCCCTGGTTGAATCTATTTGTTATTATTAACTCGGACGCCACCAGGGTTGAATGTATGGAACGTCGGCTTTTACATTCCCGTTCTATAAAGGAGCATAGCCTCATGTCTGCTCACAGAACTCCCTCCTGTTTGGACGAAGTACAACGTATATCCTATGGGTCCGGATCAATCCATTTATGGTTAGCAAGAACTAGTGGAATCAGTATCAGGATGTTCATGCAATTCAAGGCAACGATCAACACTTCTCCAACTCCATTCACGATGCAGTCCACATGTAAACACCTTGGTGGGGCTCTCAGCCAAGCCTCAACCAGATAATCCCATCAACACCGCGACGTAGCTAACCCCTCACACCATCCCCTCAACATCCCCGGAATTCAAAGCGGCAAAATGGCTACCGTCTCAGTTCCCTTGTTAATCAACGGCAAAGAGGAATTTCTTCCAGAAACCTTCGACGTCGTAAGCCCCTACACCAACCAACCCTGCTGGACCGCCGCAGCCGCCACCCCGCAAGATGCGATCCGCGCCGTCGAGGCTGCAGACGCAGCTTTCCCAGCTTGGTCGCAGACAAAACCTACCGTGAGACGGGACATCCTGTTTAAGACAGCTGATCTATTGGAGGAACGCCTTACAACCAATGCGGAGTATATGCGCACAGAGATGGGAGCCGACGTAGGCGCATCAGAGGGGTTCGTGATTCCATTGGCGATTCGGATGCTACGCGACATTGCGAGTCGCATTACCTCTATCTGTGGGAGCGCACCCATTGTTGAGACGGAAGGACAAAGTGCGATTGTGTTTAAGGAGGCGATGGGTGTTATTCTCGGGATTGTGCCGTGGTAAGTATCCAGCTTGGTCAACAGGTGTCTCGTGCGACATTACTGATGGGTTGATCAGGAATGCCCCCTACGTTTTTGGTATCCGCTCTGCTGCATGCGCATTGGCAGCTGGAAATACTACGATTCTTAAAGCCTCTGAACTCACACCACGCTGCTACTGGGCTATTGGTCGCGCATTCCAAGATGCAGGTCTTCCAGCTGGATGCTTGAATGTTCTCTCCTGTCGTCCACAGGATGCGCCCGAGGTGGTGAATGCCATGATTGAGCATCCTGCCGTGCGCAAGGTCAATTTCACTGGAAGTACGGCTGTAGGCCGCAAGATTGCGCGCGCGTGTGGACAGAATTTGAAGCCGTGTCTGATGGAATTGGGCGGGAAGAATAGCTCCATTGTGTGTGCTGATGCTGATATGAAAGTTGCCGTGCAAGGAGTACTTGCGGGTTCATTCCTCAATGTGAGTTCCCTCTAATGTTTTTGAGGGGTGGAGTCTAATTCTTGTTTTGTTGTAGTCTGGCCAGATTTGTATGGCGACTGATCGTATCCTTGTTCACTCTTCTATCGCGCCTGCTTTTATCAAAGCCCTGAAGACCGCTTTGGATGCTGGTGCTGGCGCTGACTCTCTTCCACCGACACTGGTGAACACGGCTTCCAAGACCCGTGTGGAAGCCTTGATTTCCAGCGCGGTGGCTGCTGGCGCACACTTTATTTCTGGGTCTGCTGAGCCCAAGGTCCCTTCAGACTGTGGTGTTCGTATGGCGCCTTCCATTTTGGGTGGTATCAAAGAAGACATGCCGCTATGGCAGGAAGAGTCTTTTGCCTCTGTGGCCGCGTGCATGGTGTTCGAGAGTGAAGACGACGCGATCCGACTGGCCAATGGTAGCGGGTATGGACTGTCAGCATCGGTATTCACGGAGGATCTGCGTAAAGGCTTGGCGATGGCTAAGCGGATCCAATCTGGGTAAGTATTTTTCTAATCGTCGCTCATCCTTGGACTTGAATGTTGAACTAATTGGTTCCTAGGGCGGTGCATATTAATAGCATGACAATCCACGATGAGCCCGTGCTGCCGCATGGCGGAGTGAAGAACAGTGGATGGGGTCGATTCAACGCCGCAGAGGGTCTGAATGAGTTCTTGGTGACGAAGAGCGTTACTTGGATGGATTAGAACGGCGTGCCTCAGGCTAAATTTAAGTATGGGATACCAATCTCGGCATAGATCCAGACGAGTCGATTGCAGCGTATTATATCACGAAATCTATTTTTAATTATGGACACAAATGCCACCGAATCCATTCAAACCGACTGTCCATACTACTATTCGCACTTCAATATCCCGATCTCGCGATTTCCACCGTCGAATATTCTGATCTCTCGGGCGAGACCCTCTCGGACCGCGTTGACCCGAGACTCGGTCTTCCCGCCCCCGAAAGTATTCCACACCTGCATTGTCCGGCCATCCAGCATGCAAAAACTGGGGGTGGGCTCCATTTATGCAATTTGAGTCGGCTTTCCTCGCTGCAGTGGCTTCGACAATTGAATTCCGTCGGCAATTGAACCCCGACCCCGACCAATCTGGGTGATGTCATGAGACCCACATCTAGCCAATCTCACCCCCGGATTTGGTGGATCTTCCACCAATCAGAGGCGACTCATAGTTCAGCGGTCGGCGATTGCTTTTACCAGACCGGGAATTGCATTAAGATGGATCTCAGCGTCTTGGGCTGAATATTAGTTCCATATTGATATAGATGGAATCCACATCATTATTAGTTTCATTACTTAGATTTTTTATTCGATTAAAGTGTTTTATATAGTCCCGATGAGGTGCGGTTGTCATGCCACCTCCTCGGGCCACATTCTCGGTATTTTGCGTTGCACTGTGTTTTGTTCCGAGGCTCATAACCTCGGCGGTAATTTCACACCGAGAGCTCCAGTATGAGGGAAATGCTTGGTCTAGGAGTATAACCTTGGAATACGGAATATTATGTGACGCCCAAATGCTGGTAAAGAACTCCAGTCTAGGTCGTTCAGCCTGAGTGTTATGGCCTCTTTGTTCTGCACCAGATCACAAGACTGAATAAGATGACGCAGATGCATGTGAAGATGTCAGAGCTACTCCGTACAGTACATTAACATCTACAAAATAAATCATCATCATATAACCGCATGTGATAGTCTGTTGCCCCGGATTGTGAAATGTGAACAAACCAGCTTATTGCAATTACTGTACTTGCTCCCCGGTACCCACAGCAGACCCATCGTCTCCATTTCTTTCCCCCACGCTTTGTGCCTCGGCCGATAGGAAGCTCGTCGGCTTCTGAGTTAAACTGCCCCCGGATTCCATTTAAACATTTTATTCCCCTTCCTCTCCATTTCTTTTCCCACCTTTTCGTTTTTTTGATTTTCCCTCTTTCTCTCACACATACCAACATGGCAGCTCCCCAAGTCATTGTGGTCGGCGGTGGTCGTATGTGATCCTTCCCCGCATCCTGTAATCATCTTCGCTGACCCTTTCTCCAGTGTCTGGCCTCAGTGCTGCCCACACCGTCTACTTGAACGGTGGCAACGTCGTGGTTTTGGACAAGCAAGGTACGATCGAACATTTCAGGGGTGAATGACCCATGCTGACATTGCCACCTCCAGCTTTCTTCGGTGGCAACTCTACCAAGGCCACCTCCGGCATTAACGGTGCGCTTACCCGTACCCAGGTCGACCTCGGCATTCAAGACAGCGTTAAGGCCTTTTACGAGGATACACTCAAGTCCGCCCGTGACAAGGCCCGTCCCGAACTGATTAAGGTCCTCACCTACAAGTCCGCTGCCGCTGTCGAGTGGCTGCAGGATGTCTTCAACCTTGACCTCACCCTCGTTTCCCGGCTGGGTGGCCACACTCACCCCCGTACTCACCGTGGTCACGATGCCAAGTTCCCCGGTATGGCCATTACCTACGCCCTCATGCAGCGCCTGGAGGAGCTTGCCGATGCCGAGCCCAGCCGTGTTCAGATCGTGAAGAAGGCCCACGTCACACAAGTTAACAAGTCCGGTAACCACGTTACTGGTGTCACATACACTGTCAACGGCGAGTCTAAGTCTATCGACGGTGTCGTCATCTTGGCGACCGGCGGTTACGCCGCTGATTTCAGCGAAACCTCGCTGCTCCAGAAGCACCGTCCCGACACTTACGGTCTCTCTTCCACCAACGGCACCCACGCCACCGGTGACGGCCAGAAGATGCTGATGGCGATTGGCGCCAACGGCATCGACATGGACAAGGTTCAGGTTCACCCCACTGGTCTCGTGGACCCCAAGGACCCTGGTGCCAAGTTCAAGTTCTTGGCCGCTGAGGCCCTCCGTGGTGAGGGCGGTCTTCTGCTCAACTCCGATGGTGACCGTTTCTCCGATGAGCTGGGTCACCGTGACTACGTCTCCGGCCAGATGTGGAAGGAGAAGGAGAAGGGCAAGTGGCCCATTCGCCTTGTGCTCAACAGCAAGGCCTCCAAGGTCCTTGACTTCCACACTCGCCACTACTCTGGCCGTGGCTTGATGAAGAAGATGTCCGGTAAGGAGCTGGCTAAGGAGATTGGCTGTGGCGAGGCTTCTCTTCAGAAGACCTTCGATGAGTACAACCTCATTGCCGAAGGCAAGAAGAAGGACCCCTGGAACAAGAAGTTCTTCCACAACATGCCCTTCAACGTTGACGACGAATTCCACGTTGCTCTGATGGAGCCCGTTCTCCACTTTACCATGGGTGGTATCGAGATCAACGAGCACGCCCAGGTCCTCAATGCTGAGAAGGAGGCTTTCGATGGTCTCTACGCCTGCGGTGAGTTGGCCGGTGGTGTCCACGGTGCCAACCGTCTGGGTGGTTCCTCCCTGCTGGGCTGTGTCGTCTACGGCCGTGTGGCCGGTGACTCCGCCACCCAGCACCTCTTCCAGAAGCTGCTCAGCAGCGGTTCCTCCTCCGCCAGCCAGCGTCTGGGCCAGATTTCTCTGCACATTGACCCCTCCACTCCCGGTAAGATCTCCGTCGAGTGGGGCGGTGCTGCAGCCGGTGGCAACCTTCCTACCGCGGCAGCTGCCCCTGCCGCCGCCGCTCCTACTGCTGCTGCTGCTGCTACTCCCGCCGAGGCAGCCAAGCCCGCTAAGCCCGATCCTGCCAACTTCCAGATCCCAGATAAGGAGTTCTCCATGGAAGAGATCGCCAAGCACAACAAGAAAGATGACCTCTGGATCGCCGTCAAGGGTATCGTCCTCGACGTGACCAACTGGCTGGACGAGCACCCCGGTGGTGCCAACGCTCTGTTCAACTTCATGGGTCGTGACGCTACTGAGGAATTCGCCATGCTCCACGACGACGAGGTCATCCCCAAGTATGCGGCTCAGACCGTCATCGGTCGCGTCAAGGGCCAGACTCCCAGCCTGGAGCTGTAGGCTGGTTCAAAAACCTTGATTGAAAACCTTTCCGATTCTACGATCCTCATACCCATGACTTTTTCTTGATTGTTTGCGTGCGTCTTTGCTATCTATTCCATGTCATGTCTAAATGATATATGATCTGGTTTACCAGGTCTAGACTCCGGTGTTGCTGAGTCTTCAATGGTCTTCGTGTAACATACCATATTCTTGGAATTTACCTCATTAGAGTGATTTATATCAATTTGGTCCGTGCAGTAGTGTAAAACCCATTCAGGGTCATGCGAGGTCGAGTTAAGACCTTGACTAATTACTAAGTTCCATAGTTATCTATGGGGGCTTTCCACTCTTAAGCCGGGCTTGAATTGATTGGCTTAGTGATATTCTTTTAATTGTCAATAATCTTAAGTATTTATCCATGACATGTAGAAAGAGTCCCAGGGTAATGCATTCTCTTAAGCCAGACTCTACAACAGAGCAGCAATAAAGCATGAAAGTACAGTGGGCGATAAAGAGCCATCGCTCGACTCCAGTCTATTATTCCCTCTGTTGTCCAGTTTACTGAACAAAGACAAAAAAAAAGCACACAGTGTGATCGACTTTCAAAATCCGTTGTTGATTGTGTGGATAGCAAAAGGAACTTAAAAAAAGAAAAGGATAGTGCGTGCTGCAGGACTCGAACCTGCGCAACTTTCGTTACTGGGATTTCCAAACTCCGTTGAACGGTGCTTAAGCTTTGCTTGAATCCAGCGCCTTAACCACTCGGCCAAACACGCGGTGGTGTAAAAAGTGGGGTCGGGATGCGACTACTGACCTATGTTGACTGATCAGAGAGAGTATCCTCGGATCCAACACATAGTGCCATCACAACGACAAATACACGCCCGAGCAACTAGAAGCTGCACAATATATGAATCCAACCGATGATGCAGCAGTATTGTTTTGCGAATCGCCACGTTTCAATGTTCCAACTTCCAAGGTGCCATTACCAGCCTCTGATTCTGACGAGATGGTCTAAATCCAAGAATCAATACGCTTGTAGCAAGACTGGGCTATAATTTGGTAAATACTAAAATGAGTTGTAAGCAAGTTGGAAACAATGACCCCATACAGCAGCCCTGAAGAACTATGCGTGTCAACTCCTGTGGCTTTTCGTCCTTCCATCGTAGCTCAGATATCTTTTCGTGATACATGTCTGCATATGCTATTCCGTATAAGTCCGGGCTTGCATGACCTTACTGTTAGAAGAGCATGCCCAGAAGAAATCTGCCGCTTCACCAAGGTGAAACTGCTCGAATGGCAGCTCCGTCCATAGCACCTATTGCGCAACTGCCTGCCATATCAAGGACTCCGTCCCTTGAAACACTTTCCATCCAGCCCTCTCGCTGACCTCAAAGGTCTCCGTACGAGGCTTAGTATGATTACATATATAAATAATAAGACCTTTCTCATCTTATTTAAAGATGTCGGTAAAATTTGCCGGGCCAAAATCTCCCCCTTCTCTTTAGGAGAAAATTCAGATACAGTGCCGACAACCAGAACTGGAGCTTCCAAGACCCAAGCTTGTTTGACAGAAAAGACGCAAACCAACTTCCATCAAAGCTCGAAGTCTTCAACGAGTCCACTATCGCCTTAACCTCAGGCTCCAGTCTTTTCACCATATAGACTTTGCTCACACCCATCCACTTCCAAAACATAAAATAGCTGCACGGCATGCTCCACCATCCCCCATTACCAGACCCGGCCTGCCAGGTAGTTTTGAGACAATTCAAGGAATTCTTTGCATAAAAGCTTCTCGCACGCCGACACAGTCCATATCAGTGTCAATATAGCTGGTACTTCCATCGGCAGCTTACGAAGGAAGACCGTGTCAATGGCGCTGATGATCCGACCTTCGTCTGATACTCATCGACGGCAGACATCATGATCACTTTTTGGGGCATTGTTACCGTACATCCAATATATTTTGCTGTTTTAGGACTGGCAAGAATTCAGAAGCATCTTTGGTTTCGAAGAGAGGAAATGTCCACGGTAGGGAGAATTCCTTGAAAAGAGCTGCATGTAAATTTGGTGCCACGGGGTGGGCAATCGGATAAGCAAACAGGAATTTCCTTCACAAATGTTTGCGGCTGGTATAATTGATGTAAGAGTCATATGTGTATGACCCTTCAAGGGTACCATCGAGGCTATTGGTTGAACTCATAGTGAGAGAGAGGCTTAAGTTGTCCAATTTGGATGGGAAAGGAAATAATATCGAAGCTTTTCTTGGATACGATGTTTGTTGGCCGCTTCCTGCGTGCCTTTTTAACTTCCTGTGTAGATAATCATCTGTTTGGATGCGGGGAAGAAGGCCGAATCGGCGCACTATCAGTGGTAAATTCAGCTGGACCCCCACTCAAAGTACTATAATTCGATTGAAGCTTCGTCCTCGTTAAATACTGATCAGTGTGACTAGCAGAATTACCGGGACAAGCTGCAGGCCAAAAGGAATTCTCCACTGGGCATTAAGAGAAGCAGTTTCTGTTGGATATTGTGTGGTTCGCGTGAGATGCATTTTGGAGGGGAACTGATTGGCACTCAAAAATCATGACTACACTGGGCCTACCGTCAATCATTTGTCAAATATAAATGAGGAAAAAAGAAAAAGGATAACGATTAAAAAAAAAAAAAGGAACTTAAAAAAGAAAAAGATAATGCGTGCTGCAGGACTCGAACCTGCGCAACTTTCGTTACTGGGATTTCCAAACTCCGTTGAACGGTGCTTAAGCTTTGCTTGAATCCAGCGCCTTAACCGCTCGGCCAAACACGCGGTGTTATAGAGCATCGTCCTTTTTTATAATAGATAAGCTATTTTCCGCTTAGCCCTACGTCGAATTAACTCATTCCTCGATATCAACTAATTGTTATCTTGGAAGCAACCTAGGCACTCTAGAGAATCCTGAATATATTCGTGCTCCTTCTAATGCAATCTTATTATATGAGTAATTAAGCATAAATGCCCCATCGCCAAACCAAATGCGAAGTATTATCAAGCCTTCATATGTTTCAAAATCATCTTCAATCGCCTAACAGCAGGTCCATCACCTTCGTCTCCTATCTCGGTTTGCTCCTCAATCTCCTTCTGGGCAGCTTCCAGTGCAGGGCGCAGATATCCCCAAACCTCATCATGGTATCGCTCATGCACGCTCACCCAGTCTTCCGCGCCGGGAAGCTGAGAGAGCACGGCATCACGAAGAGGAGTTGACGTTGACTTTCCAAGATCCGTTTGTGTTGGTGCAGGTACAGATGCATACGCAGCCGGATCATTTTCTTGTAGGAATGTATCAATATCCGGAACCAGGCTGAAGGATGACAGCGATGCTTGTGACGGCTGTATCCCACCCTCTTCCTGTGCGACTTGCCTTCGGAAAGATTCGAGCATCTTGATTTCTTCTGCTGTTAGAGGTGGAGGTGCTGCATCGGGATCTAGATCTGCGCCTAGATATGTGTCTTGATCGCCGTAGGCGCCACCGAAATTCGCATCGAACGACGTATCGGAAAGAAGCGATACCACCGCTGCGCCGTCCGCCGGATCCAAATGCTGTGCGGCTTCTGATTGTTCGGGGTGGATATTCGCTTTCGCACGCTCCCATGTTGATGTATACTCCATCTGCATGGGATCTTGGGCGCGTTGCTTTCCCTTCCAGTTTCCTGTCGTGGAGGATTGGAGACTTTCACGGCTGGATTGTGTATTGACACCTGTTGATGCTGATACATCTTCAAGGCCCTGTTCGAGTCCCAAACCACTAGATCCATACACATGCTGGAAATCCTCCTCGTTCAGAGCTGGAATCTCAAATCCGCCTTGTGTCTGCGACGAGCCACTTGTATCCTGTCCACCGCGAAAGGCCTCCCCCGCCCCAAATCCCTGCGCGCTCTGTCCTGGTGACGCGCTTAGCGCCCCAGATCCAAGCACATCCTGACTGGCATGCCTAGCACTCGAGGCAGTTGGGAACGATCCGCTCTTTCCATTCGTCGCGCTGGACAGTGTCTGGGCGGCATTGCTACCAGCGCCTTGGAATGCGCTGCGGGCGAGTCCCGTCGCGGAATTTTGGACGCGGCGCGCTAAGGAGGGCTGGGTTTTGTCATTTGGGGTAGATGTGGATTGAGCGGAGGACTGGTGTGCTGGTGCATTGGCATTGTTCTGTGTATGGGCTGCAGTGGTGGTATTGTTGGTTGTGTCGGTGTCGCGGGTATGTGTCTTGCGGGTACCCCGCATGTTCTCCGGGGTGTCGGACATAGTGGAGGAGGTCGAGAGGATATGCGAGGAAGGCAGGTCAATCGGGTTTGGGTGAGTTTAGATACCTAGAGTGGCGAGAGATGTTATAGCAGGGTGTATTTTAGGTGGTGGAACATTGTTCATCGTCCACCGTGGGTTGGTGCGAATTGATCTCGGGGCTCGGTGGGATCGTGCCGGACAAAGTAGGGAGACATGTGATGAGGTTTTGGGTATAATTTGCATTCAGCATCTTATTATTTCTACCTGGAAAACTTCTGGCATGACCTTCGTATACTGCTATATCATAATTGCACATGTTATCTATGAAAGGCTAATTCGATGCTCATGGTCGGAGGTGGTCTTGTGCTGTGGTGATGCATTATCCATGGCTTCGAGATGCCCTACATAGCCCAGACCAGTTAGCTATGAACCTTATTATATCTAACAGGGATTATTAGTTTCTTCATGGGGGTATATTGGGCTTCTTATACTTTATTGATTGACTCTTTATGCCGGATCCTATTCCGATGCATAGAGGCATCAGATAATTATATATTGTGCTAGACAAGCGTATAATCAAATTATTATTACAGCAGATCCCGATACATACCAGGGCATTCCGGTATTTTCCATATCAAATCAGTATCTGGTCAACAGCCGAGTAAGATTGGAAACTTTCACTATCTGTCACATAATTTTGACATGATAATCGACATGTTTTGAGCAGATACGAGTGCACGAGCTTTCCATGGATATTGCTTTTGGCCCCGACAGGATGACGACAGAGGCGGGGACACTGGCGCTGCAGCTTCCAGGATGGCAGGTCTTCCAAAGCATGAGCGCCGTATGAATTGCAGCAGGTTCCGATCACCAGGGCTATTGATTGGTAGCAGCTGTCAATTGTGCGCCCAAATCTTTGCCAGGGACTTTTGTGCCTGCTTCGGGCAATGTTACAGTCGCTGGGTAGTGTTGATGTCAGCATTTGGGTGTCGAATAAGTTTGGTTTTTTTTTTCGCCCTTCATTTGGTTCAATAGTGGATCTTTGAGATCGTAGAATTTAAGCATATAGATCGGGATCAGGAGATTTCAGTCGGAATATATATCCCAAGTAATCCGGTTGTAGCGGTGGGTGAAAGAGGGTACAGTAACCACCGTTAACTCTCCCCACCACCGCCTCACCTCTTTCTTCTTTCCACCCTTTTGCCCGTTCTTCTGTTTCCTTGAAGGTGAACAGAATTAAGAAAAAAAAAAAAAAAATTTCGTATGAAAATATTTCTCCAGTATAACGAAAAAAGTTCTCCCCTAATATTCAAGTGAAGCTCAGGTCTTCAATGATCCCCTCTCAAGCTCTGCGGGCCCACTCATAACAACCACCGGCTCGTTTGCTCCCCTCCAAACCCAAACCCATCCAACTTCTTCCCCTCCTCCATCCCGCAACTCCCATCACTTCCTCCTTTTGCCGTCAAACTTGGTGAGGAGATCCACGGTCTTTCCAGTCTTTGACCGTACCCCCGATTACAACCCCCCTCTTCCCCTCTCCCGCGCTCGTCATCGGGCCCCTCGCCTGCACCTGCTCCGATCGAAGCGTGGAGACCATTGCTTTCGCCACTCCTCACTCGCTGCCCAGATCGTTGTGATAGTAACTAGTCCGACCGCTTCCGCTTTGTTCTCGATATCACACCGAACAGAGTGATTAATTTGCATCCACAATAGAGCTCCCGGAGCCCAACGTTTTGCCTGCTTTTTTCACCGTCCTGCATTCGAACCCTTTGTCCCAGATCCGCGATCAAGGGCGATCCTAGAACGAAAAGATGGTAGACAGAGATCCAGGTACACCCACCTGGAAGTTCACACAGTGAGTCTGGTCCATGGAAAAAAGGGAGATATCGGTGGGCTTGTCGCCCGGCGAGACTTCCATCGTCCCTCGATTCCCCCGGAAATTTGGCACAATGGCTAACGTGTGTCAAAAGATGCTTTGGTGATAAAGGTGATGTAGAAGATATCACAGAAGGTACCTGCGCCTGCATTTGAGTTACCAGAAAGCTCATTGGCTGATTTATATTCCCTTTCAGCGGACATCATCTCGACCGTCGAATTCGATCACACCGGAAATTATTTGGCCACCGGAGATAAGGGTGGACGAGTGGTTCTATTCGAACGTAACGAAACGGTGAGTTTTGCTTTCGCGATCCTTGGTTGTTACCAGGGCAGGCTATCTCATGCAAAAATCTTTCACAGAAAAAAACCTGCGAATATAAGTTCCACACCGAATTTCAGTCGCACGAGCCCGAATTCGATTACCTCAAATCGTTAGAGATTGAAGAGAAGATCAACAAGATAAAATGGTGTCGGCGCCAGAATGCTTCACACTTCCTCCTTTCGACCAACGACAAGACCATAAAGCTATGGAAGGTGTTTGACAAGTCCTTGAAAGTGGTCGCTGAGAACAACCTATCTAATGAGATGACTCCGCCCGCCCCGACGGGTGGTTTGCCTCGAGCACCCCGGGGCACGTTCAAGCATGCCTCTGCGCTGAAGCTTCCCCGCTTGACACACCATGATACCGTCGTGGCCGCTGTGCCTCGGAGAACATACGCCAACGCCCATGCGTACCATATAAATAGCATCTCCGTGAACAGCGATGGCGAGACTTTCATCAGCAGTGACGACCTCCGAGTCAACTTGTGGAATCTCAACATCCAGGATCAGAGCTTCAACATCGTGGATATCAAACCAGCGAACATGGAGGAACTGACCGAAGTTATTACAGCGGCTGAATTCCACCCCGTTAGCTGTAACTGGTTCATGTATGCTAGCTCAAAGGGTACCATCAAGCTTGCCGATATGCGGCAGCGGGCCCTTTGCGATGAACACTCTAAGCGTATGTTCGGACTCCCACGGATGCCTCTGTATTGATACTGATGAAATGCTATGGTCTAGTGTTTGAGCAGGAAGAGGATGCTTCATCGCGGTCTTTCTTCTCCGAGATCATTTCCTCCATTTCCGACGTTCGATTCTCACATGACGGCCGGTACATCGTGTCGAGGGACTACCTGACCGTGAAGATTTGGGATGTGAACATGGAACGTCAACCTGTCAAGACCATTCCTATCCATGAGCACCTGCGCCCACGTCTCTGCGACACGTACGAAAACGACAGCATCTTCGACAAGTTCGAGGTGGTCTTCTCGGGCGATGCGGAAAACGTGATGACCGGTAGTTATAACAACAACTTCATGATCTATCCAACAGAAGAGCAAAAGGATACGGAGATCGTTCTCCAGGCGGACAAGTCAGCCTTCAAGGCGAAGAAGGTTGGCGTGCCCACACCAATGAACAAGGGCAGTGGAAAGAAGGCTGGTTCGCGATCGGGAAGCCCTGCCGGTCCTGGCAGCCGCATGAAGAAGGAGACCGATGCAGACCAGATCGACTTCAACAAGAAGATCCTGCACATGAGTTGGCACCCCTTCGAGGACAGCATCGCCATTGCTGCTACAAACAATGTAAGACCCCGGTCCTGGGTTTTCGAGTACCCGTCCATTGGACCTAAACTAACTTTCTATAGCTTTTCGTCTTTTCTGCCCTGTAAGTGCTCTCGGCAACAGGACCATACACATTTTCTTCCACGGACAGGCGCATTTTGGGAATCGGGTTGAATAGCTGGTGGAAAGGTTGATGATCTGACAAGGAGGAGAAAGAAAGCGAGAGAGAGAACAACAAAATGAACAAAATCATGGCCATAGCAGCAGCCCAGAGGACCCATAATCTTAGTTCTGTTCACGCCTTTCCCTGGAATCAGCATACCCGACTGCGAGCTCCTTGCTTTCTGTTTTCCGTTGGGGCACTCCCGTTTCCTCATCTGGGTTGTATGCAGCTTTTTATTAGGTACCTTGAAGGCGTTGTGTGGAGGCGCTTCATGATAGAGAATGTTAAGCCTGTTTGGGGCATATATCCATGCAGCCATGCTTTTCGTATTTGCCAGTATCTGTATGAGAGGTGTTTCTGCCATGAGGGTTTTCGGGGCCTACGAGTCCTCCGAAGCCTACGACCTTGGCGATGATAATCCACATTTCGTGCCACTTTCCTGGTATGTTTGCTACTATGACTGGTTCCTTTGTATCCTACCCCTTTTATCGCTGTGCATACGCAACTGTGCATCAGTTTCGCTCCGGATTTTTCTGCCGGCGGTTGCGGGCGATGACGAAGGCGGGCCGAAATATTCAAACTAAAGTTACAGAACAGTACAGTAAATTTGTAGAGTTCAGTGGTAAATAGCGGGGATCGCCCCAGATGATTGGTACAATACTGTATTGATGACCCGGAATAACCACGGCCCGTGACAGCATCAGCTAAACCGCAATGGGGTTAGCGGGAGTCGGTCAGGAAACCCTCCACTGGAGAGAGCCCGCGATCGGTCGCGCGCAATCACAATCCTGTCCCTTATCCACCTTGTCACTCGTCATCTTTTACAAAGTTCTTGATATCTTCAACTGCCTTAGATACCCAGGCCGGTCATGCTCTGACATGCCCGCGATCTGAGTGTCGTGGATTCCTTATCTCCCTACCGAAAATACAACCGGAGAAATACACCAGCTGGAGCTCACCTGGGCCTCAGTGCACCTTCTCCGCAACTCAGACTCATTATCTGTTACGCTTGATACCTATAACCTGACTTTGTTGGAGTTCATGACCAGATCATGAACTCTGGGAACGATAACTGGCACTCCTCTGCTGGTGGGCCACCGTCGCACCCTGGCATGGATCAGATGAATCAACAGCCTCGACCCTTGGGGTCATTTGGGTATGGATAATCGCTGCTACTCGAGACTCTTGAATTTTCAAGGCTGATGTGTTTGTTTCCTCTGATAGACAAAATCCCCCCCAGCAGGGCCCGGCTTCGCAATCCTCCGGACCTGTCCTTCCTCCTCCTGCCGGTTAGCATTTTTTTCCCGCTCCTTTATACACCTGAATATGCCTTCCCTGCCATTGCAAACATGATATTATGAGAAGTATGAACTGACCTTTGCGCGCCTCTTTAATCCAGGACCTTATCATCCCGCTGGTCAGTCCGGCGGTCATTCCCTCCCAGGCCTCGCAGAGCTGAGCCAGACCCATGGCACTCCGCACCAGCCTTCAGCATATGGACAGCATGGTCCTGGGCCATCCCATGGATCGGGTCACTCTCTACCTGGAATCGGGCAGGCGATGCAGCATGCGTCCCCGCAATCTTTGAACCGCGAACGCGAGCGTGACTCCAGAGAGCGGGACCTCATTGAGCGCCAGCGACAGGAAGAGATGGCCCACCGAGAGCGTGAACAGCGCGAACGCGAGCAAATGGAACGCCAGCAGATGGAGCGTCAACGCGAACACCACCCTGTCCAGAGCCACCCGGGTTCAATTCCCCTCCACCAGCCTGTGGCCTCAAAGGTCCAGAACTCCATCCACGGTCCCAATGGCCTCCTCTCAAATCTTGGCGCAAACCCGAACAATGGCCCCCAGGGTAGTGTGCAATCTTCCGGCGCGCCCGCTAGTCTGTTTGGCCCGCAGATGCCGCACGGTGAAGGTACTCCTCGATCATACATGCAGCACCCCGGTGCACCCGCGATAATGGGAGGATACAACGGCGCGGGACAGCAGATCCCCGGCAACGTTGCGGCCCTCGCTCAAGGCCAACAGCCTATTTTAAATGTATGTTCCCCACTGAACCCCAAAGCGTTGATTGCCCTAGTTTTCAAACTCTAACAGAGCTGTTTGCTATACAGGATGCCCTCAGTTATCTGGACCAAGTCAAGGTTCGATTTGTTGATCAGCCAGATGTCTACAACCGCTTTCTCGATATAATGAAAGATTTCAAGAGCCAAGCGTAAGTTTAATTCTTAAACTTAATCAGATATCAACTGACTTTAACAGAATTGATACTCCTGGAGTGATCCAACGGGTCTCTACCCTGTTCAATGGCCACCCGGCGCTGATTCAGGGTTTCAACACATTCCTTCCCCCTGGGTATCGTATTGAGTGTGGTACTGAAGATAACCCTGATGCGATCCGTGTGACGACCCCTTCTGGAACGAACACATTGAGTATGCCTCGCGCAGGACGACCTCTGGAGAACATCACCGACCAGGTCTCTTCCAGTGGTCTCGGCCCGCCTGGTCGCCCTGATTACTATGATCAGTCCCGCCCCGGTTGGCAACAGCCTCAACAACAGCAGGCTCAGCAGCAGGGCCCACCTGGATCCTACTCTCCCGGGTCCCGAATGATGGGTCCTGGCATGTACCAGGATGGCCAAGGTGCTCCCCATGACCATCACTATGGTTACCAAAGCCAGGAGGCCCAGGGAGCCGCAGGCCTCTCTCACCAACAAGATCACCGTGGAGTTGCACAGTTACAAGGTGCAGCATCGGCTGCTTCTGGTATGGGAAGACCCGGCTTGATGCAAGTTACAGGCGCTGGACCGAATGCTAGCCTCACTCAGCCAATGAACAGTTTGGCTGGTGTTGGTGGTATGCTCCAGGGCGGCCACCCTGATCTCAACAAGCGTGGGCCTGTGGAGTTCAATCACGCCATCAGCTATGTGAACAAGATAAAGAACCGCTTTTCACAAGCTCCGGATATCTACAAGCAATTCCTGGAAATCCTACAGACATATCAACGGGAGTCAAAACCAATCCAAGATGTGTATGCTCAGGTTACTACGCTGTTTAACAGTGCTCCGGATCTGTTGGAGGACTTCAAGCAGTTTTTGCCGGAGTCTGCAGCCCATGCCAAGCAGCAAGCTGCAGCTCGCCTCGCCGAAGAGTCCGTTCCCATCAGTAACATGCGTGGGGACTCCATGGGTCTTCCTCAGTCATCCAACCGCGATATGAAGAATATGCCACCACTGGGCAACTTCAATGTCAAAGACTCTGGGAAGGAGAACAAGAAGCGGAGAGGCGCAGGCCCGGGTGTTGCTGGGTCCTCTATGTCAGGACCTTCTGGTATCGATAGTGCCAGATTGCCCGAATCTCAGATGCGTGGCCAGCCAGCACAGTTTGGTGCAAACAAGGTCTGTTTATACCCCTGTATCTCGTTGATATACCCATTTTTTCCTCACTACCCCACCTACCTTTCGTTCGTCTATTAACAATATTGGCAGAGACCCAAGTATTTTCACGGAAAGCCTTCCGGTGCTGACATTCCTAACGTGTCTCCTACTCTAATTCCCGCACTACCAGAACCAATTCCACCCTCTGTGTTGACAACGCCCAGCCAGGAAGAGATTGCGTTCTTCGATCGTGTCAAGAAGTTCATTGCGAACAAGCAGATCTTCAGTGATTTCTTGAAGCTGTGTAACCTGTACACGAACGATCTTATTGATCGCTTTATTCTTGTCAAGCGTGCGGAGGGCTTTATCGGCTCTAACGCCGAGCTGATGAACTGGTTTAAGCGCTTCATGAATGTCGAGGAACCCGAAGATAAGACCATCGACCCCAAGCCTCAGACAGAGGCTGGCATCGTTAATCTTGCGCACTGTCGATCACTAGGACCCAGCTATCGTCTGTTGCCCAAGCGAGAGCGCCAGAAGGCATGCAGTGGTCGTGATCAGCTTTGCTTCGAGGTGTTGAACGACGAGTGGGCCTCTCACCCGACCTGGGCGTCTGAAGATTCTGGATTCGTTGCACACCGAAAGAATCAATATGAAGATGCTCTGCACCGGATTGAAGAAGATCGCCACGATTATGACCACCACATCGAGGCTTGTACTCGTACCATCCAGCTCATTGAGCCTATCTGCCAACAGTTCTTGCATATGTCTGAGAGTGAGCGTGCCAACTTCAAGTTGCCACCTGGCCTTGGTGGCCAGAGTGAGGCGATCTATCAGCGCGTTATCAAGAAGGTGTACGACCGTCAGCGTGGCGAGAAGATTATTCGTGACATGTTCGAGCGACCCTGCCAAGTCCTTCCTATTGTTCTCTACCGCTTGAAGCAGAAGCTCGAGGAATGGAAGGCGTGCCAGCGCGAGTGGGATAAGGTCTGGCGTGAGCAAATGCAGCGTGCATACTGGCGCAGTCTTGACCACCAGGCCATTGCTACTCGACAGACCGACAAGAAGCTCTTTATTGCGAAGAACATTCAGCAGGATCTGCAAGGGAAGTTTGAAGAAACTCAGAACCGTCGTAAAGCTGGCTTGAAGGCGGCCAACTACCAGGCTGAGATGAAGCTGGAAGACATGGATGTTCTATTGGATACTACACATTTGCTCTGCATGTACATTGACCGGAGTACGTCTGGTTTCGGTGCTGAGCCCCAGCGTCTGATCAACTTTGTCAAAGACTTCATTCCCATCTTCTTTGGGCTGGACCGGGAAACTTTCCATGATTACATGGACGAATTGATGATTGCTGCTACTCCCCCTGAAGAACTGGAAGATAACTTCGCCACTGAGGAAGAATCGACTGCTAGTCGCAAGGCACCTAACACGCAGAAGCTGGATCTCTTGCGTGAGGTTCTGGAGCGCCGGGTGGAGAAAGGCAACCAGGAGAAGTCGAATGGGGTCACTGAACACCAGCCTTCGGCTTCGGAGCAACAGCAGCCGACTCCTGAGATTGG